GGCGTTGCTCCCGCGCCTCGCTCAGCCAGTGAGCGGGAGCCGGTCTGTATGTGGGATCCGAACCCTCGGACGGGAGCGCCGCCGCGCTTCCCAAGCGGCGGACTATCCAGTGCGCCACCGGGCCGGCCCAACCTTTTCCAAATTTTTTAACCTCTCTGTGCCTCAGGCTTCTCATCTCTAAAATGGGAGCAATCATAGTATCTACCTCATGGGGTGTTATGAGGATGAAATGAGTTCATACATACTAAGTACTAAGACATATTTCTGGCACATGGTTTTCAATATATGTTATTGATGGTGATGGTGATTGCTTATTTAACTTTTGGGGTAGTACTCACAAGTAAGTGTTGGTGGCCAAACTAGTACACTTTTTCTGGCAATTCATTACTTTGATTGGATTAGCCTGTCTTGGAGTGAGAGTAAGTAATGTAGAGTAACTTCTAAAGGATGACTCTTGGACCTTGAAAAGTCCCAGATGCCTGGGCTAGACTTGTATCAGCAACTTCTTGTTTTCTTTTCAATCTCGGCTTAGGTTTCTTGATCTACCTTTAACATTCCTTCTCTTTCTTTATAATCTTTGTCTTCTTTTATATGTCCTTCTTGTCCATTTTGTCAAACTGCGAGACTAGAATGTATTTACAGTCTTCCTATCAAGATAATAAAGAACAGTGCCTTATATTTGTATCTTACTCTGCTGTAAATGATTTCCATTCTGGGAGCTCTACAAAGTCTTCAAACCACATTTCTACGTCTTCCTCCCTGATTATGTAAACAGGACTATAGCATGATCTTTCTTACTTCAAACCAAATTATTAGCAGAGAAAATTTTTTAAAAATCTTCAAGCACCGATTTTGTATGCATATTTTGGGGGCAGCTCCCAATTTGGGGGGAACAAACCTGAACATGTATCATTTGGAACAGGGAGAGAGTAAGAAGGTTGAAGCGTAGTGTGAGGAAGGGTGTTTTTACATTTTTGTGTCAGATAAACTTTAGACTTATGGGGCTTAGTTAATAGATACTTGTTGGGGCCAGCGCATGGCTCACTTGGGAGAGCATGGTGCTGACAACACCAAGCCAAGGGTTAAGATCCCCTTACTGATCATCTTTAAAAAAAAAAAAAAAAAGGTACTTGTCAAACTTGTCAAACTCAGAGGAAAGTTTTCTTGGTGTTCTTGTATATTTTCTCCTTACATATAGCACTTTCCTTATACTTAACATCTTGCAGGACATTTCAGCCACATGATGGATTTTCTCCATGGGGAAAAGTTTATAAGGTTAGACTCAGGCTTGCCAAGCAAATAAACCAAAAGGTAAGATTTTAGATATCTCCCAGTGGGAAGCTCAGAGGATGGTGACTTTGTGCTTCGTGCGGTAGATTAAAACTCATTCAGGGCCGGCCCGGTGGCGCACTGGATAGTGCGCCGCTTGGGAAGCGCGGCGGCGCTCCCGCCCGAGGGTTCGGATCCCACATACAGACCGGTTCCCGCTCACTGGCTGAGCGAGGTGCAGGAGCAACACCTAGGGTTGCAATCCCGTTGCTGGTCCCCGGTCCGGTACGGGGGCAACACTGAGGGTTGTGATCCGTTGCCGGACACGGAAAAAAAGACAAAAAAAAAAAAAAAAAAAAGAAAAACTCATTGATTAACATCTTTAGCAAGGGAAGTAGAATTTGTTATTTCTTTATTTGCCGATTGTCTAGCAATTTGTATCTGTTCTTTCTGTGTGGGTTTCCAAAGGGGGGAAACCATTTGGAAACAAACTTCCAAATGTTTTCAGTGTTTAGTGGAGTCAGGGAGCTCTGTACAATCTTTCCTATGGGCGTACCTCTCAGGTTAACTATGCACAGAAGAGACTAGAAGGTGGGCAGGGGTTGGGGGGGGTGTCCTGCTGATCGGGAGAGAGTCACTGTCAGTGTGGATGGAGACAAGAAAGCTGTTGCTCCTTCTGAGTGTCAAACTGTTGACCTTTGGCCACCACAGTACCCTCCCTGATGACATCAAGCTGACCTTGTTGTTAGTTGGGGGACATAAGCCATGTCAGTAAATGTTTAGTCATGTCAGCGGATACCGTCTTAGTTCTTCCCCTTTCAGTTTTATGGCACTGGCTCTCAAAGAGCAGGACGTGGAAAACGAGACCCGCCCAATGCATTTATCCCAGATCCCCCATACTTATAGTCATCATCCTAAATGAGGTAGCCACAGTCCAAGCCCAAATAAATTCTCCTCTTGACAGGTAGCTTATCTACTGCGAAGAGCTGGGTTTTCTAAGTTGTGTTCTGCTGCTCACTGCTGCTCTTGAGAGGCTAGATAGCACTGACTCTAGCAACGATCGGCACCCAGCGGGACAGGACTGCTTGCTGCCCTCGCTTGGGCCTTTGCGTCTCTTGAAGGGAAAATTAATTAAACAGTTGTGTGACCTATTCGAAGGCACATTTGCAAATGCATTCTGTCTCAATAAGACAGCAGTCACCCTAAGCAGTAGCTCATTTTTGGACTACTAAAAAATAAACTAAAATTCAGAGAAAATTTAAAGTTTTAATCAGCTATTTAAAAATGCCTTCAATTTTAATATGTGATTAACTATATGTAACTTTAGGGATTTAGATATTTAAAGACACTTAGATTAGTTTTGAACTTCTGGAGATGAGAAGATTTAGGCTTATTCCTTCACTATACAAAAAATGGAGAAAGATCATTTGAGAGTCCATCTTTTTATGCAAGCTGTTTACATGGGACAGGCTTAATACAGTATCAGCACAGAATTTTATGCACTGCTTCTGCTTGAAAAGACTTAGAGACTTTTCAAAAATTATCTGAAGTAGATTTATATATCTCAAATTGGGCTCTTAAATGCAAAATTGAGCCTCAGCGTAGGACTGTGCTGTCTGATCTTTGAAATCTTAACGAACACATACCTATTCCTTGGTTAAAAAGAAATCTGAAGACATGAAAACAATCTTTAATGAGAAAGATATAGACCAAGGAAGATATTACACTTGTGAGAAGAAGGGTATTCAAAGACCATAAAAGGCAGAAGTTCAAAATATTTTTAAAAGCTATTTAACGAAAATGTTCACCTGTGATAAATAATGCAGTAGCGATATCGAGCATTTCTCAAGCACAGTGAGTAACGTCCCAGTGATCTCAGGGGGTTTCATTATGTCATGAGGGAAACAGATTAACAACCAATGGAACAAAGCCTACGGTTGAGAGACGGGTTCTGAGTCTGAGGAAGACAGAGGAGGGACAGACCACATGTTATTCCTACAAGGGTCATTCTGATTTTCTGTTGTGACCTAGAAAACCAGGGGTAAGCATGTGGTTATTGGCAGTGAGGTGACCATATGTACATAAGGTGACAACAATAATTTGTGATTGTAGAGCACATTATGCTTTTCAAAGTGCTTTAGTTGACATTGTCTTTTGGTCCCTCTACCCTGTGCAGTAGATTATGCAAATATGTAGATGAGGAAGTGGTGACAGAGGATAAGTAGCTCGAGTTGGAGCAAATAGCTACTGAGGGGTACCCCTGGTGTCAGGCCCCAGGTCTCCTGATCTCTAGGCCTGTTTTCTTTCTCCCACCCTCTAGCAAAAGAAATGGCCCTTCATTTCCCAAAGCATGTGTGGTGATTAGTTTCCTGGGATGTTATTTGTATTATGAAAAACAAGGTTCTGTTTTTTTCCTTCTGGCAGCTGGTTGGTATGGGGATTTGAACCCTTGACCTTGGTGTTATAACGGGAAGGTTCCCTTTTGAATTAGGTTAAATTCTTTCTCATTCTTCAGCTCTCAGCTCTTACATCACTTCTATAGGGGAAGCTTCTCTGTGCTCCAAATCCCCCTACTGTACAGGCTTACAGTCCTCTGTACTTTCCCCATGAGCACGTAACCCAGTTTGTAATTTGCCATTTGTGTCATTATTTGATTAATGTCTCTTTTCTCTGTCCAGCTGTAATCTACATGAGGTCAGGGACCATGTGTACTAATGTATGCTCAGCATCTAGTGCCTAACATATAGTAGTCACTCAAGAAATGTTTGCTGAAAGAATGTCTTAATTTTTGTTTGCTGTTTCTATTATTTTTTTATAGACTACCCAACATGTGAGCAGCTTACCTGTGCCAATGGAGCCTGCTATAACACTAGTCAGAAGTGTGATTGGAATGTTGATTGCAGGGACTTCTCTGATGAAATCAACTGCAGTAAGTATTGTACTCTTGCGATGTGCAGTGGTGTACTGAAGCTAGTTTACACTGGCTTGAGAAAGCCAGTTATGTGCACATCTTCCCAAGTCTGTGTTCAGTGAATTCATGTTGGTAGTTTAAAGGCAGTCATTGGTGGGAGTATTCAAACTATGGAAATTGGGAAACACTATAAACCAGGGCCTTTTTGTTCCAGAGAACTGGTTGTTAAACATTTACCAGCACACCATTGCCTAATAAGAATCCCTTTTTAAACAGAATCTTCCTGTGGATTAAATGGCTATAGCGGAGTTGAAATTCTCTTTTCTTTCCCTCTTAACCTTGTGTTCCAGCTGAGAGGTGTGAGCACAACGAGTTTCAGTGTGGCAGTGGAGAGTGCGTCCCTCACGACTTTGTCTGCGACCATGACAATGATTGTGTAGACAGCAGCGATGAGCTTTCTTGCAGTACGGTGATTTCCTTATACCGGATCATGTTATTAGGAATGTTTTTTGTTTGTCTGTTTGTTCTCATCAATGTACCACTTTTTTCAAAGAAAAAAGTCACTATGTTTGATGGCAGATGGGGCCAGAAGATCATTTCAGGGGCCATGGCCTGAACCTTACTTAGCGGGCTCCTTTATCTTCCAGGGATATGTCTAGAGTTGAAGGGTTGCTGGTGGACAGTTTGCATTCTTCTTTCCTTAGGCTACAAGGGTACAGGGTATGCTGTATCGCTGGACACTCATGTCACCCAGACCTCAGGAGTAGGTCTGATAATCTTGACAGTAGAGTGAGGGAAGAGCTTGAAAAGGAAAGAAAGTTCCCTAATAGCAATGGTTCTAACTCTATTCTTTCCTTTGAAATTCTTACCACACAAAGGATGGAGGGTCAGAAAAGTTCCAGTGTGGAATAAGTGGCTTTCATTGCCTCTGTTTCTTCACTCTGACCCTACTTTTATTTCTATGCTGTGGCCTGCAGAGCAAACTACCTCTCTTACTGGACTCAGTTTTTTGGAATGTGTATGCTTAGGAGACTGTGAGAAAGTTTTACTGATTCCAATAAGTTGGCTTCTTTTTAGGGTCACATATTTATTAGAATGTATAATTTTTCTCTACCCCTGTTTTGACTGATTGGTATCCATGCCTTACGAGGTTAAGTATTTTAAACATCACCCTGATTTTCTATGAGCCATGCCTGATTTCCTTTCTGGAACCTCAGATTATTTCAGTGACTGTATTAAAAAGAATGTGACATCATGGAATGGATGACACAGAATCCTTTGGTAAGCAATTACAGGGTTAATGGTAAAGTGAGAGAATGGTGCACGCTGGCAGGTCTCTAGCATCTTCATCAGTCTGCATTCTCTGTCCTGTGTCAACCTGTTACTTACCACCTTGTTTTTAACCTTGAGCAACAGAGTTCATTTCCTGGGCTCAAAGCTGCTGTTATCTTCTCCTCCTTCTTCTCCTCTTCTTTCTACTTCTTTTCCTTCTTTTTTTCATTTTTGTCAATGTACTTAAGGGAGTAGACAGATACAGAAATTTCAGTTTCTTGGAGCTCAATTGAGGCAGTGAGATGAGCACTCTGATTGTTTCCGAGTGACTTGTGTCTTTGGAGTGCAGCTTTTCCTTTCTTTCAGGCTATCAGACCTGCAGAGGTGACCAATTCACTTGCCCCAGTGGCCAGTGCATTCATCAAAATTGGGTTTGTGATGGAGACGACGACTGTAAAGATAGTGCAGATGAAGATGGATGTGGTAAGGAGGGAAGAGATTCCCATTTAAAGCATTTTCTTAAAGTTTATACCTGTAGTAAAAGGTCTTGTCTGGCTACAACCTGTTTTTCCTCCTTTCCTTATTGGAAATTTCCTGTGTGATAAGCAAGCCTCAGGATTTGCTGGGGTTCAAGGAATTGTTTAGGGACTTAATGGATGGTGAAGAAAGAGGTGACTCTACTGCTTTCCTAAAAAAGACTCAGAACTCCAGTTATAATCATAAATTATAATCCATAAATTATAATAAATTATAAGCATAAATTATAATCCCATCCTTCCTATTCTTAAGGCAAAAGGTAGTACCGTCTCTCTCTCTCTTCTATATCCCACTCTGATCTTTTCCCTTTGAGACTCCTATTTTAACTGGATTTGCCTATATAAAAGTAGTAGGCTGGAGAGGAAGTGAAAATAGGGGGAAACGTGATTAGTCTTAGACCTACAACCTTTAAAAATGACTTCGAACCTTGGTAACAGTTCAGTTTTGTTTTGTTTTTTTGCAAATTCTGATTTCCAAATTAGTCACTGACATCCAGTAGTGAAAGAGAGGCTACACTGGGAACATATGGGATGGAGCTAGGGATTGGTAGGTGCAGGAGAGGCTACTATCCAGGGATGTGTTTAAGGATTCTGTGGGAAGGAAGCTGCCAGTGATATTCACCCCTTCATGCTGCTGATATCATCAGCAGTACCTTCAACAGTTACAGAAGTTACTAATAACCACATCATAAAGCAAGTTGCTTGTGCTGTTCCAGTCATACGTGTAACAAGGGTGATGCCTGGTCTGGGAACATCCATTGGTTTTGTTTCGGTATTCTAGGAAGTGATCTTCCTACATTGGTTTAGGGTTTTTCTTTATACTGTTGACATTTCACTAAATAAATAAAACAAATCAAACAGCCAAAACCAAAACTCAGGAATCCTGGAGTTACCCCAATGGCCGTAGTTCTATAATTCATGATTTAAATAATGGAATCTTTTCTTAGGCGGTTATATATCTAGTTTGTTGATAATTCAGGCCCAGGTCCATTTCTGCTTCTCTTATAACCTGGCTGGGGATGCCTCCTCCAGAAAGAGTGGAACTTGAGTAATTGCCATGTTGCTACTCCTGAGAATCTCAATAAAAGAGGCAGAGTTAGAAGCTACTAGTTTATTAAGAAATATAGGCCATTTGTAGATTTCTGTTGTCTACCTGGTCCATATCTTTTCTTAACCATGTATTAAAAGAGAGCAGGTTCCACCTCCCAGGTGACCTCTAACTCCCTCTCTGTTTTTCCTCTCCCCACAGAAAGCAATCCCCGTCACCATTATGAATGTAATCCAAGAGAATGGGCTTGCCCAGGGTCTGGACATTGTATCTCAATTTTTAAAGTTTGTGATGGGGTTCCAGATTGTCCAGGAAGAGAAGATGAAAGCAATACAACTATTGGAAAATACTGTGGTGAGTGCAGAAATTGAACTGGGTAACTTTCAGACAAACATGTTTAAGTTTTTCTAGAACGGATTCTTAAATACAGGACATATCAGCTGATGTTTGAGTAACAAACTACCCCAAGATTTAGTGGCTTAAACTGCAAACATTTATTATTTCTCACAGTTCTTTCGGATGGCTAGGTAGTTCTTCTGGCCTTGACCAGCCCACTCACATGTCAGGATGTTGCAGTAAAAGCTTGGGCTAGCCCAGGCTTGTTAACACGGTGGTGAAAAGGGCAAACTCCAGTGCTCAAGCACTTTTAAACCTCTGCCTATATCTTGTTTGTCTTATTGGCCAAGCCCACGTCACTTTGTCAGGCCCAGAATAGACTGAAGAAATAGACTCCATCGTCTTGATTGGAGGAACTTAACAAAATTCTGTCTCTCTCCCCCATCGAGAATTTCCTGATTTATACTTGTAGTAAAAGGTCTTGGCTACACTAAAAAAAAAAAAAAAAAAAAAAAAAAACCAAAATGAAAACGCTTCTCGTTCTTGGGTTATGTACTTTGAGTTACTTTCCAATGGTAAAGTTGAGTTGGTTGGGCATAGTGTTGTTAGATGATGTTTTGTGTGACCTCACTCATTTGTGATTGGATTTAGTTTTTTTTACTTTTTTCTTTTTCTATGGCTGTAGAATATTCCCCCCATCAACTCTATGGGCAACTGATGATTTTAACTTTTATCAATAGTATACTCTAACTAAATTAGTGGTTGCCTAGAAGTGCCTGTGTAACCGTAACCCCAAGGACATTATTTATGTTTTTTCCTGGAAAAACTTGTAATATTTAAACATGCAGAGAGTTCTATGGCATTTTTTCCTCATTTCATCTGTGAGGCCTTTCAAAAAAGCTTAAAAAATTAACTAGAGATTTTTAGTTATAGTACAAAAGTTAGAAAATAAAAATTAACAGAAAAATATAAATCACTTCAAATCGCACCTCTTGAAGCTAGCCATAGGTAACATTTGTAGGGTATAGTCTCAGTACAGTCACTTGGGAGTTCTTAGCCCTTTCTACTGCATAGACACAAAGATAGACTTATGACCTGATTTTTCCATAAACAGCACTGATAATGAGATACTTGTACATAGTTAAAACTACTTTTTAAAATAGGGTTTGAGCTTTTATTGCACAATATTGCAGAAAGGTTTGAATGGTGACAGACTTTTCTCTACCTTAGCCACATGCTTGCTTAGATTTTACTTGTAATAAAAGAAGCTATTAGATAATCAGTCTTGTCCCGATGTCACCATTCATTTAACCAAGTTTTTTTCTCTGTTTAGGTCTGACTATGTGTTCTATCTTGAACTGTGAGCACCGATGCCATGAGACGCCATATGGAGGGGCATGTTTTTGTCCCCCAGGTTATATCATCAACAGTGACAACCGCACTTGTGTTGGTAAGTGACAAGTGGGAGCTCCTGGTCTTCTATCACAGTGCACTGATGAGTTCCATGGTCTCTGCTATCAAGGAGTTTGTGCTTGTGGGTAGGAGTGATGATCTGTCATAACAAAGAGCAGCACAGTCCTCACAGAAAACCTATAGAGTGCATCGCAAACTGAGGTTTTAACTCTGAGAAGTTTTCATGTGGAGGCTGAATAATGGTTCTGCCATGAGCAAGTTGACTAGCTCCATGGAACCTGTCCACTACCTGATGATGGAAGTGTTCTTGTTTTAAGTATTTATAAGCAGGGTTGGTACAACCATACTGGTTATTATTATTATTGTTGTTATTATTTTTGCAGCTGGCCAGTATGGGAATCTGAACCCTTCACCTTGATGTTATGACAGCATGCTCTAGCCAACCAAACTAAGTGGCCAGCCCCCCCACTGGCTATTAAACACTGAAATACTTCCATGTAGTTGGCAGATAGCCACAGCTCTGAGCCTATCACATACCCCTACCCTGCTCTCCTGGCCTCCTCTCCAGGATGCGCAAACATCCCCAGGACCCAGCAACTAAAGAGTTGTCACCTGACATAGGAGAGGATTGCTAGGTCCCTGCTCTGGTGACTGCACTGCTCACCTTTCTGTGCTGGTTGTGTATTCCACTAACTTGCACCTCTGCTTGGAACTAACATTCAGATTCTTTATCATGATGCTTCCAGCTGCAACTGGCATTGAACTAGATGTGTCCTCTATCTGAATTATAAAAACGATTTCTCCCACTGAGAGATTTTCAGTTCTGATGCCACTGTGATTAGGATGGGGCCAAGTATCATCAGATCTCAGTTAGGATTTGAACAGTTTTCTTAGGATTTGAACGAGTTTTTAATGCTCTGATTTCTTTTTCTTTCTTTCTGATTTTTGATGCATGAGCAACAAACATTTTAGCAGGAAGTGATCACAGAGGGTTAAAAAAAAAACATTGTTTTTACTGGTGTTGGGAAAAGGCCTCTGGAAGACAATTGGAACTATTGGTTAAAATTAAGTTTGGTAGTCATCTATGGATCTCCAAAAGACAGATGATTCAGAATTTTCCCAGGATATTTGTATTCTTTTGATATTCCTTAGAAATCAGAGATTCTTTTTTGTGTCTGTATAAGAACAAACATGGCATGCACAAGAAGTACTTAGAGAAAAGTATTTCTTCTGAAACAGTTTCTAAAATATTAATATAATTATTAATATATTAATAAAATTATCGAATTTGGATAAACCTAAGGAAGTTATTCAGTCTTTAGTCTTAGCTCATGGTTTCCAACATAATTATATTTTATTGAATATGATTGAGACAGAAAAACCTTTTGATACCGGAAATAGACTCTCATTAGTAAATTAAAATTGGAATTCTTGAGAAAGTCTGTTCCTTGGTGTTATTGAGCACTTTAATAGTGAGGCTCACTTACTTGTTATATGCCAAGAAAAGCTGATTTTTTTTTTTTTGGCTGCTGGCTGGTACAGGGGTCTGAACCCTTGACCTTGGTGTTATATCACCATGTACTAACCAACTGAGTTAACTGGCCAGCCCTAAGCTGATTTTTATTTTTTATTTTTTATATCCACTAAAGCAATTCAATTGAGGTTGTCCTTGTGGTGTTCAAAGTAGGTAATTTTAGATTTTTAATATTAGGACCATGTCCCAGACCCCAAGAAAGGTCTGAATTATTTAAGAAAGCCCTTGTATTTCTAATCTTTTCAAAACATTTTGTAAATAAAATGTTATGATCTGCAAGTGGCCTTGAATGAGATTGCAGGACACTTTGTGTTTTGTTATTATTGTTATCATTATCCTTACTTGGGGGGGTAATATTTTCACTTGAACATCCTCATTTGTGAGGTGGCTCTCTGACTTTGGAACCCCTGCCTGTGTTTCCTGGCATCCCTGCAAGGACAGCATCCCTTTTTTTTTAGGAGTGGTGCTCCTCTGTGGGTGTGAGGCTGCTTCTTTGTCTTAACGCAAATGTCAGGCTTCTCTACCCCCGCTTACTGCCACCCAGCTGCCAATCCGATTTCCAGCCTTTTAGTTCTCTAGGCATTTCTCTTTTCTCTTAGTAGAAAGGAATTCCCATAGAAATACCAGAAGCCACATTCTCAGCATTATATCAGCTTTTCTCTCTTTTTTCTTTCTCAACCCCCAAAGAGGAGTTGGGGCTGAGTTGCCTTGTAGTTGAAACTTGATAGGCCATGAAGTCTTTTCAGAGTCCCTAGTTCAGTCCTGTGATGCCCCACAACCTGCTCTCAGTCTTTTTACTACCCTAGAGCCCAGTAGCACACTTGCCATCTTTTCCAGTATGTAAGTCTGTCTGTGATGAGCCTTGGGTTATATTTCCAAATGTCCAGCGTTTCTTGAATGTCATAGGTTTAGGCCACTTCAATTTTTTTCTTTTTTTCTTTTCTCTCCCCTTCACCCTATCCCTTTTCCTTTGCCCTATCTTTCCCCTTTTCTCCCATCCCCCATGCCCTCTGCCGCCTCCTTCAGCCCCAACACCCCATCCCTCCCCCTCTACTCTGCCTCCTCCTGCAGCCATCACCCTCTCCCACACCCCACTCTTCTCCCTCATTACCCTCCCCCATTTCTCCTCTCCCCTTCATCACCTTCTTTATTCACTGAGCTCACCAGTTCCACTCCTTTTTCTGTCTCCTAGCCCTCCCTCTTTGCCACCTTTTTTTGTGAATTGTGAGGAGTAGAATCACCACTTCAATTTTTTGTAGCCCTTTAGAAATGAGAAGCTGTCATAACAAGTTTCTTGTGTTATAACATTTTACATTTAACCTAGTAATGAATGAATCACAGAAAATTGCAACATTACGCTGTGCACACTATCATTTCAGGATTTATAGAACACATTCAGTTCATTACAGAGCCCTCAGGTGTTGGAACCTCTGCAACATTTCTCATCTTAGTCATGACTCTGCAGTGAATGCCTTGGTGGTGATTAGGAATAGTTGAATAATCCCGACACGAAATCTTGTGTCTTTCTCCCATTCATCTGCCCCTGGTAGTCTTGACCTGGCAATGGATCCTCTGCGGCATGCTGAAGCAGTTTACCAGGCTTATTGTTTCTGATTGACAGGACATGCTGTTTGTTGACAGAATGACATCGTGGTGCAGAGTTAGGGCAGGGAGGTCGCTCAGTGTGGTGGGGTTTCACACAGCCAGATGGGCCAGGTGTCCAATGTGGCTTAAGCTAAAAAGGCATTTTTGAATTATTTTCAAAGCAGTATTTGTTGGTAGGAGGGGACAAAGAATAGAATGGAAAATAGATAAAGGTAACAGGGAGGGGGGAGATTGTAAACTAGTGTTTCAGTGTTTTATGTACTTTCCACCATCTTTCTTACTCATGAAAATCCTGAATTCTGCTTTCATTTTTCTTGTCTTCGCTTTGGCTGATGATGAGTATTAATTAGCCTTTATTTTTCTCCATAGTGATCTAAAGGATACAATCTTATTCAGTCATTTAAACTGACAGTGATTATATGCATTCATTTGTAGCATAGGTGATAGGATGGGCATTTGTGTCCAAGAATTCCTAGTTATGGCTCCACCTTTGGTTTCCTTCTTTTGACATGTGAACTGCTCCCAGGCTGATTCCAGGTCCTTAGACAAGGCCTCATGGGTCTTGCATTCAAAATGAGGTCACGACATTTGGGGGGGTTTAGGGACAATGTTCTGTACTTTCATTCCTACTGACATGAAGCCTCAGGTGGAGCTTTCTCAGGGCTGAAGTGAGGACACAGAAGAGATTCATCAGTGAGGGCCTTTTGCCTTGTCACATCCAGATTGAATTGATGTTTTTCTTTGGTTAGTTCACAGTCCTTGGAAATAAAGATATGCTGGCCCATGTTGTTAGGTTTGGTCTGGAGGGAAAACTGGAACCATGAGCTTGATCCCAGGACCATCTTGAGTTTTTCTAGACCAGGAGTCATGAAATGGTGGGCTACCCAACAGGTGTGAGAGAACCCAATTCACAACTCTGACATTGCTGCAAACGTAGTCAGATCCTAGAAATCTGGAGAATTCTAGACCTGAGGGTGCAGTGGTTTCAGAAATTTTAATCTACTCAAGAGTTTCCTGAAGCCAGAGGGCAATGGAACCTGGTTGTTGGTTAGGCTGTTGAGGTCATCCTCCTAGGGAAGAAAGCAGGGTGAGGGATGATGGAGAGTGGAAGTGGAGGGTCAAATGAAAGATATGTGGCACCAGTCTACCAAGGATAGTACAAATTTTACACCCCTCATGACTTACAGTACTCAAGAAAGACCCTTTTCGTATGTTGTTTTCTCTTCTCCCCATATTATATTATTTATGTCAATTAGATTGAAACTCTTTTTTACATAAAACTGGGAATTCTTTGACAATGAATAGAGCTCTATCATAAAAGAGACTTTCGATAAACACTTATTAAATGGATGAATAATAAGTTAATGAATAAATAGAAAATATTTTTTCAAGTCTTGAAAATAATTTTAATTTAATTATTGTTATGATTTTCTGACATCAGAGAAAAAAACAGCTGGGTAAATTAAACCTTTCCAAACACTATTGCATCACAGATTTGTATCTTCTTGAGGGGCTGGGTTTAATGCTGGGCTCACTCTATTCTGAAATAGTGCTGTCCAATAGAACTTTCTGGAATGATGTAAATATTCTATATCTTTGCTCTCCAGTATGGTAATCCATAATCATATGTGGCAATTATCACTTGAAATGTGGCAAGTGTGACTGGGAAACTGAATTATTAATTTTATTTATTTAATTTGTTTGTTTTGGCATCTGGCTGGTATGGGGACCTGAACCCGTGACCTTGGTGTTAAAAGGCTGAGCTCTAACCAATTGAGCTAACTGGCCAGTTCTTTTAATTAATCTAAAAATAAATTTAGATAACCACAGGGGGCTAGTGGCTACCATAATGGAAAGCACAGTTTTAAAAGGGAGCACTTACAACAAAATTCATGTATTTTGTAAACCAACATTAATAAATGAAATGCAATACCAGAGGGCTGTGAATCCAAGCAGTTTTGTGCATCTTCTCTAAAGGTATCCTTCATGTAGATTTAAAAATCTATTTAAATACTCTTGGGGTTTTCCCTTGAATGACACTTGTTGTGAATTTCTGTTTTTTCCTGTATGCCTAGAATCTGTGTTTACCTCCAAGGGGTGGTTATTTAGACATGGGCAACGCCATATTCTCGGACAATCTTGTCCATGATTTTTTCAGAGAGTACTCAAAAAATGCTGGTAAATATGATTACAAATGTGTATTTCCCTTGTGGCAGAATTTGATGATTGCCAGGTATGGGGAATTTGTGACCAGAGGTGTGAAAATGAATCTGGCCAGCACCAGTGCCATTGTGAAGAAGGGTATATCTTGGAGCATGAGCGGCATTGCAAAGCTAATAATTCCTGTGAGTAAATGATGGACACTTGTATCTTTGAACAGCAAACTTTTAATATCTTTCTTTTATAGCTGATGACAAAAGAAATATCAGTGTTTATGCTGGTGGCAGGGTTTCACCATCACAAATCAGGGGTGGCTCCTCTGCCAGGAAGATGGGTCAACATTAATTTCATACTTGATTATTAAGGACCAATTTGTGGATTAATGGTGACTATTATTAATATTTTTTTTTATTGGTTGCTTGTTCACTTTGGCCTAGATTATTATGTCACCCACCACATTTAATTGTCCAATAAATTTTATGCCTACATTTGATTGAATTGGACATTTAAATTTTACTTAACTTACCTACTACAAATGTAGGTGACAACTATCTATAGAGATAATTTTGGCATTGTTCATACAAAATTTAAGGGTGTTTCAAATCAGACTTGTTAAATTTAGATTAAAGTTTGTGTGAATGATCTTATTCTGGAATTAATCTAAGAGTACTGTAGTAGGAAAAGTCCTGGGAAAAATCTGCTAAAAAATGATGAGTCCTTCAAAGCATTTTGTCACTGTGGATTTCTGGGTAAGAAAACCTCAATTTTGACTCCTTTTTTTCCAATTGTTATTTTGCACTTTTTTTTGTCTTTTTTCGTGACCGGTAACGGGATCGCAACCCTCGGTGTCGTGCCCGCACCACGCTCAACCAGTGAGCAGACCGGTCTCTATATGGGATCCGAACCCTCGGCGGGAGCGCCGCCACGCTCCCAAGCGCTGCAGTCTACCGAGTGTGCCACCAGGCTGGCCCCTGGCACTTGATTTTGAATTGCCTTTGGCGCCTTCTGAAACTTAACTGCTCACATGATTGATGAATGGCCAATTTTCTTGTTTTTTGCATTGAAATAACTGATTGTGCACTAACTTTTAGGTACAATTCAATTTATTTATTTTTAAATAGGTAATGTATTCAAATGTTCAAAAATCTTAAGTTATAAGAAGATAAATAATATAAAGTGTCCCTCCATCCCTGTCCCCCTCTGCCAGGTTTCCACTTTCTCTCTCCCATGGCTAATTGCTGTTTTTTAATTTCAATTCTAGAGGTTTTTAAATGCATAAATAAGAATGTGCAAATATAGATATTTAACCTTATTTTTACATATATGGTAGTATAAACTGTACACACAATTTCCTATCTTGCTAATGTCACTTATATTTTCAAGAGCTTTCTATATTGGCACATAAAACTCTTCCTCAATTCTTTCTTTATAATGGTATAATATTTCATTTTTTGGATATACATAATTTATTTAACTAGTCTCCTATTCATGGACTTTTATATCATTTCTTTTGCTATTGCAAATAAGACTGCAATGAATAATCTTATTCACATGTCATTTTACATACTTGTGAGTATATAGACAGCCGATTTGGAATCACCTTTGCCATGTTTCTCACAGAATGATTTCCTGGTAGTCTTCAAAATGTGTTCTGTGTTTAACACAATCTAAAGTTGCACATGGAGGTAAGGTGCCCATATCATCAAAGATTCTTGAAAATACCTGATGTATTCTCTTCAGTGTCATTGAGAGTGCATTGGACTAGCAGTTAGGACACTTGAATTTTACCAGACACTTCCTAACTTACTGTGATTTGGGGCATTTCATTAATCATCTTTGTGTCTCAATTTGCCCATCTGTAAAGTGGGCAGAATGATAGCTACCTGTCTGCCTCAGGTTTATGTTAAAATAAAATAAGATAACATAGAAGGAAGCATTTAAAAAAGCAAAAAACTTATCAGTTTTAAGTTACTGTCCCTGCTCACCTGAAGGAGTGGTAAAGCCTTCCCTCTTCACATTCAGCTGGCGAAGCCTCCATCATCTTCTCCAATGGTCGGGATTTACTAATTGGTGATATTCACGGAAGGAGCTTCCAGCTGCTTGTAGAATCTCAGAATCGCAGAGTGGCAGTGGGTGTGGATTTTCACTATCACCTGCACAGGGTCTTTTGGACAGACGTCTTGCAAGATAAGGTAAATAGAAATTTCAGGAGTGTAGCTTGGGAACTGAATAGCACTCCAAGCATGAAGTGTTGATAGCTTTTCATTTTTGGGGGAGTAGAGAGGGAAAGTTTCTTTGTTTTCTAACAAAAAAGGCCCTTGAGATATTTTATGTTAATCAGCACCTTTTCCATGCTATACTATTACATGTGACCTATTAAACAAAGCAGTCTATTATATGGATTAGACTTGAGCAACTTTTAATTTTAATTTTATTCGAAATGGAGTCCAAAAGCCTAATTAAAAGAAATAGTAGACATTCTTTCAAAACTGGATAGATATTTGGTAGTAATTTTTGAAACTTGATCATGTAAAATGTAAAAAGTACTCTGCTTTCCAGGATGATAAAAATCAGATTTTTACCTGCATCTTCTAAATGGAACAGTAATTAAGGATTGGGTCACAAATATTGGCAGTATTTTATTTAATGGCCAAAATTTTGTTACACTGTCTTATTTGGAAAGTATGATGGATTTATTTCAAGTTTGAGTACTGCAATGGAGAATTTTTAAACGTAAATTTTAGAGACTTCTAAAGAGTTATAGAATTTATTTATTTCTTCCTTTTACATTTTCTTGTGCCATTAATAAAATTCCAATTTATTTAAATGATAATATAAAATTTCTAAAAATTGAGAGTCTGGATTACTAATTCTAATCTGACGAAAGCTGAAAATCAAAACAAACCATCACCACCTCTTCCACCAAAAAAGTCTACTTTTTAATTAAATTTTTGATAACTACTAAGAATGAGAAATACAGGTTTTTGGTTTTTTGTTTTTTAAAAAAACACCCAGCTCTTATGTCCTCTCATATGCTTTTGAGGAAACCCATGTTTTTCTTCAGTAACCCATAATGTAAAATAAAGTAGCAGTCCTCCAGTGAATGTGTTTTTAAGGTCCAGGTGCAGACGACTGATTTGTACAAACAGAAGCACTGAATGAAGTATAGGAAAATAGTGCCTGCTGTTCATTATGCTTAAGAACTACAATACTTTTGATTTTCTTTTCAGGTTTTTTCAGTTGACATTAATGGTTTAGATATCCAAGAAGTTCTCAATGTTTCTGTTGATAGTCCAGAGAATCTGGCTGTGGACTGGGTTAATAATAAACTTTATTTGGTGGAGACTAAGGTCAACCGCATAGATGTAGTAAATTTGGATGGAAGGTACCGTGTTACCCTTATAACTGAAAACTTGGGGCATCCTAGAGGAATTGCTGTGGACCCAACTGTTGGGTAAGTGATGTGAAAACATATTGTTTCCTGTATTTTTAGAGCTTTATCTCTCCCCCTATACTGCAAATATCCATTGGATTAATTGAAGGCTAATTCTGATTTCTTTTAGGCTCTGTATTTTATGTCCTTATTCATAGAAACTTTAAAGGATTTGACTAAATATTATCCCATTTCAGGATATGTATTCAAATCACAACTAATAGTGCACTAAAAATATTTGATGTTTTTAGGATATTAATTTTATTCTTAGTGTCTGCCACATTTGCCTAGCTAAGAGATTGGATTCTGTGTTCTGGCTCAATTGATATTATTATTATGACTAACCATTACTTGTATTTCACCATTATTAAATGATCACCATAATATGAATCAGCTGTAATTTTTTTAAATTTATTTTTTAATTAAAAATGTTTAATTGTACATGTTTATGGAGTACAGTGTGGTGTTTGTGTTATTTCTATGCATGCATGATTCCCTCCAGGTAGTCAGTATATCCGTCACCTAAACATTTATCATTTGTTGTAGTGCTGATGTTCAAGATACTCTTTTCTAGCTGTTTTGAAATATGCAATACACTATTATTGGCTATAGTCATCCTAGAACTGCTGCAAAGTTTTTTAAAGAGGGGAAGGGAAGTTGGAACTATCCCTTCTGGTGCTTTCTTGTTTATAGACTGGTGTTGAGATATCAATGCTAGTATCTCATTACCAGTTGTTCATTGTGGATCAACCCAGCAAGACTGATAATGCTTACTTTTCTTCAGGTTTGAATGAAAATTTCCCTGATCTCCACATCTGAGAAGAGTTACAGGACTTAGCTTTCTCCTAGAACTTTACATCTGGGTCTTAGGACCTGTGAACAAACTTTAGGTTACTTTAGTGCTGTTGAATAGTGATTATTCATTTCTACTTCATTACTTTGGCTACCTTTGCTTGAAAATGATGGAAATGTTCTTTGGGCTATGTCTCAGAATGGACAATTGAGGAGGAAAATGACTTGATAGCTTATATGTATGTTTTCTTGGGTGTAAAAACGTGAAGTGAAAGACTGAGCCAGAGAGCAGGAGAGAAAATTCAGAAGCAAAATATGAATTTTTAGGCTCCATGTTAGCACATTTTAATAGTTGTTATTTGGAATCTTCTGATTGGCCTTCACAGTCTCTGTTTTTTTAAATACTTTTTTATTTCTCTGTTGTTTTATAACCCCATGTTTCTCTACTCAGCTAGAGGAAATTTTCATTGGTCCAAACACACTATCTAAAAAAATAATTTCCAGGTAAACTTGTAAAACAACAGGCTCTTTTATCTTTTGTTTTTCTTTTGTAGTTATTTATTTTTCTCAGACTGGGCAAGCCTTTCTGGGGAACCTACGCTGGAAAGGGCTTTCATGGATGGCAGCAACCGTAAAGACTTGGTAAAAACAAAGCTGGGATGGCCTGCTGGGTTAACGCTGGATTTGATAGCAAAGCGTGTTTACTGGGTTGACTGCCGATTTGATTACATTGAAACTGTAACTTATGATGGAATTCAAAGGTAAGAATTATGTCTTTATACGTTTGGGGGAAAGTGCATAAAATTGATGGAAAGGGATACCAAATGACCAGACAGAATTAAAATTAAAATATTGCCTTATTGGTTGATATGATGGCTTGATTTGACCTTTGTGTTGATATTTACATGAAGTGACCCACTCTGAGTTTTGTTAACTTCTTATGTTCCATAATTACCTAGAGCATCTGTTCTTTGATTTCTTCTCTCTATCCCCTGCCCTAATCCCAGATGAATCACATTATTTTTATTTATTCCTGAGTCCATGTATGTCTCTGGGTCCTTTATGGTTTGTCTCCCAAGATCACTTTACCTTTTAGTTTTCTAACTTTCCAAAAATAAATAAATATGTTTTATTATTTAACATTGTCCAGTAGGAATTAATTCTATTTTACTGTGCTCATATATATTTTTCAAATTTTAAAGAGATATTCTTTGTATCATATTTTTACCTGGTATCCTTCAAAGAGATGTAACAATATTTGAGTGTAGAATATTGCATACTTTTTTATTCACCTTAAATCTGATTAGAGTTAACTGTAAAATTAAATTAAATTGCTAAGTATTAAATTGTTAAGTTTAAATTAGTTAAACTGATAAGTATTTTAGATCTTTTCCTTTTGATGTTTTCAAAAATCAGGTAAAACATTCTTCAAATTTTGAAGAAGAAAAATTACTTTGTGGATTCAACAAATAGGCTAGTCAATTTAATTTTTCCATGTGAGTATATTGTTTTCTAATGAAAGCAATATTATAGTTTTGTTATCTCTTGAATCTCTTCTTTTAAGGATGATATCACATGGATAATATTTTTAGAATACTGGATTATATTCTTAGAACAATCTCTGCTTGGTTAAATGAAGTGAGTGGATATTAATATCTGACTTCTTATCACTGAAACTGGTTCCCATAGTGAGAATATGAATTAATTTCATGAAAAAAAAAAATGAATCATATGAAAGCAATTGTGAAATTGCTTATTTTTTTTCTCTTTCAATGGGATGTTTTGCCATTATACAGTCTTAATATTTTTATGCTAAAGTTAAAGTAAAGCATAAAAGATAAGTTGAGGGAGTTTTAGAAAGATTTGATTCATTTGCTGGCTGTGAAGAAACATCAAAGAAATATTAAAGCTCCTGAGTACAGTTGAAATCATAAAGTCATTGCCTCTCGCTTTGCCCAGTAGGTGGCATTCAGGATTCTGGAATTTGCTAACTGAAAAGAAAACCATTCTCTAATCTTAATGTACCATGTTATTGTTGAGTGTTTCAAAGTGTGCACTAACTTGACACATTACGTTTCTTTGTTTTCTCCCCTTCAGTGAGTTTCCCAACTTGAGTATCTTCAAGTCTTTTCTTAGATCTCTATTGAGTTTTCTAATTTTCAGGGGATGCTAAGATTTTCCATTCTATTAAGTCAAAAGAAAAAAAAAAAGAGTTTTCCCTCACGGGCCATCCTCTGCTCACTTTATTCACATGTCTCATGGTCATTGGTCATGTGGATGTAGTTATGGCAGGCACTGTTGATTTCCAACCCTCAGTGCCTTTTACTTCTATTTTCTTCCTATTTAAGCAGCTCTGGTCACTCTGTGCCTCCACTACGAGTATGATCAGTTGACAATTTTATCAAGCAGATGCATCACAGTGTTGGCTCTGCTTTTTGCTCTTCTTACAGTGACATCAGGAACAGATCTGGTGTTTGCTGTGGGTTAAACACTACCACTCTCTGTCCTGCTCTGTAATTGCTTAGAAGTGGTTAGTGATGCAATGAGAAATGATTGCTGAAGGCATCTTCCACCAGACTTCCAAATCCTTGTCACTGTCTTACACCTATGGAATTCACAGTGCTATTTCACATCTTGGCCAAGTACTTTTCCCCCTAAAAAATCTAGGCAAGCTAAAAGATTGACTAGGACTGGAATTAAAGACTCAAGAGTCTTTACCAAGAGACGACATGAAAATCCTATTATCAAATGTCGACAGAAGTTGCAAATCCACTGTATTTGTAACAAGAAATTGTTTAGCTTTTTAGACATTTAATTGTACTAACCACACCTTTAATCAAAATAAAGCCAAAAAACCAAACAAAATTAGTATACATATCTTTTGTAACAGGAAGACAGTAGTCCACGGAGGCTCACTCGTTCCTCATCCCTTTGGAATAAGCTTGTTTGAAGATCATGTGTTCTTTACTGATTGGACAAGAATGGCCGTGATGAAGGCAAACAAGTTCACAGACATCAGCCCACAAGTGTACTACCAGTCTTCCCTGAGGCCGTATGGAGTGACTGTTTACCATTCCCTCAGGCAGCCCCCTGGTAAGCCCCAGAGCAATGGTAACCGCACTTGGTATGGACTTGGTAGAAAGGTTTTCTTTTCTTTTTTTTTTTTTTAAAAAAGATGACCGGTAAGGGGATCTTAACCCTTGGCTTGGTGTTGTCAGCACCACGCTCAGCCAGTGAGTGAACCGGCCATCCCTACATAGGGATCCGAACCCATGGCCTTGGTGTTATCAGCACCGCACTCTACCGAGTGAGCCACGGGCCGGCCCCTGGTAGAAAGGTTTTCTAAAAGCTTTGGAAGTTAATGATGAACGAACGATTGCATGAGATTGGAGTGGTGTTCTTAAATATATGAAGGGTTATTTAGAGTGTTACATCCTCTGAAATTGGTCTGCAGATCATGAGCATTCTGGAAAAATTGATGTATTTCAGAATTGAAATGCCAAATCTAGAGGGAATTTAGGGATTTATTTAACAGATATTTATTGGCACCTGCAATGTGCCAGGTCCAGCCTAGATGCTGGGGTATAGCAGTGAACAAACCAAACCAAAACACCTATCCTGGGTGGATCCGTGGCTCACTTGGGAGAGTGAGGCGCTGGGAGCGCCGAGGCCGTGGGTTCGGATCCTATATAGGGATGGCCGGTGCGCTCACTGGCTGAGCACAGTGCGGGCGACACCACGCCAAGGGTTACGATCCCTTTACCAGTCACAAAAAAACAAAACAAAACAAAACACCTATCCTCATTCCACTGGGAGAAATCTCCTATTTCAACCCTCTAATATTACAGTTGAGGAAACTGAGGCCCCAGAGAAGAAAATGATTTGTCTAAGTGCTCATTTTAGGTAGTGCCAGAGCCATTTTTTCCCTTCTCTGTGGTATATATACAGCATTTGTTCTGTGGTTCCTATTAGGTCTATAATAGGCCAATTGGGTTTGGTGTCTGGCTGGTCACTTTTTTTTTTTTTGTCCTTTTTGTGACCGGTAAGGGGATCACAACCCTTGGCTTGGTGTTGCCTGCACCGCGCTCAGCCAGTGAGCGCATCGGCCATCCCTACATAGGATCCGAACCCGCGGCGGGAGCACTGCTGCACTCCCAGCGCCGCACTCTCCCGAGTGCGCCACGGGGCCGGCCCTGGCTGGTCACTTTTTAAAGAAAAGAAATATTTTGATTCAGACACTGTTTAGTCTTCTGTTATTTTACAGTAAGTTTTGTTTGTGTTTCAGGATTTTTTTTTTCTTTATTTTTTTGTCTTTTTTCGTGTCCGGCAACGGATCGCAACCCTCAGTGTCACACCCGTACCGGACCGGGACCGGCAACGGGATCGCAACCCTCGGCGTCGCGCCCGCACCTCGCTCAGCCAGTGAGCGGGAACCGGTCTGTATGTGGGATCCGAACCCTCAGTAGGAGCGCCGCCGCGCTCCCAAATGGCACACTGTAGCAGTGCACCACTGGGCCGGCCCTGTGTTTCAGGATTTTGAATTGAGCTTTGACATGTCTATCTGGACTGTATGTGGCTCTTTTCTGTATTTGCTTGTGCATCAAGGGAAAGAAATACAATAAAGTTAGACTATGTTGGTAGAAAGCTTAATATTGGTGAACAGTAATTTAGAGAAAGACAGATTTGCTTTAAAACTCTCATGTTAAGTGATGGGTCTGTTTAGGATGGAGAAAGACTATAAAGCAATTAGGTTAATATTTTTTAAAAAATCAGCAACTAGAGCTGGTATATTCAGATGAATATCCTTCCATATTATTATTTTGGGAAGACACATACTTATCTGTGAACATGTTGGAAATATCTATTTGGAATAGTTTTCAGACTTAATTCATGAGCTACTGAATTCATACCTGTCTTTACCTAGTTTGATCATCCAAATTACTGTTTTCATTATTTGGCTCAGAATGAAATCTGGCTGTTGTTTCCCCAAATCAACCCACCTGAGAAGAGAAAAAGAATATTTTAAAGAATAAGTCAAAGGCTAAGATGACAATTTCAAAAGAAGATATACAGTTTTTAGCTGTGGCAGCCCCGTGTAGAGTGTACAGTGAGCTTCCTGTGGTCACTACTCTGTGGGTGGCTTTTGGAAGTAAATATTGTTGCAGAAATGTAGGGTTTTAGAATCAGATCTGCATTTGAATCTTCATTTAGCCATTTAGCCTTTAAATAATCCTAGGCAAGTTGTGTAACCTTTCGGAGCCTTGGTTTCCTCCTGTGTAGTTGGCTTACTTACCAAGTAAGCATCCAGTGAGTAATATTTATTTATTGTATCTTATGAATGGTAAAATAGCACTAAAGAGTTTTTTGTTTTGTTTTGTTTTGTTTTCTTTTGTTTGGGGCGGGGGCAGTTATTTCTTTTTCTTTTTCTTTTTTTTTTTTTGTCTTTTTCCGTGTCCGGCAACGGATCGCAACCCTCAGTGTTGCCCCCGTACCGGACCGGGGACCGGCAACAGGATCGCAACCCTCGGTGTTGCTCCCGTGCCTTGCTCAACCAGTGAGCGGGAACCGGTCTGTATGTGGGATCCGAACCCTCGGGCGGGAGCGCTGCCACGCTTCCCAAGCGGCGCACTATCCAGTGCGCCACCGGGCCGGCCCAGGGGGCAGTTATTTCTAATCACAGAACCTTACAGACTCTGATATAATTATTAGGGGAAAAAAACCCCATAGTTATGCACTGTGGGAGTCCTGCTTTTTGCCACCATCAGTTTGAGTGGATGGCAGTACGGCAATGAAATGCAGGGGCTTAGTGCAGGCCAGATGTGGATTATACAGTAGTAACCAGTAGTGATGTCTACAGTTAGTTGCAGCTCCATTACTCTATTTCACCTATAGGGCTCAAAATGGCTTCACATGTTTTGTATGATTATACATTTCTAATTGCAATTTAATCCTGTGCATTTTTTCTTCCAGCTCGCAATCCATGTGAATATAACAATGGGGGCTGTGAGCAGGTTTGTGTCCTCAGCCACAGAACAGATAATGGTGGTTTGGGTTACCGTTGCAAGTGCACATTCGGCTTTCAGCTGGATAAAGATGAGTTCCACTGCATTGGTAAGAAATCTGTTTAGGACTGTCTTTGTGGCGGGCAGCACAGGGTTGTGTGCATGCATGTCTCTCCCCAGACAGCTTCCTGTCTTACTTCTCTTCAAATAAGCTTTCTGAAGCCCACAGGGTGTCTTCCTTGGTAGGCACAACTTCCCTCATACACAGAGCTTTGTTTGAAGATGTAAATTTCTGTCCTTTGTGACTTTCCTTTGATTCTACATCTAGGGTTTTCTTGGGCTTCCTTCCCCTTTGTTTCCTGAAACCTTTGTTTCCTTTTATTAACTATGGTCTTGAAGTTCCACATGATTGAATTTTGAGTAGTATGTATACCTTTTCCACTTTAGATGTTAGCCTTAACTTTGATGGGAAGTAGTTCTTTCTCATCACTTGTATTGGCTTCTCCTAGGCCACTGCTTATGCCGCTTTGAGCCAGGTAATCACATATTAATCCCACTTGGCTTTTTTGCTATATTCCAAAGTAAACTCTTGAGGGTTGGGGGAGCTCAATTCCTCATCTTTTTCACCATTCAGTTCAAACTTTCTTTATATTTGCCTCTGTGCTCCTAGTTTCATTCTTACTTTGGAGGTTTCCTTTCCTCCTCTTTGCTTGCCTGCACATCTGCTCACACTTAGGCCACTGCCTGGGCCTCAGCTGATGATGAAATGCACTCCTGTAATATTTGTTTCTCTTATTTTCACTTTTACCACTCTCCTTTTTATGGCTTTGAAAATTATTGGTCCTCAGATAGTAGTTTCTAGCCTAATATTATAAGTTCTCCTATTCTATCTCAGACAAATTTGTTAACTTCGTAGGTAATCCTAGATTCAGAAAAATCACCCTTATCTATAAAAACATGTGTTTGTGACTATTATATCAATAGTAGGTTGTCTAATGATTTTTCTTTCAAATTCCCTTCTGCAATTTTTGTCTTTGCCTTGGATACTACCTTTCATACCTCTCTGATTTCCTGACATACTGTTATAGTCTCCTTCTTTGATTTTATATATCACTTCTTACCTATTTCCTTCATTCCTCATCTCCTCTCCTTTCTTTCACGTCTTTATTTTTTTCTAAGTAATTTACCTGGTTGCTGTTAATTCTTCTCTCTTCCTGGTCTCAATACCTCAAAAACTGCAGTAGGATTCTTGGTGTAGATTTCTATACAAAAAAGTTAATTCAACTCACCTTCATAGTTGCTTATCTTTTTTTCTCCCTTCCATTATTTCCAACTCTGTTTTCCACAAATGTACTTTTTATGTTCATTTCAGAATTATATTTTACAATTATAAAGTTTGCTTCATGGATGCATAAATAATTTCTCTGGATTTTGGGGAGAGCAAGAACCGTGCTGTGGCTGACTGTGCCATGTCTCTTTTCCTACAGCTATTCAGAATTTTCTGATCTTTTCATCTGAATTGGCTGTTCGTGGGATCCCATTCACCTGGTCTACTCAGGAAGATGTCATGGTTCCAGTGACAGGGACTCCATCTTTCTTTGTTGGGATTGATTTTGATGCCCGGGAGAGCACTATCTTTTTTTCAGATACAGCAAAAGACATGATTTATAAACAAAAGATCGATGGCACAGGTGAGAAAATTTTGTGTGTGTATGTGTGCATGTTTTGCCTGTTTTCAATAATAATACCAATAATTAACTCAGTAAAACTTTGTATCCACTTCTTAAACATTTTTTCCTAAACTTGCTTAATACTTTTAGATCAGAAAAGAAATCTATTGCTTTTTTTTAATGAATTAAGTTAAAACAAACACTTTTCTTTATTTTCAAAACAATTTATACATGAAGGGTGTATTTTAACAATGACATATTAACAGAAAAGGAATGTCAGGTGTATGAAATCCATTAATAGATTGACTAGAGGTTGTTCTTCATATTCAGACAGCCAGATCAATCCAATGGGATGACCTCTCTTTAGGGATACTGGGTTACCTAAATGCCAAGGGCTGGGGTTAGAATAATAATAAATTAAAAAAAATTTTTTAAACTTTTATTTATACATATTTGTGGGGTATAGTGTGTTGTTTCAATACATGCATATACTGTATATTGATTCAGTTAGAATAGATAGCATAGCTTTATACCCATTAATCCACCACTTCCCCCCCTAAGGATTGCCATTTTAAACATTTTTACACATACAAGTGCATGGAATTAATTATACTCACAGTGCTATGTGACCACCACCTCTGTCTATTTCCAAAACTTTTTTTGTCATCCTAAACATGAACTCTGTGCCCACTAAGCAATAACTTCTCATTATTCCTTTTCCCCTGTTTCTGGTAACCTTGAATCTACTTCTGTCTCTGAAAATTTTTTTCTTTTTAATTTTATTTTTCCTTAATTGACAACCATGATAATTGTGTTTATTTATCAATTCAGTGTGATATTTGGGTGCATTTATACAGTGTACAATGATCAGATCAGGGTATTTAGCATATCCATCACCTCAAATGTTTGTCACCTTTGTGTTGGGAACGTTCAAAATCCTCCCAACTATGGGCCGGCCCGGTGGCGCACTGCTACAGTGCGCCGCTTGAGAGCGTGGTGGCGCTCCCGCCGAGGGTTCAGATCCCACATACAGACCGGATCCCGCTCACTGGCTGAATGAGGGGTGGGCGCAGCACCGAGGGTTGCGATCCCCTTGCCGGTCCTGGTCTCCGGTACGGGCGCGACACTGAGGGTTGCGGTCCGTTGCCGGACACACAAAAAAAAGACAAAAAGGAAAAAAAAAAAATCCTCCCAACTAGCTGCTTGAAGTTATGCAGTAATTTGTTATTAATTGTAGTCTCCCTATAGCACTATGGAACGCTAGATCTTATTCCCATCTCAGCAATTTTGTATTTTTTGACCAACTTCTCCTCCCCCCATTCTTCCTAAATAGTTAGACTGTGATTTTTGGTTAAATTCATAGTAGGTTTTTATATTATTAATATGAATATAAATATTGGTCACTGCTAGGCCAAGTAGTATTCTATGATGATATTTCTTGAGCTATTTTTGATTTTTTTTTTCCTGGAATTAACAATTGCCTCATCTTCATTTGCTTAGCTTTCTAATTAACTATCATATATTTTCCCCAAATGCTCCAACAGATCTATCAAATGCCTATCTACAGACAGCAAACAATCTGTCATTTTTTCCCCTTCTGGAGACCTCTACTCTGTTGCAGATGGGGCTTGTTTCTCTCCAGACCTGACGCTCAGCTCTTGTCTTCTGACTTCTGTTTGCCACTTTCCTGAGCTGGGTCTCTACTTATTTCCTTATTTTTCTGAAACACATTATATAATAGCTTCCTAAGAAGGATGGGTAGGGTGGTATATATTTTGAGTCTTTGAATGCTCTCCATCTCGACTGTTTGGCTGGGTATAGAGTTTTAGGTTGCAAGTAAATTTGCCTCAGAAATGTGCAAGACATTGCTCCAATCTAGTATCCAGTGCTGAGGATCCAGTGCCATGCTGAGTACCATTTCTGTGTGTGACTTTTTCTTAGTTTGTTGTTATTACTGTTTTGTTTTCTTTCCTTCCCAGAAGCTTTTAGGATCTTTTTGTTATCCCTTTAATCTTGAGATTTATGTCCTTTTGTTCTGGGAAATTTTTGCAGCTCTTTTTTTTTGGTGTTCTTTCTTTATGTAACTTTCAAAATGTTAGATTAATCACTTATTTTTAAAAAACCTTTTCTTTCATATGTTTAATGTCTATCATTTTGTTCTACTTTTTGTAGATATTTTGGTATTTTAGTTTTCAGCTTTTCTATTTAATTTTCAATTTTGAAGAGCTCCTTTTTATTTTCTAATTCTCTTTTTTCTTAACTGGTCTTGTTTCATAATTCAATATCTTACTTCTCTGAAGGCATTAATTACATTTTTAAAAGTTTAATCTTCCTCTGTTTCCAGTTTCTTTGGATTTCTTTTTCCTTTTGGCTTGTTTTCAACTTTCTTTTTCATTATGGAAGCTTTCTCCGAATGTCTGTGACCCTTGTTTGGTATTAAGGGAGAGGCTATAACAAGCCTCCGGGAAGGTCTGCAAACCCGTGGATGGGCCTCATCAGCAGTAAGCTTCAGGTGGTTGAGCAGCCCCCAAACGCCAGTATTAGTAAGTCTTTCTGGAGCTAGTCAGTTTCTCCTTGGCAGATGCTTCCCTTCTCCTTCTTGGGGTAGAGGTAAGATATAGGGAGCTGGCTGTCTGTGTTTTGGGAGCAGGGCAGAGGAAAGGGAGCTGAAAGCCCTTCCATTCAGCATCCACATGACCCCCTGTGCTCTGGCTGTGTACATGTCAGCCCTCTGTTGTGCACTATTGCCTAAGTCCATAGCCTCTCTGCTCCAGTTCCTCCAGAGAACATTTCTGGTCCATTAGACGAGATAGGCAGAGGAGAGTGGCATAATGCTTATGATCTGGGAGGGACCTGGGCCTCTGATTGCTCTCTATACTGACTTTTAACTAAGCCCTGTAGTTCCTCGCCCCTGACTTTTTCAGAACCTGGTACCTCTGAGTGTGAGTATGCCGAGGCTTCTGCATGTGAATGTGTGTCTTGTCTCTGCTGGCGCATAGCATGTAGCTTTCTCCTCCCCCACTTAGTGAGTTACCACTCCTTCAATCTCTTGCTCTTCAAACCTTTGTGGAGATTGCTCATCCGCTCTTCTTTTACTGTTATTTTAGTAGAGTTTGGGAAGAAGAGGAGATAAACATGAGCGGTTGGTCAATCTGCTGTTTCGAACCAGGACTTCTCTTTTCTGAGGATTAGAATTAGGTTCACTGAGCTTAGAGAACTCCAGTCAAGCTTAGCTTTCAGCAGAAGGCAGTCCAATATCGTGTTTCTGAGCCTCGTGCTGGCTCATCCTCCTGCAGGTGCCTCCGCAGGTCAGTGTCCTTACAGGAGTCCGGAATTCTCATCATAAGATTTTTCATTATCAAGTCCATATGTTGAGCAAGTTATTTTTTAAAATATTTTTTTGTTTGTTTGTTTTTGGTGGCTGGCTGGTAAGGGGATCCAAACCCTTGACCCTGGTGTTATAACACCATGCTCTATCCAGTTGAGCTAACCAGCTATCCCCAAATACTCTTATGGTCAGTGGTTAAACTCTCCGTGCTCCAGTGAGGGAGGTATTACATTGCTCTGTTTTTCAAGCAAGAATATTGTGTCAGTAAATATATATGCAAAAAATGAGTTGTCAGAAATCAAATTAAAGTCAAGATCGACTGAATGAAGCCCTCAGGGGAGTTCCTTCCATCAATTATCCCTATTCTTTTTTTTTTTTTTTCCTTTTTGTCTTTTTTCGTGACCGGCAACGGATCGCAACCCTCAGTGTCGCGCCCGTACTGGACCGGGACCGGCAACGGGATCGCAACCCTTGGTGTTGCTCCCGCACCTCGCTCAGCCAGTGAGCGGCCGGTCTGTATGTGGGATCCGAACCCTCGGCGGGAGCGCCGCCGCACTTCCCAAGCGGCGCACTGTAGCAGTGCGCCACCGGGCCGGCCCTCCTTCTGTTGCTTTACCATTCTTTCTAATGCTTCCTAGAGGTCTTTTCTCCTTTCCCCGCCCTGTAAATAACTGTGATCTCTGGTGCTCAACATCGGTCCTCCTCTTCTTCTTTGGCATAGTATCACACCTACCATATCTTTGATTACCATCTATATAGCAATTATAAATCCATGAGGGGAGACTTTAATAGGTCATTTACTATACTTTTTTCTTCTAACATGGGGAAAGAGGGAAAGGTCAGGGAACATGTCTCCTAGGTGATGATAAAAATCTCTATCCAAGTTCTCTCTCTGAGGTTCCTTTGGGTACCTCACCTGGATATCCCACAACCATCTCAAAATGGACATATCTAAGAGGACACCTTCATCCCACTTCTCACAGGCCTTCCTGCCTTAGGGGAAGAGTGTAACCACTCACCACTCAACCTGCTATTCACTGTCAACTTCTCCCCCTTCTTTAGCCTCCGTCATTAACTCACTGACCTCCAGCCATGCTCCAGAACATGTGGAGTTCGCAGTCCCTCTCCCTTGTGAGTCTTTGCACTCCTACAGCCCTAATCCACTACTTCCTTTGGGCAACCTGTCCACACTTGCACTTTGCCGTATGCTCTCACAGCCTCCTGTGCATACCTCCATCACAGTATCCATCACTCTTGCTTTGGTCTCTTGGCCTACTTGCTTCCTCCTCTCTCACCACCTCTTTATAAATTACCAAGAGGGCAGCACCCCCACTTCTTTTCAGATGCCTCACTTCTCTGTGGCTCAGTTTCCTCATCTGTAAAATAGGGACAATAATAATACCTACTTGATTAATTGGTTGTGAGGATGGATGGATCTGTGTAAAGTACTTGGTTCAGTTCCTGGCTCATAATAATTGCTCATTTAATATAAGCTATTATTATTACTATTAGTAGTGGTATGTTTCCTAGATATCCAGTAGGTTATTTATCATGTCGAGGACTTTCCTTTTTATAATTTGCTGAATAAATGAATGGAAAAGCACTAGGATTTATTTTCCTACTGAAAAAGAAAGAGATGTACTTGTTTATTCTGATTTAGATTCTCTTTAGTGAAAAAAAGAAACAAAAGAGGAGAGACATAAAAATTTCACACAGGGGTAAGTGGTCTTTTTTCTCCTGTACCCAGTTCTGATTTCCTTTCTTGTATCTTTGCTAGCCTTTTCTAAACTTGGCAACTTTGTGCCTGTGAAAGACTGTTGATGAGAGGGTTGGGCAGTAAATACCTCAGGGTTACCCCTGGTTGTACCTGGCAGTGTCAGCTTATCAGAGCTGTCTGGGGGTGGTAGTAGGTGAACTCAGGTATCTCTTCTTCAGATGTTCTGCAATGAGAAATTTTTTCTGGAAGGTTGAACAAGGGAGTAAATCCAGGCCATACCACTCCTGATTCTATTTATCAGTATCATATCTATTCTTTGAGATCCAAAGTCTGGGGAATGGATTCTAGGTTTATCTCATGTTGCTCAGAGGCTTACAGTTTGTTTTTTAAAAGAATTCCACATGTATTATTAAAATACGCTCTAACTCTGATCCATCATTTAAATTATACAGTAGTAGGAAAATGTATGTGTTATAAAATATGCTTTAAACTATGTCCATATTTCAATTTATAGGAAGAGAAATTCTCACAGCTAACAGGGTGGAAAGTGTTGAAAGTTTGACTTTTGATTGGATTTCAAAGAATCTCTATTGGACAGACCCTTCTTACAGGAGTATCAGTGTCATGAGGTTAGCTGATAAATCAAGACGTACAATAGTTGAGAATTTAAATAACCCACGAGCAGTTGTAGTTCATCCCATTGCTGGGTAAGTGTGTTCATGTTTTACTGAGAGTTTGAAAGTGTATATCTGTATGTCTTTTGCAGTCATTGAAAAGTGATGCCATAGGGATTTGGCAAGTTCAGCAAACATAAAATTGAACTGTGTCACTTGAAATCACCTTAAATTTTATCCCTTTTGCATAAGCTTAAGTAATCACTTTATCTCCTTCAAAAAACTTTTTCTAAGTTTTGGCTTTCCCAGTCTTCACTGAAGTGTGGTTTTTTCCGCAATTGCGGAGGATCAAACGATGTGACACAGGTTCAGTAAGGAATGAACAAATATGCAGCGGAATTATCAGGAAAAGCTCATTCTTTCCCTGCTTTAATGTATTGATATAAAGCTTAGCAAAATTTTCTTAATCATTCAGTAGTTTCCAGAGGAAAAAGTTTTTCAGACCACAAAGTTTTGTGTTTTTCATTCTGTAATTGGTGGTGTCGGAAAAGACAGAACAGTTCGCAATATTTGTTTTTGGTTCTTTCCTTTCTTATTTAAACATGTTTAATAGTTAACATGTTTGTTTCAAGTCTGAGCTAGTCAGTTGTATTTGAATGGAATAATAAAAAAGATGGCTGGCAATTCACTAAAACTGATGTCATCTAATCCAAAAACTAGTTTGTGAAGGAGATCTGTGTAAAGCCCATTTTAGAGACAACAAATCTGAGGATCAGTGAGATAAAATGACTTCCCAAAGGACCCACAACTGCTAAGCAACAGTTGGTATTCAGATTCCAAGGCCCGTCCAACTTCAATGCCTGTATGCCTCTAGAGTGTTTACCTTATATTATTTCTCCTTGTAAAAGAATATAAGAAATATGTTTAAAAACTGATGATTTTATTGATAAGATTTTATTGCCCTTTAAAGTGTTAAACAATTGATTTTCTAATGAATTTATCTTAATCTGTAAGTCTAGCATTTTGGTTTTGAAAAGCTGTTAAATTCCTTTCCTAGTGATTTCTTCATTTGCGGGTTTTTTGCTTTTGGTTTTTTTGGTGGCTGGCCAGTATGGGGACCCAAACCCATGACCTTGTTATCATAAAGCTGCGCTCAAACCAACTGAGCTAACTAGCCAGTTGACTTTTTCATTTAAAATGATATAAATTAGTCACATTTCTTTTTTGGAAAAGACTAATTTTGATTTCCTCCCCAAGGATCTTATGAAAGAGAAAAGGGTGTTTTTTTCCCCCTAGGGAGCTTTTTAAAAAAATCTTTTTGCCACTCCTCAGAATAAAAAAAGATGCCCTGGGTAAGATATTGTTTAAGAGTTACATTTTTTTTTTTTTCTAAAGATGACTGGTAAGGGGATCTTAACCCTTGACTTGGTGTTGTCAGCACCACGCTCACCCAGTGAGCTAACCGGCCATCCCTATATGGGATCCGAACCCGTGGCCTTGGTGTTATCAGCACCACACTCGGTTATCAGCACCACACTCTCCCGAGTGAGCCACGGGCCGGCCCCAAGAGTTACATTTTTGAATGCTTTCTTCATCTGGGATGAAGTGGTTTCCTGCAAAATTATCAATTCCATATGGAAAAATGACAAGAAATTGATCTAGGGGTTCCTGGATGTTTAATCCAGAGAGAAAGAGAGATTAAAATCTGTTTACTTGCTTGTGGTTTATTATTTCAACAACATGGAGTATTTAATCTGTAACTTGATTTTGTGTCTTTTTAAAGAATCTGTTGGATGAAAATAGTTTCAGGTCCTAACGTCTAGGACAGCGGTTCTGTTCATTTTAATTTTAATGCCATTTGTATTTGTGACTTTGGTTACAAGTTTTTGTTTGTTTGTTTTGTAATTTATGGAACACTTTAAAAATTTGTGTCTTCCTTGCGCAGGGGCCATGCCAGTCTTCGCATCATTCCAATTTTAGTATATATGCTGCTGAAGCGAGCACTGGTTACATGTTGATAACTGAAGTTTTAACTAAGAATTAGATTAAGTATACATTCAATCTGCTAAGCCCAATAGCATATACAGAAAATAAAATTAATTTTGTTCTCCAGTGAGTTTCTGGAGAATCTATGTTTGTGCTAAATCTCTGTAAGTCATGGAGATTGTCCTGGTGTTAACACCCTTGCTTTATTACCTCTTTTTCTAGATATATATTCTTCACTGATTGGTTCCGTCCTGCCAAAATTATGAGAGCATGGAGTGATGGATCTCACCTTTTGCCTATAATAAACACTACTCTTGGATGGCCCAATGGATTGGCCATCGACTGGGGGTAAATAGGAATCACTCGGCATTACTGAGTTCTTTCTTACTGCAGAATACATAGGAGGCATACTGGGGTAATATGATGGATAAGGAAACTGGTACTGCTTGCCCTCAGAAACGTTTTAATCATTAATTGGTGGTGGGAGAAGGATTTTGAGTGATGTAAGAACAAAAAGAACATAAGCATAGTTAGCCAGCTACTGCTAGGATGAAAACTAAGGCATTCTTGAATATTCTGAGGAAATTGCTCAGAGGGAACAGAATGACAGGACTTAGTGGAAGGTCAGGATGGAGGAGGCGAGTCCCAAATCCCGTTAAAAGTAGCACAGGAATTTGATGAAATGCAGATCCTGTGTAATTTCTTAAAGGGGTTATCTTGAGGATAAGAAATCTCTATATGTCAATTAATCAAATGTACATCTGCTTATATGGACTTTGGGAGAATTTTTAAAGTATAAGATATAGTTCTCAATAAATTGATGATCTATGTAGGAAAATAGGAAAAGGAATAAGGTAAATAAACTTGTAGACATGAAATGCTAAACTAGTTTATGGGAGAGGAAATGGGAAGAATTGTATTTTAAAATAATTTTTTTTTTCTGGAGGCTGGTCAGTACAGGGATAGAACCCTGGATTTTGGAGTTATCAGTACCATCCTCTAACCAACTGAACTAACTGGCCAGCCCCTGTATTTAACCTTTTAAAAATAGATTACTAGCAATATCGTTTTAACTTGTTGATTTTGCAAGGAGAAAAAGAAATTTTTAATTCAAAGATAGCAGCACTTCAAGTTTTCTAAGAGAATTAATTGAAAGCCATTTCATTAAAGTAGCTATATCTTTCTGGGGGGAATAAAATTGTTAAATTTTTAATGAATATAATTTAAGTTTTAGCAACTTTGTTTATTAAATGTGTTAATGAACCATACTGTTTGAATGCCCTCAGTGTAAACAGTGCTCTGCTAGTTTCTGGATAACAGATAACTAAGTATTTTATTATTTTAGTGCTTTACGATTATACTGGGTAGATGCCTATTTTGATAAAATTGAGCACAGCACCTTTGATGGTTTAGACAGAAGAAGACTGGGTCGTATAGAGCAGCTTTCACATCCATTTGGACTTACCATCTTTGAAGGTATGTTTTGAAGCAATGAAAGTGTATTTTATTTTTATACTTAGCAAGTTCTAACAGTAAACCCAACCTCATTTGACATTCTCACAATTCCAGAAGAGCTGGTCACCTTAAAATACAATGAATTAAAATTATATATAGACAAAACATTTGATTTGTTGATGGAATATTTCACTTTTAAAGTGTGTATTTTGTTTTGGACACATTTAGATAGTAATATCAACAACCTATATGGGTATAGCACTTTGTAGATTACACATATTATACAATTCAACATCTCAAGTACTCAGTTACATAAGTAGCACATAGGAAATAGTAAATTACTGCTTTTGTAATTTTCAAGCATAACAGCAAGAATACAATATAGTAACTATTGTAGTATATTATTGTTCTCTGTTGTTTGTATGAACCTCATCAGAATCCTTGTGGGAAGATGATTACACGATTACATGTGTTCATCAACTGTATGCTCAGTGAATAACTTTGAAGCCTTTTAGTCAAAATGTTGGGTAACCGACATTGTCTTTGTCATACAAAAATGTTAGGACATGGCTTATGAAGAACAGCAAGACATGATAGCTTTTTCATCAACCTTTCCAAATAATTTTAAGTTATAAAGATTGCTGGGAAGGAGGGAATTCTGGCAAAGCACATCTACGGTGATCACAGCCAGTGCATGGGATTTCCTTCTCTCAACTCTTCTCTCACGTGTAGGCATGCTGTTATGAGTCGAGTTGCTGGAAATAAGATGTAGCCTGGCACCATGAAACACATGGTTTGTTTAGTCTTGAAAACAGGGTTTCTGTGAATTGTTGTATAGTTTGTGCACTGCACAAAAGTACCAGGCCAACAGGGTGAGAAGAAACTGAAGTCTACCCCAGGTCTGCTTGACAAATACAATTAGTCCGGTGAGAAGGGTGACATTTTGTACAGGGCTCTACGTAAAGGCCCTATGTATATGCTAGTTGTGTCCCTGGTTGAAAACCTCCTACTTTGAATAATTAGCACGGTGCTTTAAAAAATTAGACAATGACTGTAAATAAAAGACTTTCTCACACACAGAGAGTGTGGAATGAAAATTTAGTAAATATATTGCATATTCCATGCTGCTGTCTGTTCATCTGTGGAGGAGTGTGTGGTCTTTAAAAATATTTAAAAAACGCTCTTGTGAGATTTTTGATGAGATGAGTTGATTATGAATACTCACTCGCCCTGCCTCCCCCATGTATTTACTCCCTTTTCACTAATGATGTCAGACACATGCTATTTGCTGTCACATTGGAACATTACAAGAATGTTAAATTTTCTCTGCTCTGTGATGGAATGTTTTGAGACAATAAAAATGCAGTTTCAGTACCTTTTGGTTTCATCAGTATGAAAAAATTTGAATGCATACCTATGAGAGCAATACAACATTCCCAAAGTAATAATAATAATTAGTTCTTTCCAACACTGCCCTTCAACTGTGAATTTCTTATGGTGAATTCTTTTCTTGTGCCACACCTTTTTACTGAAAAACTAGATTTTCTTGATTGTGAATCACACAAGAATGAAATGTGTATTGAACTCCTTATCTATTTAAGTATATTAAGATACCTTCCTGAGTGGTGGGACTGAGATTACCAGTCAGTAGAGATAAGATTTACTGAGTCCAGTGACTGATTAGTCATTGATTAGATCACAAATAAGGAAAACTAGTCTAATGATAAAATTTGTGACATCTTAAGCATTTTCTGGTTAATAGGGATTTCTAGTTTGTTAAACTATTGTTAAAGAGAAAATCTATTTTGATTCAATCCTTTATTTTAAAAACTGTTGAAATATATGTTTACTTCCCAACTTCAGTAGTTAGTGTAAAGTGAACATGATTGAATTTTTGTTGTTTAGAATCTTACATTGTCTCTCTATTACCGTTCTGAGCATCATGGAACATTAGTGTGGTTGTAGGTGTATGTACACTTGTGTTGGTTTTTTTATTGATGATCCCTGAACATACTATGAAAGTTTCTTTTTGGACTAGATCTGTACTTTTCCTTCTTAGTAGCTTTTTATTAAAGTTGAGTGTAAAAAACATTTTTTTTTTTTGTTCTCATTAAGATATGGGATATGGATGGAATGTTTGAAATGGAAGGGATCTGAGAGATGATTTAGTCTGTTTCCTTCACATAGTTAAATATTTGCTTAAGAGGACTCAGCAGGTTAGTGCTTTAGGTGGGATAGGAGCTCAGTCTTATGACACCTCATCTAATACTCTATAGAAGCATCCGGAGATTTTTTATTTTTAAGTCTAAACGTAATTGTTACTAAATGCCATCATAAAACTCCATACATGCTTGTCTGACCCTGAACCTTGGTATTATTAAAATAAAGGCTTCTGAGGAGTATTTCTAGAAAGTAACACGTCACAGAAAATGGTTACAGAAACAAATAACAGATGTTTGTGGAAGAAGATTCTCACATATGCAAGGAGCTTTACAAGCATGTTGCATTTTCCCAAGAGATTTATTTGTAAGTGAGCTGTGACTGAAAATACTAATCACCTGTGTTTCTTCTTAGACTATGCATATTTTACTGACTGGAGACTGGGTGCTATTGTTCAAGTCAGGAAAACGGATGGTGGAGAAATGACAGTTATCCGAAGTGGCATCAATAACATAATGCATGTGAAATCATATGATGTTAACACCCAGATTGGTGAGTGAGGCTCCTTCTCTCTCTCTCTCTCTCTCTTTTTTTTTTTTTGCAGCTGGCCAGTATGAACTTCTACCTTTAAGTACTTGACATGCGTGCATAATTTAATAATGTAAGCCTTTAAATCTCTGTTCAACTCTGCTAACCCTAAAAGTGTTGTTGGGAAAAACATCTTGTAGCACTTTTCTGTATTTAAATGGAATGTTATATTTGTCAGGTTGATTTGTAAGAGGAGAGGCTACTTTTTAGTATTAGGTCTGAAAAATGTTCTTTCCCATTTGTTTTCCTTCACAAATCAAACCTGTGATCAATCAAGTGGAAATGTGCATGACTTACTACCTCAGGGCTTTGCTTTTGCAGGTTCTAACCCCTGCAACCAATCCACTCATCCTAACGGTGACTGCAGCCACTTCTGCTTCCCAGTGCCAAATTTCCAGCGGGTATGTGGGTGCCCTTATGGAAAGCGGCTGGCTTCCAATCACCTGACATGCGAGGAGAACCCGGCCCATGAGCCACCCACCCAGCCTTGTGGCTCATTTTCCTTTCACTGTAACAATGGCAGATGTGTGCCCGAGTACTACCGCTGTGATGGAGTCGATGACTGTCATGATAACAGTGATGAGCATCTGTGTGGCACATTTAGTAAGTAGTTCTGCACTGGACATGTTTTGTGGGATGAATGTCCAGAGAGAGGGGGGCTTTAAAAAAATAAATAAAAGTGTGGGTTATTTATATGGGAAAAAATATCTTTTAGAATTTCATATTCTTAACATTTAGTACAACGGATTTTAGGAAGCTAAGCAATACATTTCATTCATAGTGTTACAGAGGGTTTCTAGCATTGATTTACATGATTTCCAATAAAATTTCCCCTTGACATTGGCTATTTAGACTGATGCAGAGTCATTACATCTTGGCAAGCTCCTCAAAAAGTTAAAGTGGACATAATCTTTAATATCTGAGAGAAAAGTATCGCAAAATAGATGCTTGTAATCATAGCCTCTGAAAACCTCATGTGCTAGCTTCCCTTTTCCTCCCCTTATGGAGTAAAAAAAAGTAGGGGTGAGATGGCATTCTTAACCTTTACATTCTGTTTTTGATGGTAATCTAAAGTCTGACGCCTAATAAATGCTATTGCAGAAGGCAAAAGTATTCCACTAAAAATTTAAAAAATAAAGATATGACAGTTGACATCTCAAAAACTCTATCAAGGTGAGATTATTACTAATAATAACATATCTTTCTGGAGAAAATGAAGAATGACAGAATTGAAAAATAAAAGTATCCACATAGACATTTTTCTGAAATTTAAAAAATTTTCATTCTTTTGTGTGTAATATTTCTGTTTCTAAGAGTGCAAATTTTTTTTCTTTTATAAAGTTAACCGGTAAGGGGATCTTAACCCTTGACTTGGTGGTGTTAGCACCATGCTCTCCCAAGTTAGCTAACTGGCTATCCCTATGTAGGGATCCGAACCCGTGGCCTTGGTGTTATCAGCACCACACTCTCCCAAGTGAGCCATGGGCCAGCCCCTAAGAGTGCAAATTTTTTTTTGTCTTTTTTCGTGTCCGGCAACGGACCGCAACCCTCAGTGTCGCGCCCGTACTGGACCGGGACCGGCAACGGGATCGCAACCCTCGGTGCTGCGCCCGCCCCTCGCTCAGCCAGTGAGCGGGAATCGGTCTATAGGTGGGATCCGAACCCTTGGCGGGAGTGCCGCCGCGCTCCCAAGCGGCGCACTGTAGCAGTGCGCCACCGGGCCGGCCCAGAGTGCAAATTTTTACATGAACATTTCGTTTGCATGTTTCATATGACACATTTTCAAAGTTTCTGTAGACTTTTGAATTGTGATAAGAGGAAGTGCAGCTTAGAAGTTAGGGATGGGCCTCAGAGTTTGAATACCAGCTAGAGTTTGAATCTTGGGCAGATTCCTAAATCTCCCAAAGCCTCAGTTTCCTTATCTGTAAAATGTAGATAATTATATGTATTTCATAGTATTCTTGTGAGGATTAACAGAATATATATATATTCTGGTTGTATAACAGATATATATATATATATATATATATATATATCACTTAGAAAAGTTCCTGGTATATGATAAAATGCTAAATAAATGTCAGCCAATGATGATGATGATAATTGTGGTGGTGTTAGCGTCACTCGATGCACATTTTTCCTTATTTTGTATAATGCCCCTATTGAAGAAGGAAAACTGAGCCTTTTCATTTAAAAAGACATAAAAACAAATGTCTTCATGACCAGTTTTTTGCTGTTGCAGATAATACATGTTCACCTTCGGCATTCACCTGTGGCCATGGAGGAGGGTGCATCCCTGCATACTGGCGCTGTGACAGTCACAGTGACTGTGTGGATGGCAGTGATGAGCAGAACTGCCCCACCCATGCACCTGCTTCCTGCCCTGCATCCCGCTTCACCTGTGACAATAACCTGTGTATCCCAAGGAACTGGGTGTGTGACACAGACAATGATTGTGGGGATGGATCTGATGAAAAGAACTGCAGTAAGTCTTAACTTGGTTTCTCTTGGTCGGTCAGCTTAGTAAATAGATCCAACAGTCAGTTGGCTATGCACTCCTTCCTAAGGCTCACATAATTTTCACTGTATCTTAGGCACTTCTCTTCTATCTGTCAATCTCTGTGTTAATAGGCTATAACAAGGGCACATTCCTGCACATGGTAAGCTTAGAGTCCTCCGACAAGTACTGAGGTCTATGGAAGCCAAACAAGGACTGTCTCTGATGCACAAAATCCATATAGGAACCGAAAAATCAAAAATCTCTCAACCAACTATTCAAATATTTAAAATAATTTTTTTTTTAAATCACATAAATATATCCAGGCAGTTGTTTATTGGATTTTCTCTACATTTGATTCAGGCAAAAAGGCAACAGAAAAAAGAGATAAAGAAAATTTAAATTTCCATCTTATCCACCTGCTTTTCATCTTGCCAGTTCTGTTTCCTTTTTTTTTTTTCTGGTAGCTGGCTGGTATGGGGATACAAACCCTTGACCTTGATGTTATAACACCCCGCTCTAACCATCTGAGCTAACTGGCCAGTCCTGATTTCCTTTAAGTTGTGTTTATTTTCATGTATTCATAAAAGTTTAAGGTGGAGCAAAATTCCGCAGACTAAATTCTAGTCCTGGTTGCATGAGCAGGCAGGTCACTTTCCCTTTGGAGTAGATGAGCTTTAAGATCTTTTCTAGCTTTTCAGCTGTGTCTTAACAGCAAGGTAGGATTCTGGTTTATAGAATTGTTCTGTTTAGATTTTGGATTAAACCCACTCGTTGTGATTGGTTTACACACTGTTGCTACTGGGCATGTGGGTCATGCCAACCATGTTGACCAGTTGGGCTCCATTGTTTAGCTTTGGTCTAAAGTCATGGACTTAATAGTATTCATGATGCTATTCCAAGCACATGATGTGCACTTTCTAAATGTTGTCTGTTTTTCAAGGTGTAACCACAGTTTCTGACTCTGCCCTGTAATCTTTTTATTCCTGATTCCAAAATCTGTCCTAGCTTTGAGTTCTCTTGCTGAGCTGACTTTGACGATGTGTCTGATTTAAAAGCGTTTTGAAGAAATGTACAACTGGTATAACTTGTGTAACTACTCTTCAGTTTTTCAGTTTGGCTCTGATACACATTGAACCAAGAAATAAACTTATTTGGTTTTGTTTTTGGATGACATTAGCGTTGACAACAACATGCCGACCGAGTCAGTTTCTTTGCCCTGACCATCGATGTATTGACCTATCTTTTGTCTGTGATGGGGACAGGGACTGTTCTGATGGATCTGATGAGGCTGGTTGTGGTAAGTGGATTGCTTTATTTTCATTCACAATGTTTATAAAAATCACAATGTTTAGTTATTTTTTCCCTGAGCTAATTTCTAATGCTTTTCTCCTTCATTCTTAGAATTAAACTGCACTGCTTCGCAATTCAAGTGTGCCAGTGGGGGTGACTGTATTAGGAACACATATCGTTGTGATGGTGTTTTTGACTGCAGTGATCACTCTGATGAGTCAGGCTGTCGTAAGTACCACACACCCAGCATGTTTCAGACGAAGGGATCATTTCATTTTTGCCGATATTATATTACCACAAATGTTCTCAAACTCAGATAAACTGGAAGACAGCCTGAATTATAAAGTATTCTCAAAGGAATGCAGTATTGACCATGCAATAAAATTGATTAGGCATTACCAAATAATGATTTGTAATTAGCCAATTAAGTGGTTGTATAAATAAGCACTTCAAATAGTCTCTGAGGTGGGTTAAATATTTCTTAGATATCTTTGTTTTCAGTTTTAATATTTCTTATCACATCCCAAATTAGTGGATTTCAAATTTTTGAGGCTTTAATGTATATAAAGATATTTTACTGAGTTCTTTTAAATCTCAATAGTGAGATGAAATCACATTACGGACATGGTATGGAGCTGTATTTGGTATTGACTCTAATGAATTTATGTTTTCAGCTATTATTTGTTTGAATATCTGCAAATATGTTATATATGGCCTTCGTCCTTTGAATCTGCTAAAAGGCAAGAGACAATGAAGGCAAAATAGACGGTTACAAGGGCCTTAGAAATGGTACAGGTAAAACTCTATGGAGATTCAGAGAAAAAAATTCTTTCTAGTTGGAGGATTCAAAGAGGACTTCATACAATATAAATCTGATGGACCTATAATCTTAACAGGCTGGAGACCTATAATGACATGATTTGTCATTGCCCACTTTTTGGGTTAAATAGATTTTGGACTTGTAAAAAATTGTCAGAGAGTTGGTCATTTGTTTGAACAATGGTGTTTTGAACCATAAAAAGTAGATTTTTATCAATTCATCTTCCGAATCAGAAAGGAAGTATGTAAATTCATGAATAAAAAGAAAACTTAAATAAAATGCTTATATGCTTTATAGTTTGCATAGCACCCAGAAATTCCTAATCACTAATTTTCCTGTTTCACGTTGAAAACGTGAAATTCTGTGATGATCTGAGGTTAAACTGCCAACTGCCACCGGCTTGCTGTTGTCTTACAAGGTCCCTGGGAGGGATCTTGGGTTTACCCTGGTGAAATAGGGAAGTGATTTTTATCTGTCTCTCAAGGATTGCTTGGTGAATAGTGGAAAGTTTGCAAAGAATTCAGTATTTCCTGTCACCTTTAGTTTACTTAATGTGTGCTGGATTCATTGGATATAGTTCACTTGAGGGAAAATAATATAACTTTCAAACATACCAATATAATATTAAACGCATGAAGTTTGTAGTAACCATAGCTATTTAAGCTCTTGAAATGCTCTGTTAATTCTTTTATAGAGAGATGGATGAATTTTATTGTTGAATCTGCAATTGAGTGAACATTAGCTAGCTCTCTTTTCTTGTTTTGTTTTTGTTTTTTGGAGGCTGGCCGGTATGGGGATCCAACCCTTGACCTTGACCTTGGTGTTATCAGCACCACACTCTAACCAACTGAGCTAACCGGCCAGCCCGAGTGAACATTAGAAATGCAGGAAACAGTATGTTCTTATGACTCAGGTACTTATCTTCTTTTATTTTTAATTTAATTTTTTAATTTTTAATTTTTATTAGCATGTTCATTGTTACAAATCATACTTATTCTTTATGCCCCTTATCCAATTCAGGTACTTATCTTCTATTCAAGAGTTCTGCATCCTATATTTAGTTTGTTGTCAGGCCTACTAATCTGACACATAGAAATATTTCTATGTACCATAATGTGGGAGAAGACCCTATATCATTTTTGCCTTTAATATTAATTTTGTCGTAGCCATTATTATAAACCTAGTACTCATCCAAAATCATTTCCTCTGAATCTAGACTATAAAAGGGATTATGAATTGCATTCAAAAGCCCATTTCCTTCATGCTTTTCTTCTAGCAACCAGGCCTCCTGGTATGTGCCACTTAGATGAATTTCAGTGCCAAGGAGATGGTACCTGCATCCCAGGCACCTGGGAGTGTGATGGGCATCCAGACTGCATCCAGGGATCTGACGAGCACCATGGCTGTGTCCCCAAGACATGCCCTTCATCTCATTTCCTTTGTGACAATGGAAACTGCATCTACAAAGAGTGGCTCTGTGATGGGGAGAATGACTGCGGGGATATGAGTGATGAGAAAGACTGCCCTACTCAGTCCTTTCAGTGTCCCAGTTCACAGTGGCAGTGTCCTGGCCATAGCATCTGTGTGGATCTGAGTGCAGTGTGTGATCACATCTTTGACTGCCCCAATGGGACAGATGAGTCCCCACTTTGCAGTAAGTTTTCTGACCACAGTTTACTGGCCATAAATTTATTCTGAGAAGTAGCCTGGTGTGGATCACCATTGTTACACTCAATGTGTAGCTTTCTAGGAAGGGATTTCAGTTCCTTTATGAGTTCAAATTGGTGTAGGCTTTATGAGTTCAAATAGCATCCAAATAAATCATCACTGGTTGATATTTCTCATTAAATCCTTTGCACTTGTTTATGTGTCTTTACTTCTTTTTTTTGTCCTTTTTGAGACAGGCCGCACTGTGCTCAGCCAGTGAGTGCTGTGAGCGCACCGGTCATCCCTATATAGGATCCGAACCCGCGGGCGGGAGCACTGCCGCGCTCCCAGCGCCGCACTCTCCCGAGTGCGCCACGGGCTCGGCCCTCTTTACTTCTTTTTATGTCATTATTTAGATAAATGGGAATAAATGAGGCCATTATATTGTCAAATTAAATTTGGTTCCGTTGGTAATGTGCTCATTAATTTTCTAACTTTAATATTTTCTAATTTCAATCAGAACTTGCCACAAAAATAAATGAAGTCTGGGGATTTGTGTTTGCTGTGATTAAAATGCTGTGATTGGCATGTATTCCTAATTACTGTCCTCTTTCTTTCCTCTTTAATCAATGCTCAATCTCAGATGAACCCCAGCCAGGTATGATTGCAAAGTATTTTAGTTTCTTATGATTCATTGTGTTTGTGCTGAAAATGTCCTAATTATTTTGACATCCCCTTCTAGTGCATGTTCCGTATTATGAATCTTATAAATAAGTTAGAGTACACATGGAAATAGAGGGTATTTGCATCCAAGGCACGTGAACTGTCTTTGGGTGGATTCAGGCATTGCTATTTTGCCCTTGAAAGTAAGAAATGATGGTATGTTAATGGATGTGTGCCCTCTAATGTTCCAGTGGCCTTTTCCATTCCATTTGTTCACTTTCATAGGTCTTCCAGTCTTTTCTCTTAAATGTTTTTCTTCCATTTCTGTATAGATATAAGAATTCGGAGGAAGCAAGTAAGAAGCACGTTAGGTTTCCTAGTGTGCTTTATCAATGATAATTTTGTTTCTTGATGTCAACAGTATTTGCCCAAAGTACTCTCTTTGCACTAAATGGAGTTATACTCGAGGGTTGTAGTAAAGACAGTGATCTGATGGATATGAAGGATAATAAATCCTCAGGCAAATCAGAGCAGACACTGAGCAGCCTGTGGAGCTCATCTAAGAGAATGCTGCTCTTATCTGGGCATCACACTGAAGATGTCATGAGATTACATGACAAATGCCATGAGACTACATAACAAATGTCACATCAGAGCGAATCAAAGAAGCAAAGATTCCTGACTTTTTCCCTTCGTGATTTTCTTTCTTTATTCTAGACCAGGATAGCTGCTCAGATTCCAATGGCGGTTGTACTCACCACTGTATTCAATCGCCCTTTGGGGCTAAATGCCTATGTCCTTCGGGATACCTACTTGCCAATGATTCTAAGACCTGTGAAGACATAGATGAGTGCAATATTCCAGGCTTTTGTAGCCAACACTGTTACAATATGAGAGGTTCTTTCCGTTGCTTGTGTGATGAAGGCTACATATTAGAAGGTGATGGAAGGACTTGCAAAGTTACAGGTAATTACTGAACTTGAAAGTCAACTAATTCCAGCCAATTTAACACATCCCAGAGCATAACATCAAATGTCACTTGTAGGCATTTGACAATGTTTAGGAGTCAGATTGACTTGAATCCTGGACAGGTTATGTAACCTTTTTTTTTTTAAGGTTATGTAACCTTCTTAAGCCTCAATTTCTTGTGAGGATTAAGTGAGTTAATACATACAATGATCTTGGTGTATTTTGGAAAATAGAGGTCAAAACATATACAAGTAGAAGATGATTTTTCATTATTTAAAATAATACCAAAGTGGTTTTTATATTTAAAAATAATTTCTATATTATATTTAGGTATCTTTAGATAATGCCTAATGAATTCAGTTTTAACCAATATTAATTGAATTTCTACTATATGAAAGCAATTATATTATGTATTAGGGTATTGATTTGGCTGCTTTCAAAGTGACCAAATAAAAGAGACTGAAAGAATATAAATGGTAGGCAGTGCAGGGGACTGAGCTGGTCTGTTATGCTCATCATGTGGCTTCCATCTACGGATCCAATGCTATTGGCCTTTGCCTTTGCTCAGAAAGGAGGAAGTAGCTTCCTTTTAAGGATGTAACCTGGAATTTGATGCATCATTTCTGTCACATGCTATTGGTCAGAACTTAGTCATGTGATCACTCCAAGCTGCAGTGAAGGTAGAGAGATGTCTCTAGCTGGGTGGCCATGTGCCAGGCTATAATTTGGCATGTTTTATTACTAAAAAGAAAAAGAGGAGAGGGGATATTGGGAGACAATCAGAACTCTCTGCCACAGCTGATTGACTTAGGGAAAACAAAAATATTACAATTTCTGCTATCAAGAAGCCTATAACCTAGTAAGGAAGATAAGCAAAGTAAAAAAATAAAAACAAGTAAAGGGAAGAATGTAAGTATAGTTCACTCCAGACTGGTATTTAGACACACATTGAAATATAATTCAAGAAAGAATGATATTTCATATTTCAGAAAGCCCATTTTAAATACACATGAAAATCAGCTAGCTGTTAAGGTTAAGAATGAAGTGATTAAAATCATTCTTATGAGGCTTCCCCCCCCACCCCCAATCCCCATCACTATAGTTTGGAATTACATCTTTCTTCTGTTACCAAAGTATTGCATCAAATGTTTAAGAGGCACTTTGTGTTTTCTCCCAGAATCATTGACATTTTTGCATTTTTTTTCTTGGACAGCATCTGAAAGTCTGCTGTTACTTGTGGCAAGTGAAAACCAAATTGTTGCTGACAATGTCACTTCTGAGGTTCACAATATCTATCCATTGATCCAGAATGGTTCTGAAATCGTAGCTATTGATTTTGATTCAATCAGTGGTCGTATCTTTTGGTCTGATGCAAGTCAGGGTAAAACCTGGAGTGCGTTTCAAAATGGAACAGACAGAAGAGTAGTAAGTATATTTCTGCTGACCTTTGTCCTAACCAGTTCCCCTATCTTGGGTCTATTTGCTGTTATTCACCAGTGAGAGAGGGTCCTACCTCATTCTGGGTAGCTCTCATAAGTCCCTTCTGGGCCACATCACACCCAAGAGGCTTGGATATTTGTAACTCCTAATCTATGGGTGTTTTATCTAAAACTAAAGAGTGTGACCTCTGAAGGCAGACCTACGTATCTGAATTGCAGATCACATGATGCAGAGACTTCACAATGTCTCTGAGCTCCCTTTTGCAGTCTTTTCTAGTGGATAAGAACAGAGATAAATGCACAAGAGTTAAAGAGTTGCTTTTCTTAGCTCTAATTTAGTTAAGCTTCTCAATCCATCTCCCAGAGTTTCACTTTCTTGACCCCTGATACTTATGTTTCCTCTATCCCTTAGAACTTTATTTTGTAATTGTAGTTGCTCAATCAATAAAGATATTACTCTTGGCATGCGATCATTATAAAGTTTCATAAGGTTGCCAACTTTGCAAATGGATAAAGCTCTTGTTCAATTGTAAAAACTTTTGTAACCAAAATGAAACTACACACTAGTCCAACAATACAAGGGTACCTCAAAAAATTTGTGGAAAAATAGAATTAAAAGATAATACAAATTTTCCGTGAATTTTTTGAAGTACTCTTGTGGAGTTAACTTAGAATACTCAATACTAAAAAATCTTACATTATTTCCCCAGAAATCCTGACTGTTGATTTAGTGGTTAGCCGCTGGGAAGACAAAATTTTCTAATCCCCACAAGCAATCATAGGACAAGTTAGATGCCTTATTCTAGATTTTTGTATAATTTCCATGTTTGCATTCATTTATTCTCTTTAGAATTCATCCTTTATCCACTTTTGTCTTTAGGTACTTGAAAATGGTATCGCCATGACTCAAACTATTGCAGTAGATTGGGTGGGTCGTAATCTTTATTGGACAGATTATGCTCTGGAAACAATTGAAGTCTCTAAAATCGATGGGAGCCACAGGACTGTGCTGATAAGTAATAACATAACAAAGCCAAGGGGACTAGCATTAGATCCCAGAACTCAGTAAGACTTTTTTTTTTTTTTAATTAAGTTGCCTTGACATGGTTATAATGAGGGAAAAACAACAATAACATGGTGTAGGTTATATCAATATTGCTGATGTGAAAAATTTAAAATGATTCCTGTTTAAACATGGTAGTGTTCAACTGGTTGTTGCTATCCCTCCTTTATCTGAATAGTCTTCTTCTTAAAGTATATAAGAGCTGTTGGTGGTTCACTTTATCTGAAGATCACATTGATTTATCAGCTTGAAAATACAATTATTAAAATTACTGTTGTATAATTATTATTAAGTTTCTAATAATGCATGCAGTAATATTCCATACATACCTCATGATTATACAACAAAAAGCTGGATTTTTCTGCTTCAGTTTTATGTTTACTAAAGTTCTCTTTTAAGTTGTATAAGGAAGAAAATTTTTGCCTGCTGGTCCTAAAGGAAAGAAAGAGAAATTCTCCCATGTGTTTAGAAACCATTGAGGGCTTCCTTCCTTGAATTTACTTAGATTCTGTAACTTAGATTCTTTTCTGCATGAAGGTGAATTAGGCAAATAATGTTCAATGTGATGCTGACTTCCTAGGTTCTTTTTTTTTTTTTTTTTGGCGGCTGGCTGGTGAGGAGATCCGAACCCTTGACCTTGGTGTTATAACACCGTACTCTAACCAACTGAGCAAACAGGCCAGATTACACACCAGTGAAATTTGTGATGAATCTCTGATGAGGAGTAAATTGATTCTTTTATCAAAAATGTGACAGGGTGGACAAACAAGGACAGATGGATTTTTCTGGATCAACTATTTGTAGATTGTACACAAAATTTATTGGCATTGTGACATTTCAGTGTCATAATGTACTGCATGTTTTATGAACATTATAAAGACTCCCAGATGGCTTGTGATTGCATTATGATTACAGTTTTTCTTTGTGACACTCAAAGGAAATAGTAAGCTCTGTACATATATTCTGAACTGGAGATAACCTATTTTAAGCAGAGCATAAACAGGATGTTTATGTATTGTGTCCCCTCCAGTTGGTAACTGGTTTCTTTTCACAGAGAACATCTCCTGTTCTGGTCTGACTGGGGTCATCATCCTCGGATCGAGCGAGCCAGCATGGATGGCAGTTTGCGCGCTGTTATTGTCCAGGACAAGGTCTACTGGCCCAGTGGCTTAACTATTGACTATCCCAACAGACTGCTGTACTTTATGGATGCCTATCTTAAGTACATAGACTTTTGTGATTATAATGGAAACCATCGGAAGCAGGTGGTAGCCAGTGGTTTGGTAAGTTGGAAGTGAGGAAACCAAATTAAAACTATAGTAGTGGCTAGGTAGAAAGCAGATAAGAGTATCAAGAAAACTAAGAAATTAATTTTTGAGTCATAGACATTATCAGGTCAATCCAGGAGATACCAACAACAGTGAGGGGCAATTCATCCTCTATCACTAATAGAAAAATAAGTCTTTATTCCAGTTCATTTCCAGTTCACAGTCTGATGGTGCCATATCCAGGAAGGATTAATAGCTCATGTGATTTAGTTGATCTGTACTGTAGATGCTAATCTGTTGCTGCTATACCTTTATGTTCACAAGTGTGATCGGCAAATGCAGAAAATATGTATTTTACGAAACAGCTGTTATTGGCTTCTGTGTAAGGTTGCCATTGTTTATAGTTCCTGTGACTTGAAGAGAACCTGGGAAGGCCTCCTACCTTCAGGAAATATACACCAAAAGTGTAACAGATTGATGTGAATCAGTGGGTGGCAGAAACAGATGGTGGACATAGCACTGGACAAGGACTGGGGATTGGCAGTAGAGATGAAGAACCTCTAACTAGGTTCTCTAGTTACATCCTCTCACTAGTGGGTGATCCGGATACGTCACCTTACTTTCTGTGCTTCAGGTTTTGTTTTCATTTGTAAAATGGATGCCCAGTGTAAGTATCAGGGTACACATGAAGGATAGATGACATGTGTATGTGTAAGTATTTTGGGTCGTATAGTGGGGTATAGGACAGGTGGCATAGTTTTGCCTGTCTCTTGCATAATTACTTCCCTGTGTCTTTGTGAAATAGTTAAATGCTGAAGGAAACCATCTTCTTGAGCAGATAGCTGCTTCTACTTAGTTCTCCTTGGCCCCTGAGCCTGGGTGAGGTCTCACTGTTCTATTCTGCTTCACAGATTCTGCAGCATCCCTATGCCCTAACTCTCTTTGAAGATTCCATGTACTGGGCTGACCATTCTACTCAGAAGGTTATGCAAGCCAACAAATGGCATGGGGGGAACCAGTCAGTTGTAATTTATAATATTCACTGGCCCCTTGGGATTGTTGCAGTTCATCCTGTGAAACAACCATTTGGTAAGAGAAACGTCCTGCCTGGGAATAGCTTTCAAATCTCTTTTGGGAATGCTAAATGCACAGTACTGCAGACCCGTTTGTTTAGGCAGTAAATTTCCCTGTTCTCTTTACTAACCACACCACTCCACACTTTCCCCTGTCCTAACAGTGCCATTACTTTTATTTACCATGGAAAACTCAAAGCTCGTGTATAACAAAAACACATCTGAATTGTATCATTTTATTCAGTAATTGGTTACTACATCTGTACCTATCTCTGAGTCTCAGTTTCCTCAGTTGACAAATATAATGTCTGGTGTAGACCAGATATTACATTAGATCCTATCACTACCACTCTGGTTTAAAGCAGCTTATTTTTAGGACTCATTTATTATGGCACCATTGCCTTGTAGGTGCTCTGCACCAAGTCATCCTAACGTGTGGTGTGGGTGGCTAGGTGACTAAAAGATTTGGTCTTGGTAGTGTTCTTTCTGGTTGGAGGGAAAATACATCACTAATTCTTCACTTATTCTTATCTCTTCAAAACCTTCAATAGTTTCTCATCGCCCTTCAGAGTCTGGCCCCTGCTCCTTCCCAGATCTCTTCTCCCACCTTCTCTTGCCACATTGGACTTCATCACGGCCTGGAAGCACCTGGCTACTTCCCACATCTGAACTTTTGCGTAACTCTTGCCTCTGCCTGGAACATCTCTCTTCCACATCTCTGCATGACTTGCTGCTTCATGTCATTTAGGATTCTGCTCAAATGTCACTTTCTCAGAGAAGCCCTCCTTGACCACCCTATCTAAAATAGCCACCCCTCTCATAATTTTTTTGCTCTTTACCCTTCCATTCTGAAATTACACACACACACACAAACACACACACACACACACAATTTATATGTTTAGTTCTGTCTGTTTCTGCTAGAATGTATACTCCATGTTTATAGTATCTGCAGGGCTTAGAATGGTGTTTGGTATGTAGTGAATGTTTAACATTGTTGGGGTGAGTGAATGGATGAATAATAAACTAACACAGTATATGTAATACGAATATATAGGATCTGGGGAATATCCAGTGAGCATAGGATGCACACAGGATCCTTCTTTTCAAGGAGTGGAAAAACACAGAGATGTCATCAGCAGAAAAATAAAAGATTATTATCTAACCAAAACTTGGACAACACTAGGTAAATGTCAAGGTCACATAGCAAACACACAACCTGGTTTCATTTGATGCGGAAAGGTCTCTTTTAGTTTAGGCAATGAGATGTATTATTTAGCATCATTTTTCTATTACTAAATTCCAAATTACTCAATGACTGTTCATAATCCGGTTTAGACTGAATTGTTTTGTGACGTTGGGTAAGTCACTCCTCCTTCTTGTGCATCTTATGAATTTTAAAATTCATGTTTGAAAGCACAATGCTAGGGAAGGGTAAAGTAGTTTAGGGAAAACAAAACAACAGAGGTAACTTAACATACTTGTGTCTCCAACTACTGGGGGCCTCTGGAAGAACAATAACAGCTTGACTCTGTGCACTTTAATGCAGAGGTCTTCCATTCACCAACACCTTCTTCTCTTCCTCATACAGGCATAAATTCATGTGCTTCTGCCCGCTGCAGCCATCTATGCCTGCTTTCTTCACGGGAGCCTTTCTACTCCTGTGCTTGTCCTTCGGGACTGCATCTCTCTCAGGATTCTGTGAATTGCTTGAGAGGTACAGTATGCTCTTTAAATGTGCTCTGAAGCTGGAGCCTGTGTAGTTTGTGCCAAGCAGTGGAAACTGTAAACCCACTTGTTACTGAGCATGTGCTGTATTCCCTTTGATTCAGCAGGTGGATTGTGTGTTGTGGGGTGATTTAATCGAGCACCTCAGTTGTAATATATAGTTTCTGTACGTGGAGCTAATGTCAGCTGTGCATGTGGTTGAACAATCTTTAACCTCATATCTTCTCTCAACCTGGCTACAGTTAGACTTTTCTGACAAGCTACAATAATGGGAAGTTTTAAATTCTGCACTTACGGAGTAAAAATTCTTTATGTTTGTGTAAGTATTGTGTCATTTCTACATTCGTAACCAATAGTCAGTGATGAGTATTCTAGCCTGGGTCTTCTGACTCCAATTTCAGTACCTTTACTATTACAATCTGATACTTGAAAAAGGAGAGTTGTCTCTGTATGAAATATTACAAGAGACGATTTGAGCAATTTAATCTTCATCTCATCCTAGAGATATTTTGCTGAATTGATTGAGGAAAAGATGTAGTCAATTCACAAAAGGTATTTCTTCTGGAGTGTTTACTTGTATAATAAACTCTTTTTAAAAATCATTCTCTGTTGCTTAAAAATCTAAAAAGTTACTCTAAACCCAAGTTTTTAAAATTTCTCAATGAAGAGGAGTGGATGTTTTGATATTGATAAAAATTGCTGTAAACAACTTAAAATTAAATGTTTAATGATAGCATATTCCTAAATTTAGAGAAAATAGAATCCTAATCTGGAGGAAAATTTAGTTTTTAAATGGAAAATAAGAACCAAATCCAGAAAGTTTATAGTGTTTTTAGATTGTGCAGATGTAAGATTACTTAAAATCAAATTCCATCAGCATGTAATATTGTACAGTGATACTTTTATGATGAAAGATTTTAATTACTGGTAATGCTTACAAAGGAATTGACATTTGCTATTTTTCTTCAGTGACTTATTATGCACCTAATCCTTGTTGACATTCTTTAATTTAGTGTGTCCTCAAAGTCTTTCAGGAGAAGATTAAACCTGGCTGTAGACATTCTGGACACCAAGCATTCTTTCACCACATTAAGATTGTTGAATTGTGCATTGGAGTTTGGTGTAATCAGTATTACTATCTGATGACAATTGATGTGTTAATTCCAAATAGAACCTTTTGTTGTTTTACAAATAATTCCAGTAGTGGTTATCCCATGGTTTGACTTTCCTGAGCTGGAACTTTTTCAGTGTTTCTCAGTTGGTTTCTGAGCACCAGTTGGGTAACTGAGTGCTAATATATGCTAACTAAAAAAAGGTTGCACTTTTTTTTTTTTTAAACAAGTTTAGAAGAGTTGTTAACATTTATATATGAAAACATTTTTTCTTTATTTAATTGCTCAGTAGCCTTTAAAATAGTGATTACTAAATATCTAGAATGTACTTGGAAGTGCTTTTGTGATACTGTTTAGTGAAAAAGCAGATATTGTCTAATATCAGCCTTGTAAAAACACACATTAAAAAAGTCTGGAAGAAAACACACACAAGTGACAACAGTGGTTATAGTTGGATAGGAGAATTATGGGATATTTTTTTCTTTTTTTTTCCTAGGCAAAGAACTTTATTAACCTTTGTTTCAAACTTTATTCCCAGGCTTCTTCAGCTTAATTAGCTGCAAAGAATGAATTGTGTATAAGCAAAAACTGAAAAGAGCTGCAGTGTCCAAAGGGCTTGGGCTTAAAGATATTAGAGATCTAGATTTTATCAGATCCTTAAACAAAACAATTTTAAAAAACAGTCATAATAATAGCAGCTCCCAGAAACTTCTTCAAGTTTTATCTTCTTCAGAAGTTCATCTAATTCAGTTTGCCTCATTCTTGGAAGGCTCATCAAAATTCTCCACAAGATCTGGAACTTCATCATCATCCTCCTCCTCTCCAGTAGCAAGTGGTGCTTTTCCATCCACAGATTGTTTAGGCAGAGCTTCAGCCAGTCTCCTTAAGCTGGTCAGACTGTCTGCACCAAGCTGGTTTAAGATGCTGGGTAGCATTTCTGCCAGCTGCTTTGTCTCTGCATGGCCTATAATGGTGAAAGTGTTCGCTGCCAGACTTGCCTGAACTTTAGGCAGTGTAGTGATGAAGAACATAGATTTCAGAGTCCAAGAAACCTGGTTGTGTGACGTTGGTTAAATTGTTTAATTTCCTTGTGCCTCATTTGTAAGTTGGGAGAGATAATTGTCTAAAAAGCAGGCTTACAAAGTTTCAGGGAGATAAATTAAGGGAGATAATATTTACCTGATGTATGCTGTGTGACGGATGCTCTTCATGAATGGAGGGGTGATTATTATGGTGATTGCAGTTGTTCAGAAGAGGGGTGACATGAAGCAGTTGAGAGAGAGAGCAAGGACCTAGGAGTTAATGGTCCAGGGTCTATGTCTTATTACACTGCTTCCTGCAGAAGTCACATAGTTCTCGCAAGTCTCATTTGCTCCAGTTGAAAACAACTTGCAAGCTTGTTGTGAAAGACTAAATGCTATATATTGTAGTACTTTGTAAAATATAAAACATTAATAACTGCAGAATTTACATTAAGTTTAATTTAAGTTTGTACTAAGTTAATAAATGCTGAGTTATTTTTCAGTAATAGAAATGACAGGAACAAAGAAAACCTAATGAGTAATAAATAAGCAAATAAGTGTCAAAATAATCCTGCTAAAGATGTAAAGCTTCCTAGATTTTCAAAATAATGAAAACATTATTATTAGGTCATGAAAGTTATGCAGTGATTAATCATTTTATACTTTGTGTTAATATGTGATATATCTTATATATGTATCTTAATAACACAAAAGTTTCCCTTTTCTCAGAGAGGAAAGGATTTTAAAATAAAACTCCACTCTTGAATTTCTTTCATTGTTTTGGCAGTACAGGGATACAAACCCTTGACCTTGGTGTTATAACACCATGCTCTAACCAACTGAACTAACTGGGCCGCCCCTTGAATTTCATTAATTTAGATTTTTTGATGATGGGACTATAGCCAGGATAAAGAATAAGTTATTTTTGATAAAAGGAACTTTTTTTTTTAAAATTATCTACTAAGGAGGCGAAGTGAACTAGTAGTTTAAGTAAGATATTGTGGGGGTGTTTAAGTTGTGGTGCATAGGTATTTTTGAGAACTTTAGAGGACACTATTTTCATATTTACTTATGTATCCATCTATGTATTCAGTCATTTAGTTAGCAAATATTAATAAGGAAACTTTTTGTTCTGTTTTGTTTTGGGAAGCTGGCCGGCATAGGGATCTAAACCCTTGACCTTGGTGTTACAAGGCAAGCTCTAACCAACTGGGCTAATCAGCCAGCTCCAGTTGGGGAACTATTTTATGACAGGTTCTATACCAGGCCCTGGGAACACAATAGTGAGCAAATCAGACACAATCATTGCCCTTGGGGAGTTAGAAACTAGTGGGGAAGACAGACATTTAAAAAATAACGACTGACAGGATTATAAATTGGATTTATTTATTAATGTCTCTAATAAATACTAGGCAACACTTTATAGTGTTGTTTTATTTTCTGAACATGCTTAGAACTAGTTGTTTACTAAGAATAGTCTAAAAGTTTTCTTTTGCATTTTTTTTGTGTGTGTGTAAAACCCCCACTCAGTCTTTCTGAATTAAGAAAGAGTAAGGTAAATACTAATGTGCCTTGGAAAATCCAGAGCACTGTGCATGCAGTTGGAGCTCTTGTGACCTAGGAGCCCACAGAAACCCTGTGGAAGGTCCATGATGGTCTGATAAAATATCTGCTGTGTGTTGTATTTATTGCTGCAATGCTGCAATGCCATTTTAGCACACATAATGGTAATCACATAGTGGTAACGAACAACCCACTGCCGTCCATTACTCTAAATGTTTGGGAATATGGGATATAATTTTAACTAATATTCTGCTCTTTTCACAGATGAGCAGCCTTTCTTAATAACAGCAAGACGCAGTGTAATTTTCGGAATCTCCCTTAATCCTGAGGTGATGAGCAATGATGCTATGGTTCCTATAACAGGGATACAGAATGGTTTTGATGTGGAATTTGATGACTCAGAGCAATTCATCTATTGGGTTGAGAATCCAGTAAGTTTTGAACAACATTCAAAGTGTATAACTTATTTTCCAAGAGCCTGTCTGCACTCTTGGCTTCTCATAGGCAAACTTTTGTTGGGTATGTAAAAGAGAAATGATCCAGAAATTAATCATTTTGTGTTTTTTGATTCAATGAGGGATATGAATGTGAGCTTGGCCTGGAGCAAAGATCAAAAAACTCTTAGGCAAATTTAAGCTATTGGGTATTATTTACTCATTCAGCAAGTATGTATTAGGTGCCTACAATTTGCTCTGCACTAAAGTTCCTACTTCTAACTGCAGAATACTGCCAAAAAGGAGCAGTCACAAAGCTTGTCCTAGAGGAGCCTTAAGCTAGTAGAAGATATTAGATTAACATAAAAATGATCACACCTCAAGACAAAAAATAGTAGTTCCCTAAGGGGATTCCAGGAAAGCATTTGATGTGGCTGCTGGGTCCTCCCTTCAGAAGCTTTGCCTCCCGGGTGAAAATGATCACTCCTCCAGTTCCCTTCCCCTTGGGACCCTTTCCTCACCCTTTAGGGAAGCAACCTGTGAGGATGGAGAAAGGGCAAGGAGAATACAAAGGAGGAAGAGAGGAGAGATCTTTTTGTTTGATGTTTGTCACCCTTATGTAAAATATACTCCTGGCCTTCTGAACCACATTTGTGACTTGCGTTTTTTTAAAATCACCCTTATGTCTGTGGTAGTTAAGAAATATTTCTATAGCCAATACCACAGGTAGCCTGAATGGCGAGGCTGTGTTTTCCTGTGGCACAGTTAAAATCAGTGGCATGATCCTTGGCTTGCTTTTTCTTTGAGTATGAGGAGTATCTGAGACACACAGCCACCAGCAGTAGCTGCAGTGAAGAAAGTGCTCTTCTGCAGAGGCTGTGGCCATGGAACAGCTCACCTGCCCTCGTCTTCCCTTCCAGGGTGAAATTCACAGGGTGAAAACAGATGGCACGGACAGGACAGTGTTTGCTCCTCTGACTCCTCTAACGGGGTCGTCTGTGAGCCTGGCCTTGGACTGGATATCAAAAAACCTTTATTACACCAATTCTGAAGCTCGATCCATCGAGGTAATGATTCCATAATAGTATTTACATAAACACTAGTTTCAGACTCATGTAAAATCTTTTCTTGAGAAATGTGATCATATGGGTTTTGGAGTTATTTTTAAATAGGAAGCAGAAGGGAAGAGATATTAGTGTTCATTATCAAAATCTCTGAAGCTAAGGAGGAAAACCACCTTAAAAACAAATTATTGAAACATTCTACTGCCCTATTTTGTTTCCTCCTAATTATCAATACGACCTCATTCGCATTAAAGGATTTTAGGTAACTTAAAAAATAATATATAAGAATATCAATAAAAATTATGTAAGGAATTCTGTATAAAGGGAAGATTATGGTAGGCAGGGAATTTTCACTATTTTTCCTCATCTAATTTTCAATGCCTTTTTAGTTCTCAACCAAATTTATAGGTTACCTCTGTTCTTAGATGGAAATCTTTCTGTGACTCCAATATAGTTTTTCAATAGTGAAACAGAAAGTAGAAACTTGATTCCAATTCTTCTGATACTCCCCTCTTTGAGATAAGTATTCGTTTTACTCTAATTCCCAGAAGAAATTCTAGATGGGGCTCGAGTATAAAATGAAGTAAATCAGAGGTAACTTGACTGGTGTTGATTTGCTCTACTGTCAGGCAAGGATAAAATGTATAAGGGATTATTAGTTCATAATGATTTTGAAAGTGAAACTTCCTAAAGCAAAGGGAGAGTTTTGTGAGAGGGGCAGCGTAAGCAGGGCCCTGTAGAGGGACAACGCATTGCTCTGGGTGGGCACCAGCTGGTAAGGCAGTTGCTCTTGGAGCACTCAGAAAGATCCATGCTAAAGATAGGAAAGCACGCAGCACCCCAGTGACTAATTTAGAGCAGATTCAATAGGAGGAGCTCACATGGGAGCAGTGCTTTACACTTTGTGGAGGTCTTTCACAAACATCATCTCATTTACTCCTCACAACATTCCCGAGGGCAGGCAAGTATAGCAGTCATTCACAACGAGAGGGAAATTTGCAATGTGCACAAATGCGAACCCACAGAATATCTCAAACCAGGAAGAACCGTCAGGTGTTGAGGGGACCCTGGGAGGCTCGTCTGGTTCAAGCCCTTTGTTTTTTACAAAAGAAACTGAGGCCCACAGAAGTTAAGAAATTGGCTAAATGGTCAGCTTCATTCCTGGGCAGTGGTCTATCTTTGCACTGTTATAAACCACAACCCCCTTTGACAGTGGCAGAAGATACTTTAACTGAAAATATCATCCTCCCATTAAAACATAAACATGAAATTTATTGCCTCTGACCCTTAATACCAAACTGACATCTCTCTAGAGTCCACTCAGTGCAACACTGTCTTAATTTCAAATGGCAATTAATATGCTTTTATTCTGTCTCTTGGTCTCTTGCTTGGTAAATGTGGTCTTCTCTTCTAAATCGATAGTTTTCCAAAAGCAGGGAACATGTCTTCTCCATCAGTGTTAGGTGCAATGAAAAAGCAGCCAGTTGGGGAATAACTGAGTGTGCATGTATGTGTGTTGGTAAGTCACTTTAACCACAGAAACCTAAGGTTTGTAATTGTGCCCCAGTTCAGAGAAGACTATGCGATTTGGAGTCCTAAGACCTGGCTTTAAGTCCAGCTTGCTTGCTCATTTTTTTCATTCATTCAACAAACAGCAGTAAATGCTTCCTATGGCTCAGTCCCGTGATGGGACCTGCATATTCAAAGATGAATGAAACATTTTTTTCTGCTTTTAAGTAGCCTGCACATCTGAGAAATTGATATGTACAAAAATACCCTTGCTCCAATGTGATAAGTGTGATAATAGCAGTGACTATAAAGCACTAGTGATGGGGGGCAGAGGTAAAAGTAAGAGTAGAGGGAATGGCAGTCTTTCTGGTAGCGATTAAGAAGTTGGGACAAGGCATCCCAGGCAGAGGAATGCTTGAATAAAGACCCTGAGATATGAAAATGTATTTTGTGACTGGGAATGGAACTGTATTTCCTCCAATCATGAGCTCTTTAACCTTGGACAAATTACTTCTCTAAGCTTGTGCTTTTTTATTCTATAAAGTGGGGTTAATAGCTCAGTAAGTCAAACTACTTCATATACTTATCTCATGAACACAGAGCACTGTTTCCGTCATTGTAGTTTACAGTCACACACCGTATAACATTTCCATCCATGATAGACCATATATATGTAGGACCCGTGCTAGGAGCAATAGGCTGCACCACATAGCTTAGGTGTGCAGTAGGCACATACCATCTGGGTTTGTGTAAGTACTCTATGATAGTGACACAGTGACGAAATCACCTAACTACGTATTTCTCAGAACATGTCTCTGTCTTTAAGTGATGCATGACCATATTTAGAATATCCATAAAAGACCTATAAGAATAATGATCCAAGAGTAGATTGCCCTTTTGATTTTTTTATTAGATTTTCCCTTAGGTGGAATAAATTGTAAGCAATTCTTCCTGGTGAATGTTAGGTTAATTAAGAAAATAGGAATAATGTTCACTTACTATTTACCTGTGTAATATTCCTTACAGCATAAGAGTAATTCACATTTAATTTCAACTTTAAAATAAGTGAGAAACATTGAAGAAATTGTTTTCCACTAGGGGTAGCTGTATGCCCACTCACTAAAAGAAATTTTGTAGCTGAAAAGTAAACCCTACAGAGTGGCTGTGTGACAGCTTGATATATTTCAGAAAACAAAGAAAGGAACTTTCCTTTGAACCAAAGAGATCCTGTGGCCTAGGAAAAGGAGAGAGACTGTAGCAGAAGGAGGCAAACTGAAAAGGGAAAAATTATCTTAGTCCAAGTAGGAGCAAAAGATACCAGACAGGAGAATAGTGAAAAATTTAGAGAGAGGAATGAGGGAGACAAGAAGGTGCGTGTGTGTGTGTGTGTGTGTGTGTGTGTGTGTGTGTGAGTGAGAGAGAGAGAGAGAGAAACACAAACACAGACAGACACATATCTGTGTGCATTCAAAAGCAATTTTATAGAAAAACTTTAATGCAAATCAATAGGCCTTTTATTAAGTTTCTTACTAGTTGTCTCTCAGACTGTCTCAGGTACATATTGAAATAGTCTTATTCCTATAAAAAACATGCTTCTAGTTCAATAATCCATTTCTATGTGCTGTATTAGAGTACTATTAAATTGTGATTTTAACAATAATAATTAAAAATAGACAACATTGGGAAAGCCACTAAATCTCTCTAGGCCTCTTTTTCATTATTCATAATATGGGCATAATAATGGTATCTACCTCACAGAATTGTTTGTGAGGATCAAATACGGTAATGCTTAGTCTAATGCCTGGTACACAGTAAATGACCAATAAATGCAATGTTAAAAAAAATAGGAGACAATTACTGAACACAGTTGTGCTGGGTGCTGTGCTAAGTGTTTTACCTATATTATTTCTTAGTCTCATGAGCTCTCTGCATAAGATACTGTTGAGAGGTGAATTTACTTGCCTTAGGTCATGTAGTCAAGACCTGGCAGGGCAGAGATTTGAACTTAAGTGTTTTAACTCAGGTTGTTGACTTGGAACATTCACTTTAAGTGAATTTGGACTGTTTTGATCAACTGTGTTTGCAGTGATGGGCCACTGAGTGCCATGGCTCAGTCATTGGGGTGCAGGAGACCTGTGGGGTTCCCACTTATCTTCTAGGATTTTCTCTTAGCTTTTCCTGAAGGCATTTTTGTAATTTCTCTAGGCAGAGGTTCTGTATGTCTATCTGTTTGAATCTTTCTTTTATCCATATAAATTTCCTTTTCTGAAATTTTAGGTAAATTGAAAAATAGGAATTTGAGAGGTGACTTTGCTTTTCTTACTCTCATTTTCTTCTGAGATGATTTCCTCATAGCTCTGAAATGCAGTTAGAGATTATCTGAAATGCAAACCCTCCCTTATTCATCCCTTATTGTGCTTTGGTATTTATTGCATATGTAAAGTTGCCTTCCTCTTAGCTTGCTTTCTTTCCCTTTATGAAACAGTTCTAATAAGTGATTTTATGCTATAGGTTTTGACACTTCGGGGAGATATCAGATACAGAAAAACACTGATTGCCAATGATAAGACAGGTCTTGGAGTTGGTTTTCCAATTGGCATAACTGTTGACCCTGCAAATGGGTGAGTGTTCATAAATGACACACATCTTCTATACAGCACCGTTCTTGTTAACGTCATGGTCTGACACGATGGAAGAATTCAAACATAGGACGTTTTCTGATTTTATATGTCAACATTTGAAAAATACAGGTCTCACTGAGAAAGAAATAGCACTGAGCTATATTCAATTTGAAGTATAGAATTTGTATTTTGTTCTATGTTCTTCAAGTTAATAACGCCGGACATAAAATTAATTCTAAACAAGCAAGAATTCCAGGAATTTGAAAATAGAATTATAAGAATGAACAATACATTCTGACTTTGAATGAACATGGAAAACTCTAAGGGGATAGGTAACATTTGCACCAGACCTTGAAGGGTGAGAAGGCTTCCAGTAGGTGGAGAAGGTCTGCAATCTCGGAGTGGTACCTGAGGCCAAGTGAGCAGTGAAGGCATAGAAGCATGTGGTATTTAGCATGATTGTGGTGAGGACCTGAATCAGAGGCTTAGAGTGGCAGGCAGTTGACCAGATGGGAGATACAGCAGCTAAAGTCATTTCGGGACAATTCATGGAGGGCCTTTATTGTCATGTTAAGGAACTTGTATTTATTCTCTTGAGTAATAAGGAGTCAGCAGAAAATGTTGAGGAAGGGAGTGATAGTACCAAATCAGTATATCAGAGAGATTGGTCAGGATTGGAGGGGAGAGAGGCCAGGGGCGGGGAGACCAGTTAGGAGAAAATGATCTTGATGGATATAGGGTAGACTCTTCTTGTCTGTTTGGTCAGTTGTTCATTTTGTTGATGTACTATACTGTATTCGAAACCGGAATAATTAATTGTAAAATACTAGCATTGATTTTTTTTTTTTTAAGAGAAAGCCATCTCATTCCAAGTGGATTTTGACTTTGTGTTTGAGAGTCATCAAATTCTTAGGCCTAGAAGGGCACTGAAGAAGTAATTTGCATTAGCTTTCTGCTTTGAATAAGAATGATATACAAACCAAACCCAATTTTTCACATTCAGCAAAAATTCCATTCTATGCTTGCTGGCTTATGCTAGTTTTCTGTTATCCTTTCTGGAAGAAGGAGCATCCTAGATGTAAAGTCCCACTTTTAAAACTTAATTTGTTCCTTATTGTTTTTCCTTTATCAGATATTTATTTATTGTGCACTTATTTTTGGATGGTATATTAGTTAGGATAGATTAACTGTTGAAGCAAATAAACTTTAAAATATATAATGGCACAAAGAAAGTAGAAGTTCGTCTTTCCTATGGGCAGCAGAGTGGGTGGGAGGAAGCTCTACTCCACATAGTCACTTAGGGTCCCAGGCAGATGGGGACTCTGCCATCTTCAGTGAGAGGCTTTCAAGGCCATTCTGGTTGTCAACATTTTTTGAGTGGTAAAGGAAAGAATATTCAAGAATGGAGGTTTTTATGGACCAGACCTACGAGTAGCACACACCACTTCTACTCACATATCTTGAGTTAAAATTCAGTTACATGACCACAGCTAAGTTCAAGGAAGGAAATGCAGTGGGGCTCTTTATGAAGAAAGAAGAGGAAGACATTAATTTCAGTAAGTGGAAGCAGTTTCTGCCATGGGGCCAAAGTGGGGAGTTTAGAGAGTAGGTACAAAGATGATTAAAGGCCTAATCTGCAATCTTTGTAACTTCAAGATTTATAGCTTAGTAAACAGGTTAAGACCTGTGTATAAATACCAATAACCCAGGTCCATATATGATTAAAACCCGTAAGAAAGGCTAAAAAAAAATTGGAATGATAGCGCTGCGGAGATGACTTTTCAGCTTGATGGAGGTGATGTCATTTGGACTGGCTTTGAAACACATATAGAATTTCACTTGGCAGAGCTGGCTTTGAAGATATCTCCCATGGTACGAGGGAAAGAAAGTTAAGAGCAATGGGACAGAAAAGTGAGGGTGCATTTGAATAACTGAGACCAGTCTAACTTGGTTGGGAGGCAAGTAGAGGAGCTTAGAATTTTGTCAGAGGAGGTATGAGGAGAAACAAGACAGAGACTTCTGTATAAAAGGTCTTGGATGCTCAGTAAAGAGCAAGTCTTAAGAAAGTTGTGGTCAGGGCCGGCCCCGTGGCTCACTCGGGAGAGTGCGGCGCAGGTAGTGCCGAGGCCGCAGGTTCAGATCCTATATAGGGATGGCCGGTGCACTCACTGGCTGAGCGTGGTGCAGACCACACCGTGCCAAGGGTTGCGATCCACTTACCGGTTAAAAAAAAAAAGAAAGTTGTGGTCAGGGCCGGCCCCGTGGCTCACTCGGGAGAGTGCGGCGCAGGTAGTGCCGAGGCCGCAGGTTCAGATCCTATATAGGGATGGCCGGTGCACTCACTGGCTGAGCGTGGTGCAGACCACACCGTGCCAAGGGTTGCGATCCACTTACCGGTTAAAAAAAAAAAGAAAGTTGTGGTCAGTGTTATTGAATCAATTGCTGCTGAAAAAATATCTCTGTTGATTATCACTAATATAAAGGGTTGAGGCAATTATAGAGCCTCTGGTGTCATCTGAGAGAGGATGTTCAATAGAGATAGAAAGGTATTAAAGAGTGTAAGCAAGGTGAAGAAATGTGACTACTCTTGTAAGAGTTTCATATTGACAAATTAAAGATAAACTTCTAAGTCAAAATTTATCAGAAAAATATGTTTTTTTGGAATAGGGAAACCCAAGCATATGTTTAGGATAAGATAAATGATCAATGATGAAGAAGTGATTGATTGAGAGTGAAAATTATGGGGAAAGAATAAGAAATTTATGAAGAATAAGAACAATTTGAAAGGGCCAGTATGGTAAACATTATATAAAGTCAGCTAGGATAAGATTCCTCAGCTAAGATTAGTTAGCTCAAGTTTTTGGACAATTCAGAATTCACAAGAGTTTTGTGCCACGTTCAGCACAAAACTGAATTGGGATGGAAAAGAAGAAAGAAAAAAAAAAATGGTAGGAACTCAGGGTTAGAGATTAGCAGGGAAAGCACAATGGGAGCTCAAGAGAATAAATAAGAATATTGCTGAAACTGTTACATATGAAGATCCAGGTATAGGGGGACTGGAGGTTTGGGAGTTCAGGCAGGGTTTAAGGGCAAAGAACAAGTTTAATAAAATAAAATTGGAGCAGAGAAAAGATGTAAGAGTTTGGTCAAAGCAGACAATTTCAGAGTTTGAGAACTTAGAGGTAGAGAAGTTTAGAGTTGAAGATGAGGTTCATGGGATGGGTGTATTGATTTGGTGGTGGAGGAAGATTATTTGAATTAAGATGACTTTCAAGAAAAGAGTGTAGGCGGATTGTCTATTGAAGCTATAGCAAGAGATGAAATCAAACTTAATTAAAACTGGGATTCAAGTCTAAAAGTATGTCCTCAGTGGAAATGGAAAGCTGATCTTTATTTTAATGAATTTTCATATTCCATGTGCTTGGCGGTGCTGGGTGGTGATTATGGTTCATGTACACATACGTACTGAGTATAGTTCATTGGCAGCACTATGAAATGAAAGAAAAGTCATGCATGCCCATATCAGCCTGCTAATGGGTTTCCTCTTTCTCAGAAAAATGTTACTCATTATTTTTTGCATTAAATTTCAAACCTCTGTAATTGTCATCACAGAAATCAGATTAGGTAATTAAGTAGCTGGTCTTGTGGTAAAGGTAATTTGGAGAATTAAATAAGGTCTGCAAGTGAGCAGGTAAGCATTTGGCAACTTTTTACATTAGCTTTGGCCCTTCTAGTGTACTGGGTAGTCTGTGATTCTTTGAAGAGGAATTGACTGTTGATGTAAGGCTCCTTCTTTGTCATAAGCTTCACACCTGTTAGTCCCCAATGGAAGACCCTATCCTCCTATTTTAGACACCATTTTAAATAACTTCTGCCCCAATAGTAACTAGGAAATATACAGACATTGATAGAACACTGGTTAAGTACTCCCCCACAAGATATTGATGTTTCGGACTTTGTCCATTGGATTGTGAGCATCCTGAGGACAAGAAATACACATTTCCATTTACATATTTAAATTATAGATGCAATTCATTCTAATCCATTTTATGTTTTTTTTCAATGTTGGTGTTTTACATCATTGTAGGAAACTGTACTGGTCAGACCGAGGAACCATGGGAGGGATTCCTGCCAAGATTGCAAGTGCTAACATGGATGGCACGTCTTTAAAAACACTCTTCACTGGGAACCTTGAACACCTGGAGTTAATCACCCTTGATATCAAGGAGCAGAAACTCTACTGGGCAGTCACTGGAAGAGGAGTGGTATGAACATCCTTTTAGTCTTTTGGTCTTCACCACTGAGCTTGTGTGTTCTGATCCTGAGTGTTCAGAGGTGTCTGGCAGTGGTTCTTGAACAATCTTACTTGGCAGCTTGTACCAGTGTTGTGTTGTCCTTACTCTCAATAACTTCTCTCCTTTGAGCAAATCTTGCCCTAGCTGAAGTCCAGTTTTTTATAGTATGTGCATAGTTCCCTGCAGAGTAATGCTTATTAATTTTTTCTCACCCTTTGTTTCCTTTCAGGATAAATTAATTTCATTTTTCATGTCTTACTTGTCCTTTCAGAGCCATTTCTTTCAAGTTTTAGTGATTTCAGTGCTTTTTTCTGAAAGTACTTGTTCTCCAATTGTAGAGACTAAGCGAACATATATATTTAATATATAAAAATATAAATAATTTATAAATATATATATTTCTCTCTGTGCTCATGCAGCTGAGCTCGAGCTAGGCATATAAAAGGTGCTCTATAATAATTATTGATCAATTAAACATTGTGTTGGATGTTAAATTGAATATGTGCTATTCTCTTCCTTGCTTTTTAAACGGTAGCAATTTCAGATCTCTGACATTGATGCTCTCCATAATATTGTGCAGTAGGTTTGGCTTCCAGTTCATTATCTGTTCCATAAGCACTAATTAATTTCACTCTAATATGGACTTAAAACAGTGATAAGTTTTGGGGATTAGAAAGAAGTGGTGATGTGTGTGAAAGCACTTTGCAGACTTGGATGTGTGTGTACAATGATGAGGAAGCTCTTGTCACATGGGTACTGTTTCTGTATACAATTAATTTGGCACATCCTGGACAGGACTCATGAGCTCCCTCCCCTTCCTATTTCCACGTCTGCTCTGCTCTTCAGTCTGTGAGCTTGTCAGTGGTAGACTCTCCATTCCTTCTCCTGGTGAGTACTCATATTTTTCCTTCACTCTCCTTACTTAGTCATCACAAAATCCTCCATTTTATATGTAGCCTCTTCACTCATGCCCAGCCTTTTTATGCTACCTCCATCATTCTGAGCAACTTCTCTTTGGCCTTGACAAGGCCGTGGCCCTCATTACTGAACTTTGTTTTCATGTTGGAGACATGTTGTCTTCATAAAAGCACAATAACTGGTTGATCATGGCTCAGCTTAGAACCCTGGTCTGGAGGAGTAGCTCCCAACACTTCAGCTGAGCTTGCTCAGCTCATCTGGGCTGGTCACCACTCCCTTTGCAGCTCCCCTCCAAGCTTGTGTTCCTTCTGCTCTAGCCTTCTGGAACCTCTGTCAGTTTCTAGGGCATAACCCACTCTTAAAAAAAATTTTTTTTTAATTGAAACATAATTGATTGTACATGTATGTGGGGTACAGCATTGCATATTGATAACCTGTGTGCAATATGTGATGTCAAATCAGGATAATTAGTGTATTCAACATTACACAATGTAATAATTTTTCATGGCTCTTTACCAATTTCTTGCCAACCCCCGACCCCTTTCCCACCTCTGGTGGCTTCAGTTCTTTTCTCTCCTTTTGAAAGTTGAACAAATTATTGCGATTACTGTATCTTTCTTTCTTTTATTTATTTGTTTATTTTTTTTAGCTCCCTCTTATGACGGAGGACATGTGATATTTCTCTTCTGTGCCTGGCTTATTTCACTTAAGACATAATTTTCTCTAAGTTTATCCATGTTGCTGTGAATGGCAGCATTTCATTCTTCTTTTTATGGCAAAGTAGTATTCCCTCGTGTATATACACCACATTTTCTTTATCCAGTCATCCATTGATGGACATTTAGGTTAGTTCCAACTCTTGGCTGTTGTAAGTAGAGTTGCAATAACATGGGAGTGAGTGATGATTTTCATTCCTTTGGGTATATACCCAGAGGTAGGATTGCTGGATTTGTATAGCAGATCTACCTGTAGTTGTTTGAGGAACCTCCATACTGTTTTCCATAATGGCTACACTAACTTATGGTCCCATCAGCAGGGTAGGAATGTTCCCTTTTGTCCACATCCTTGCCAGCATTTGTTATTTGTCTTTTTAACAATGGCCAGTCTAACCGATAACCTGCTCTTCAAGCTGCTGAGTTCCCTTGTCTGGTGAGGCAATAAGCCAGACCTCATTTGTTTCTTTTGCCAGTACCCAGCTCAGATCCTGGCACTTGAGATAGAATTTTGGAATGAAATTAAACCAGCTACATCTACATTTTGTTTTTCTTCCAGAAGCAGACTACTTGTCATTTTCCCTCAGTGACTTCATTCTTGTGCATTCTTTTCCAGTATGACCAAAGTCATTTTGAACAAAGCTTGTTACCTGTCAGAATATGACAGACCCCATCCAGTCTTGTTGTCTTCTGTGATTATAGGGTAAACCTTTCCTATCCCCATTACGGATATTGTTGGTGAAGATGTTGAGCCCAGAGTCAATCAGCTCCTGTGTAATGACCTGCAGTTAGACATTTCAGTGTATCCTTGACCACATGCAGGGGCTAGTGGTTTTGTCCCCTGTTCTCCACCATGCCATCTGAGAAAGTTGACTGACTTGAGCACTAGCTTCATTATCAATGAAGTATGCATAATGATATTTGCCTGACCCACTGCTCAGTGTAGTTGTGACTATCAAATCAGAAAATAGATATGAAAAAAACTCTATAAGGGATAGCGTGCTATATAAATGTAAGGTATCATTATTAGAAGAATATTTGTTTTAAAATGCTCTCTCACTTACTTCACTGTGAATCATAAAACTAATGAAAATTCTAACCCTTTAGATTGAAAAAGGAAATGTGGATGGTTCAGAGCGAATGGTTCTGGTACGCCAACTTTCCCACCCCTGGGGAGTTGCTATCTATGATTCCTTCCTTTATTATACTGATGAACATTTTGAGGTCATTGAAAGAGTTGACAAGGCCACTGGGGACAACAAAGTAGTCTTGAGAAATAATGTTCCATCTCCAAGGGGCCTTCGAGTTTATCACAGACACAGTAAGTATTTGTCCCTGAAACATATTCATGGATGTACAGCCTGTATTCACAAATCTGCACACACTCCCACGTACATACATGTGTATACAAATTGAAGTTACCCAAAATATTTTTAAAATGTTTACCATGTCTTAAGCATTGTTAAATGTCAAAGGCTAACCTGGCATCCGAAAGGCCAGACTGGCTTCAGAGTAAGCTTGTGTGTCATGGCTGTTGCTTGACAGCTCTCCCTGACACATTGTTTCTGTATTGTCTGTGTTCCTTATTAGAATGTAATCTCCATCAGGGCAAGTATTTTGTCTTATTTACTGCTCTGTACCCAGTTACTAGAAGAGTTCCTGACACCTAGAAGGTACTCAGGAAATATTTGTTGGATGACTACTGAGAAAGTGTTAACAGGGTAGAATTGTTACTGATAAAAGGAATACTCTAAGATGGTTGCCTATTTCAGCATATTTTTTCAGAGATAATCTAACTTTTGATTTGCCTCTTTAAATTAGCATTATGATAAGAACTTTTTTAATAGTTTTTACATAATTGTAGCTTTTAGTCTCTAACCAAAGATTATCAAACTATTTGTTTCCTGCTGTATAACAGGTTTGTCACTTGGTATTTATTTTTATTACATGTGAATAAAACCCTTAAATATTCTTATTTTGTATGCTTTAAAACAAATGTTCATCATATTGTTGATCATGTAATTAAACTGATTTAATTTTAGGTTCCAGTGCGTAGGTCAAGAGGGCAAAGAGATTAACAGATGGTATACCATCTCCCTAATCCTTGCATAATTTGTAGACAAAAAACATCCGATGCCTCATTCTCTAGCTGTTACGCAATAGTTGTGGTACAGTTTTAATACCTTTAGGTATTATTGTATAAGCTCTGATCTCTCCAATATTGTTTTGAGGTTGTTAACTTCGCTACCATATGTTTGTTATTAATTTTTATAATGAATTTTTTGGTGACCCAATTTAAAAAATTTGAGATGGATTGGCTAGTAGGTAGGATCAAAAGTTACAAACTGAGTATGATTTCATTTAGATGTTGCCGAATCCTCAAATGGCTGTAGCAACAACATGAATGCCTGTCAGCAGATTTGCCTGCCCATACCAGGAAGATTGTTCTCCTGCGCCTGTGCCAGTGGATTTAAACTCAATCCTGATAATCGGACCTGTTCTCCATATAACTCTTTCGTTGTTGTTTCTTTGATGTCTGAAATCAGAGGCTTTAGCTTGGAATCTTCTGATCATTCAGAAGCCATGGTGCCAGTGGCAGGCCAAGGTATGCCAACTCCAATATAAGTAAAATTTCACTTCCATCTTGGTGCCAAGTTGAAATTGGTGCCATAAGCATTTCTTTTTTGGCGTCTGGTTCGTATGGAGATCTGAGCCCTTGTCCTTGGTGTTATAACACTGTGCTCTAACTAAGTGAGTCAACCAGCCAGCCCAAAAGCTTTCCTTCATGTTTGGATTCAGTGCATAATGAAGCTTGTCTTGCCCTTTAAATAAACTAGTTCAGCCTGGAGTGATTCTCAAACTTTAATGTGTATCAGAATCACTCAGAGGGCTTAAAACACAGATTGGGGCTCCATCATCCCCTGATTTTCTGACTTAGTATGGGGTAGGTAGGGCTAGAGAATCTGCATTCCCGGAGCATGCTGAGGTTGCTGGCCCATGGACCACACTTGAGAACCACAGGGCTAGAGCTATATAGAATGTAGCATGAGTTTGCAAGAAGTATTAAGAATTGGCGTTCAGGGGCCAAGCCCGTGGCGCACTCGGGAGAGTGCGGCGCTGGGAGCGCAGCAGCGCTCCCGCCGCGGGTTCAGATCCTATATAGGAATGACTGGTGCGCTCACAGCGCTCACTGGCTGAGTGCGGTGCGGCCGGTCTCAAAAAGGACAAAAAAGAAAAAAAAAAATTGGCATTCAGAAGAACAGTGCCCTATTTCTGACCGCAATTGGAGATTTAGGGTAGAAGGCATACTACTATTTAATACAGTAATAAAATAGCCCCAAAATATAATTTGTTAATATACATTTGGAGAGAATCAAAGTAAGAGTTCACAGTATTAGTCTCTCCTTAATAAGCGTATTTTGCAGCACTTTATGCTTGCAAACTGTGAATGTAGAAAGTGGAAACTTGCCTCCTAGAGGCACCAAGAAGGTTTTTAGATGTATGATGCCAGAAGAAGAATTAGTTTACTTGCATTGCAAGGACTACGTCTCAGGCTAAAGATAGAAATAGAGGGTAGAATGGATAGAAAAAAGGATGAGGGGAATGAAAGGGTTGGAGAGATGGTCAGAAGACACAGAAATGTGTCTGGTGAAAGGAGTCAGAGAGCTTCTGGTAACACACCTACCCCTGCATGATTATCATATTCACATGTACTCATGATTTACTTATCTTCATTTTTTCATAACTAAAAAGTTATGGATCTAAGTTATCATCTTGCAAAGATATTTAAGAATCTGTAGTATTTTTCTTCCAACTTTTCATTTTGAAAAATTTCAAACACAGAAAGTTTGAAAGAAAAATAGAGCAAACATTTTATTCCCTTCACCAAGATTTACCGATTGATAACATTTCCCCACGAAGCTCGCAATCTGTGCAGGTGTGTGTACATACATATACAGGCACACAGATTTTTTATGAACTTTTTGGAAATAAAGTTCAGGTATGACACTTTATCCTTATATACTTTAGCATGAAGCCCCAAAGGACATTATCCTCTAATGTTCATATTCCTATCTCTACAGTTGGTCTTAGAATGTTTTATAGCTGTTGTTTTGCTCCAGCCGAGATCTAATCAAGATTCACACATTGCATTTGGAATGTCTCTACAGTTTCTTTTAATCTGGGGTAGTTGCCCTTAGTTTTTTGTTATGGCATTAATGTTTTGAAGGGGCGGATCTGTTGTTTTTTAGAATCCCACATTGAGGATTTGTCTAATTCATTTAACATGTCATTCAGTTTGTACCCTGCATTTCCCATGAAATGGAAGTTATGTCTTATTGCTTGATTGGACTGAGGGTAAACTCATTTGGCAAGAATACTTCATAGGTGATGCTGTGTACTCGATACAGAATCTCATTGGGAAGAGCATATTGTCAGCTTGTCCTGCTCTTAAAGAAGCTTAATTTTGATCACTTGGTTAGGGTGATTGCTGCTAAATCCTTGCTTTTTAAAGATATAATTCCCTCAGCCCCCTTCTAATTTTTATGAAATCTGTGGAGTCACACTTTGGCCCTGTGAATATCTTGATCCCCAAGCACCTTTTACCCACTGGTTTTACCAGTCATTGGTGATCCTTGTCTGAAGTGATTATTTAATTGGGGATTGCAAAATGGCGATTTTCTTATTCTGTCATTCCTTTACATTTATTAGATAATATTCTTCTATAAAGAAAAGCTCTCCTTTTATTATCATTGTGAACTCAAGTTTTTACTTTTTTAAATTCAGTGTGTTATAATCAATTACCAAAATTACTCTTCTGATACTCCAGTCAATCCGTTTTGACCATGGCGAGCCTCTTCAAGTGACTGCCTGTATTCTTTTGATATTATCCCATTAGTGTTTGAGTGCTTCCTTGCTTCTTGGTGCAATAAGATATTACAAGCTCACCTCATCCATTCCCTGCCCAAACCTATAAACAGCCATTTCTCCCAGGAGCTGGAGCTCCTTATTGTGGGAAATGGTATTTAGAAACCAAGATTTGGATAGCAGGTGTGCTCATTGCAACTGGGAAACACATAGTTTTGTCTGATAATGAAGGGGTGGTCAGAGCAGAGAGGTGGGAATGAGGGTTTGAGAGGAAGGGCAGACATTTAGAAGTTATGCTTCCAGGTTGGTTGGTTAGCTCACTTGGTTGCAGTGTAGTGCTAATAACACCAAGGTCAAGGGTTGGGATCCCTCTACTTTCCAGCAGCCAGATAAATAAATACATAAATTAAAAAATTTAAAAATAAAAGTTCTAGTTCAGTTAGAGAATTGTCTAATAATCTTTTCTTAAATGTTCCAGGGCGAAATGTACTTCATGTGGATGTTGATGTATCCTCTGGCTTTATTTATTGGTATGATTTTAGCAGCACCATGACATCTTACAATGCAATTCGTAGAATCAAACCAGATGGCTCTTCTTTTACAAACCTTATTACACATGGGATAGGAGACCATGGAGTCCAAGGTATTGCAGTGGATTGGGTAGCAGGTATGTAAGCTATATAGTGATTTTATTGAAAAGCCTTTTTGTGTTTGCATCTCTATCATATTATTTTATGCTACAAAGTTTAGCCAGACTACATGTGCTACAAATTTTTTTTCTAGACAATTATTGAGGACATTTAAGATAAATTGAATTGTGCATGTTAAGACTTGTACATGCGTATCTTAGCTAAGTTCTGTGTCTGTTAAATAAATAGTTGACAGATACATAACAGATTAATCATGCTGTTTTCTTCTATTATTATCATAATCAAAACTGCAGGCAAAAATGACTAGAAATATTAGATTATGTGGATTTATTTTTTCACACTTAGATTTGCACCTAATTTCTGAATTCGAAATGTCTAAATTTTCAAAGAGAAAGGGACATTAAAATATAATGTAAATCATGGGCCGAGCCCATGGTGCACTCGGGAGAGTGCGGCGCTGGGAGCGCAGCAGCGTTCCCGTGGCGGGTTCGGATCCTATATAGGGATGGCTGGTGCGCTCACTGGCTGAGCGCAGTGCGGCCGGTCTCAAAAAGGAAAAAAAAAAATGTAAATCATAAAACAGCATTTATGTACTTTAAAACCCAACAATTTTAGTTGCCAAATTCGTGATTGCTTCCTGTTGTTAATGTATAAAAATCCTTTTGATCATTAGGTACATTCTCTATTAGTAGGTATGTTGAAATGCCTGACCCAGTATTACATTAACTTGGTTGCATGGATTCATGCACTATGTTTGAATTACCACTCATTTTTAATGATACTCTGTTATATATTATAATTTTTGGAGTATAATGAAAATTCTATATAAAATAGGTGTCATTGTGTATTATCAAGCTTGGTACATACGCATCACTTAGAAATATTTAACATGTATTATGAAAGCCTAGGAAAAGACCTCATATTAGTAGTAAGCAGCTAGAGCATTTGATAATATAACAACCCCAAGGTGCTGCTTGTGCTCCCTGTTTGCTACTCTATCGTGTGGAAGTTAAGCCATGATAATGTATATTTAGAGTATTTGAGTAGATGTTAAATATTCAGTGCTTCATGTAGAAGAGGAAGAACATTCTGGAAAATATACCTTTCAGTAGAAAGTAGGCTATGACATTTGCTATGAATTCTAATCTGCTTTAGAAGCTGAAGATGGGAATTTCCTCTCTAAATCTGAAGAAGCAATCTCTTTCATTTCTGAGAGTAAATTTATTTTTCTAAACCTAAATTGAGACATTTATTTATCATCTTGGAAAAGACAACATGTTGTGATCCAAGCCTCAACCTTACATATTTCATTCTGAATTTGAAAAAGTACCCTTTTTCTTCTTGGTTTTCCATTTATCAGAATACTTTCATTTTTCCTATAGGAAATCTTTATTTCACCAATGCCTTTGTGTTTGACACACTGATAGAAGTTCTGCGGATCAATACCACCTACCGCCGTGTTCTCCTTAAAACCAGAGTGGATATGCCTAGTCACATTGTTGTAGACCCCAAGAACAGATACCTCTTCTGGATTGACAATGGACACAAACCAAAGATTGAACGTTCTTTTCTTGACTGTACCAATCGAACTGTGCTTGTATCTGAGGGTATTGTCACACCACAGGGCTTGGCAGTGGACCATAGCAATGACTACATTTACTGGGTTGATGATACCTTAGATATAATTGCAAGGATCCATTGTGATGGAGGCGAATCTGAAATAATTCGTTATGGTAGTCGGTACCCAACTCCTCAGGGCATTGCTGTCTTTGAAAATTCTATCATATGGATAGATAGGAATTTGGACAAAATCCTGCAAGCTAGCAAGGAACCAGAGAACACAGAGCCACCAACAGTGATAAAAGACAATATCATTGGGCTAAGAGATGTGACCATCTTTGATGAGCGTTTCCAGCCCCGGTCCCCAGCAGAGGTCAACAATAACCCTTGCTTGGAAAATAATGGTGGGTGCTCCCATCTCTGCTTTGCTCTACCTGGATTGCATACCCCAAAATGTGGCTGTGCCTTTGGGACCCTGGGAAGTGATGGCAAGGGCTGTGCTATTTCAACAGAGAATTTCCTCATCTTTGCCTTGGATAGTTCCTTGAGAAGCTTACACTTTGACCCTGAAGACCATAAGCCGCCTTTCCAAGAAATAAATGTAGAAAGAACTGCCATGGCTTTGGGCTATGACAGCATAAATAATAGGATCTACTTCACACAGAATTTAAACTCTGGACGCAGCCAGATTTCCTATGTCAGCCTGTATTCAGGGATCCATTCTCCAACTGTCATTGCTTCAGGTAAGCGCAGTACTGGTGCAGCTTATTTTGGAAGTAGACACAATGGGGTCAACATGCGTAGATGGCTGAGTGCTTCTAAAGCATATTGAAATGCTAACACCTTTGTGTGTGTGTGTGTGTCCAGATGTAGGGTTTGCTTATGGCATTGCCTTTGACTGGATCAATAGAAGAATTTATTACACTGACTACGACAACCAGACGATTAATTCCATGGCTGAAGATGGGTCTAAGCGCACTGTCATAGCCCGTGTATCAAAACCAGGAGCAATTGTGTTAGATCCTTGCCGAGGGTATGCCATGGTCTTCTTTATTGTATTTCTGTCTGCTTATTTCTGGAGGAAGTGGGGCTTGAAATTATTCTTTATTCATACAGAACCAACATTTTATGGGCTTATAACACTATGGCTACAGATTCAAGGGTGAAAGAGCATTAACTTGGGAAGGAGAGTGCAATGCCTAACTCCCTTTAATGGTCAAAATGTTGGCAGCATACCAGGAAATCAATGCTCTGACTTAGTAAGTTCCTTTTGGGCAAGTTATGTGAACAATAATGGAGTAGGGTTTCCTTTGCCATGTTAATGGCAATTTGCAATTAAAGAATGCTGCCATTTTTTTTTAAAGTAAGAATGACTATGAGTTTCCTTGTAGTGAATTAATTATGACTCCTTTTGGATCACTAGGTACCTGTTCTGGACTGACTTGGATACTAATGCCAAAATCGAGAGAGCCACACTAGGAGGAAACTTCCGGGTACCCATTGTGAACAGCAGCCTGGTCTGGCCCAATGGTCTCGCTCTGGACTCTGAGGAGGGCCTTCTCTACTGGGCAGATGCTAGTCTGTATGTGTCTTCGGTTACTCATGTCGGTGATGATAAGAAGAGTTCTTCCTCCTACTTCCAAAGGAGAGGGATTTGCATAATGTGATGAGAATATAAAATGCCAGATAGGTATTGGCAAAATATAGAATCACAGTTTTAGAAACTGTATTACATTCTATCTTAGTGAACATATTGTGAAATTGAATAATTATGAACTAAAGGACATCTAAAGATGCTAAATGCATTTATAATTTTAGCTATAATTCTAAATGTATTTACTCAGTTTATAATTATAAATGTAATTATTTGATTTATAATCTATAGGCACTGGGTAACTACTATAAAATATGAATAACTTTTAAATGCACACTGTTAAGTGTTTTCTGGGCTTTAGCAGTTAGAGTCTTTTAAAAAATGCTTTACTTTGGTCTTTGACTTTTGGTCATCTTTTTAAATAGACCCTTTCTTCACTGACAAGCTTCTTCTCAACAGATTTCATACTGTTTTCCTTATAAACTTTTGTCAATTCTAATTTTCTACGTTACTTCTCCAAGTAACCCCCAGATGTCTTATTCCTGCCATCCAATGTAGTAGGTGAAGGGATGAAGTGATTCTGTTTATGGCTGATGTCTACCTGCCAGGAATCTTAATTTTTCTTGCTTTTATTTTTTCATGATTTTGGTCGTTTGATGCCCATCACCTAACATCCTGATCTTTTCTTCATTTTCTCATTTAAAACAATGCAGTGATGTTTTGTGTCTAAATTTGGATCATTCTAGGTAAACACCTCAAATTAATGTCACATTGAAAAAGTCATTTAGGGAGTGGGAAGGAAAAGTAACTAACATTTTATTGAGAGTCTACTATGTGCTCAACCCCAATTTCCAAGCATTACGTGGATCATTGCATAATGTCTCCTGTTTCTAAAGTCAGCCTGATTCCTTTTGTAGGATTACTTGAAGGTTATGTTAATATGTGGAAATCAGTGACTTATATCGGCCATTGTTGGATAAGCAAATGCCTCCTATCACCAGAAGAAATATTTCTAGCTGCCATGCACTCCACTTGAAAAGAAAATTGGGGGCTTGTTCAAAGCAATGGTTAGGTCCAGGCATTGGGCTGTCAGTTGAGAAACTTATTCTTTATAGATTTCAGCTTTATTTTTTTCACTTTTTAGGCGGAAGATCGAACGCAGCACTCTAATAGGCACGGAGCGCGAAGTCATTGTCAGCGGGAGCTTCAGTACTTTAGGCTTGACTCTCTATGGCCAGTTTATTTACTGGACTGAGTTGTACTCAAGAAGAATTTACCGAGCTAGCAAATATGATGGGTCAGATCACACTGCAATGACCATGACTTTGCCCGAGCAGCCTCAGGGTATTAGCACGGCTGTAAGGAACCGACAGCAGCAGTGTAGCAATCCTTGTGAAGAGTTTAATGGGGGCTGCAGCCATATCTGTGCACCAGGTAAGGAATTGCCCATGAGGATGAAAACATGGAGAATAATAATAATGACAACAACTGGTAAGGAAGGCTGAAGGAATATTCAGCTCTAACAGGAGAAAAAAATCCAAATTCTTGATTTCGGGATAATTATAAGATAGATTTGGGACAGTATTTTCAGAGGAAGACGTCGGCAGGTTTCTGTTCTATTCTATATGGAGCCCTCTTACGAAAACATTTTAAATTCAGGCCTGATGGAGGTAGACAGCAAGGTGAAGGCTTTGGCTCTCACTTGTATAGGAATTCCATCAATGAGCTCATCTTCCTTATAAAAGGATTTAATTTTTCTGTGTAGGACGTTTTGTTTACAGATTAAAATATTTCTGGTGATATTTTAGGGTCTGATATTATGTGCTGCATGGTGTGTTTTATAGAGAACAATAAATTCATAGGAAGATGTGCCTTTTGTTAAAGTTTTACAGATTTTGCTGAGAAGAGAGAATCATTGTGTTGTAGACAAGAGGTAGTTGTTTGAAGATTAGGGTGAATTAGCACTTTTACTAGAAATCGGTGGTGGTTCCTCTTGATGGAAAAATGACTCAGCATATAGTTGAAAGGTTAATGGGCAGAGTTCCCATGGCTTGTCTTATAGAGCATTTTATGTAGAAGCTGTTCCAAGTGCTGTACTGGAGGAGACAGTATGAATTAGCTCCACCAAACTTTTGCTTCTTTTGGGCCTCCCTTTCTTCAGGTCCAAATGGTGCTGAGTGCCAGTGTCCACATGAGGGCCACTGGTATCTGGCCAATGACAATAAGCACTGCATCATAGACAACGGTGCACGGTGTAGTGAATCCCAGTTCACGTGTCTCAATGGGCACTGCATCTTAAAAGAGTGGAAATGCGATAACGACAATGACTGTGGTGATGGCAGTGATGAGCTGGAAAGTGTCTGTGGTAAGTTGGACACTTGATGCTTTTGTTAGGAGCTGATGACATCTTTATTTCAAGTGTTTGATATGGAATACTGCAGACTGAATGGGTTTAGAATTTATGCCTAAGCCTCCTGTTAGAGCAGAAAAACATTGACTCTGGGAAAGCAGGCCTATTAGATCACCTCTGTAGTGGTTAAGAACAAAAGCACAGGATTTAAACCCTGAGCATGTCATTTACAATCTGTATAGCCCTGGGAAAGTTACTGAACCTTCTGAGCGTCAGACATTGCATCTGGAATACTGGAGCTATTACTAGAGTTCTTATGAGGAGTAAGAAAAAATATATTTGAAAAGCACTTAGTATGGTGCATGCTAAGCATGGCTTATCATGGGGCTAAGGGCTCCAATAGGTGCTTGTTATCATTTTATTAATTTTCATAGCAGAAAAGTCATGAACTCCATAATTTTATTGAAATCACTCCCAATGCTCAGCTTCCATCTGGAGTGAATAAAACACAGTGGACTTTCTCAGGTAGTTCTGAGGACGGGGTAGGGGCTAGGAGTTTTTATTTTCCCCAAATAAACTGTATTTGCATGCTTTTCTGTGATTGAGATAAAATTTTAAACTGAGATTATAGAGAAATAGACTGACTTTGATTTTTGCTTAACATACTTCATTGGTTTAAAAAAGGTATAAAACATTTTGCTTAATCTAACTAATTTAAAGTGTTATCTCACTTTGCATGCAGTCAGATTTGCAGCTGTTTTTGCCTTGGAAGGTAAACTCAACATGTCTGTGCTATTTAATTTTATCTTTTTAGAAATAAGGATGATACTTTAATCAAGAGGGTTTTTTTCAATGTTTTTTCCTCCTCTTAGCATTTCACACCTGCCCGCCGACAGCCTTCACCTGTGCCAATGGGCGATGTGTTCCATACCGTTATCGCTGTGATTACTACAATGACTGTGGTGACAGCAGTGATGAAGCAGGGTGCTTGTTCAGGGACTGTAATGCCACCTCGGAATTCACCTGCAACAACAGAAGGTGCATACCTCGCGAATACGTCTGCAATGGTATAGACAACTGCCACGATAATGCCACTTCAGATGAGAGAAATTGCCGTAAGTATATCTTAAGTATTTATTGTGCTTTTGAGTCTGAAGTCTTAGATAACAGGAGATGAAACTTTTATCTAAAAACAGAGTCTTTCTGGAAAAACAAACAAACAAAAAAAACCCCTAAGTATTCATCTAAAACTTAAATTTTCTTTAAATACATTCTACTAAGTCATTTTAAAAACAACTCTACTGAATATTTGAATTATCCACTTAAATTGATCCATACCACCATTGAATATCTGAACCTTGAATATTTTGTCTTTGGTTTATATATCTGCTAGATTAAAAATTTCCTTGATAAAATTTGATTGTTTTACAGCTTTACCAATAATCACTGACAAAAATTGTTGCATAAACGCATTGTGGTTAATATTTGTAGTGCAAAAAGCTATAGAGTACCATGTTGATGAAAATGGTTTTTCTCTTAAGTTTTTCTGGTAAATAGCTTTTTAGTTAATTGATTTTTTAAAATGTTCTGTGATTTATTACATTAGCATCTTCGGAAAACAAAAAAGCAAAGTGTGTATGGTATTTTCAATTTGGATATATCATGTTTTGCTGCTTTTGTAGGTACAGTTATACACAATGTTTATTTGGGTCGACTTTAAAAAAAAGTTTTTTTATTGAAAATTTCAAATATATTCCAAAGTAGAAAGAATAGCATAATGTAACCATCCCAGCTTCAGCGATTATCAACAAATACAAATTTTATTTCATTTATGTCCCCTAACTTTTTTTCTAGTATTTTAAAACAACCCATAGGCATGCATTTCACTGATGAATACATTTCGAAAAACAAGTACCATGCCATTATAATGCCTAGCAAAATCAACAACACTTAGTTAATATCCTTGAGTACCCAGTCCATGTTTAAATTTTGTCATTTATCCCCAAAATATGTTTTTACTGTTACTCTGTTCAAATTAGGATTTAGACCTGTTCTACGCATTGATTTTGATTGTTATGACTCTTTCGCCTCTTTTATTCCACAACAGTTCCCACTTTATGTGACTGATTTGTTAGAAAAGTTAGGTGATTTGTTCTGTGGAATATACCACATTTTGGATTTGACTAATTGCATAATCGATTTAACTTAATTTGCCCTTCTTATTTCCTGCAAACTAGAATTTCAACCTAGAGGTATGATTACAATAGGTTCAATTCTGTAGGTAAGAAGACTTCCTAGGTTGAGCTGCGTATTTCCTGTTGCATCCTATCATGAGGCACAAAATGCTTGGTTGTCACACTTTAAGTGATGAGCAAATTTATCAGTGAAGTCAGTTATCAGCCTGAATCTTCCCTTATGAAGTCTCCATCAAACTTTCACTCAGTGGTTTTTAGTGTTCATGGTTGGTTGTTCCATAAATCTGTTAATTCTTTAAGGGCTACAAAATGGGTACTTAAAAATTCTGTTATTCCTTCCACTTTTATCAGCTAGAGTTCTATAAAGAAGAAATTTCCCTTATCAACTATTTGTTGGTAATTACAATTTTGCAGGATAAATGCTTGATTTTTTCATTTTGTTTGTTAGTTTTCAGATTGAGTTAGTGACTATGTAGCACTAAGTTTTTGGATTGTTTTGTTTAGAATTATATTGAACTCATGGATATTTATATGTTTGATTAACTTTAATGTAGTGTCTTCATTTATTCTTTTTGATGCTCAGTTGTCCTTAGGCCAATTGGAGCCCTGTTAATTTGGATCCTTTGATGTGACCCCATTCAGTCTTCTGTAGATCAGGCTTGTCTTATACATTTCCTGTCCCAGACTTGGAATTAGCCATTTATCCAATTAGACCTCACTCCTTCTGTGGTATTTCAAAATGACCACAGAATTGGGGTGCCCATTTTGTAATTATTGTAGAATAAAGCATTTTAATAATTTGCTTTATTCTACAATAATTTCAAAATGCCTCTAATAATTTCAAAGTTATTATAATCACACAAACAATACTATTAACACTGAATCTACTAAATGCAAGGTCCTTCTTGTTCTTAAATTATGTTCCACTATCAATATACATTCAAAATACTGGTTTTAAAGACATTTGAATTTTTTTCTTGGTAGAATTATGCTATCAACTTGATATACAGTTAGTTTCATTTGTTACTCTTTCCAAATTTTAAGAACCACTTTTCTTTTTCCATTTTTTGTTTTATTGCTTTTATTTGTAGAAGGTAGTGTATGTGGTTCCAAAGTAAAAACTGTACGACAGGGTGCATTTATAGAAGTCCTTGCTCCTGCCCTCTCCATTCTGCTGCCTCCATGCTCTTCCCAATCTACCCAGAGGGGTGGCAATTTTCATTAGTTTATGTTTTCTTTGTTGATATTATTTTTAATATAAGCATCTCTGTCTCTTGCTACACACAAACACGCACATATGCACATGTTTGTATACACACACACTCATCATCCTTTTTCTTCCACAAGAAAAGGAACAAAGAAGTATGTAGCCTACTGTTTTAAATCTTGCTTTCTTACTATTAACGATATATCCTGGAGATCATACTGTCATCACTTATCAGTATATAGAGATTTCTTTCATTCCTTTTTTTTACAGCTACCTACTACTCCATCGTGTGGATATGCCATAGTTCATGTAACCAAGAGTTGGGACTCTCGTTGATACCATTAATTAATGAAAATAGGGTCTAAATTGCAAAGCAGCCTCTCCTCTCCATCCCTCCCCCCAGTATCAGCTGAAAATATCTCTGTTTACTATAGAATCTATAGAATCTATAGGTAACATAAGTGTCATGGATTGTGCCTCTGTGATAGCTTTGAAAATGCTTCCTTTCCACTGGTTTGAGTTCTGCAATAAATCTGTTAGCATGGACATTGCTTTTGATGTATATGGTGGATATGTTCCAAATGTTTATCTGGTTGTCTTTTACAAGCTGATCGTACTTGCCGGTCTGGATACACAAAATGTCAGGATTCAAATATTTGTATTCCTCGCTCTTACTTGTGTGATGGAGACAATGACTGCGGAGATATGAGTGATGAAAACCCTACTTATTGCGGTGAGTAAGATAAAAACTGCCTCTTTCCTTAGGTCTATGTAATTAATCTCTGGTTGCTGGTGCTCTCCCAAGGAAACCAAAGAGCATTGGAATAATTTGTCAACGGGCAAGGCTACAATCCAAGAACAAGAATCAGGTGTAATAACAGTAGCATGAGGGAGCAGAATTCAAGATGCAGCCAACAGATAGGGCTAGACAGGTTGGAATTATTGCCGACCTCTCAGGGACGTCTGCTTTCTTATCAATTATCATGGGCCACTTATAGACCAGAGTAATTAGAAGACTTAATTCAGGTTCGTACCCACATTAACAATTTAGAAAATACATCTGAGCAGATCTACCCTAACATTACTGGAGCAAAGAATCAATGTTCATACTACAGTCTCTTATTTACAAGGATGAATAAGCCGAACTTTGCTATGTCTCTAGAATCATGGTCTAGCATGGCTGATAGGTACATGTGGGGTGAGATCAGATGTGATCATATTGTTGTTTTTGCTTTTAATTATTATTTAAATATAATTTATTTGATTTTACATTATAGTGGAAAAAATAGATCCAAGACTTATTTTACATAATCTGTGATTTCATGTGTCACAAAGATAGTTCTTTGGTATTTCTAACAAATACAAAATATTCTTTGGATTTCTGGAATCCAGAAAAACATTCTGGAAAACTGGGGGAATACTGCCTTCCTTCCCTTTACTGTACTTCTCCCTCTCCATGGAAAGCTTATACTTTACAAAATCCCATTTCTCAGGCCTGCCTTCCTTTCTTGGCAACTGTTATCCAGTTTGGAAAAATAGGCAGATTATTAAGACTGAGGGGAACCTGCTTGTGTTTTGCTCATGGATTTTATCTTCTGTGCCTCCTGCAGTCACTCACACGTGCAGCAGCAGTGAGTTCCAATGCACATCTGGACGCTGTATTCCTCGCCGTTGGTATTGTGATGGAGAAATAGATTGTTCTGATGGCTCTGATGAACCTGCCTCTTGTGGTAAGAGAATAAGCAAGCATAAAAAGAACTGTGATGCCTCTAGCCACTTCCAGTCTCTTCCAGGCACTTCAAGTGCAGACTAGGGTCATGACTGGTGAATTCTTGCACTGCCTGCTCCTGCCCCTGGCTGAGTTGCTGGGGGGGGGGGGGGGGGGGGGGGGGGGGGGGGGGGGGGGGGGGGGGGGGGGGGGGGGGGGGGGGGGGGGGGGGGGGGGGGGGGGGGGGGGGGGGGGGGGGGGGGGGGGGGGGGGGGGGGGGGGGGGGGGGGGGGGGGGGGGGGGGGGGGGGGGGGGGGGGGGGGGGGGGGGGGGGGGGGGGGGGGGGGGGGGGGGGGGGGGGGGGGGGGGATGCTGACCAGGGTATGGGAGTTGCTGACTGATGCTAATAAAATGAGATTGTGTTGGTGATGCACTTAATACAGTGCTGGCTTGTAGAACTCAATTTTAGTGAATTTCTGAATTTGGCTGTGCTGGACTGTAAGACTGTAGGGGGGATCCAAAAGTGATTTGGAATCATCATACACATGGGGAAGGGGCATATTGTGGACACACATCCTCTTCCTGTTTTGTCTCTGTGCCAGCTTATGAGGTTAGGTTCCATGGCCATCTGAGCTTCCCAAGAAGTTCCAGGGGTCCTCTTGTTGCATTCCTGGTAGGAGTTGTGCTCTGTTTGTATTGGAAGGCTGCTGTTTACTTTTGCAAATTCTAATCTATATCCATGCAAAATTTTTTTACATAATTAAAAAAATATAAAGGTACAGTCTTCTACATTGCTTTTTTTAATCTGTTGATAAGTTATATTGCTATATAGGGGTCAGAAAACCATGGCTGGGGGCCAGTTATTTATTTATCATTTTATTATAGTAAAATGTTATTAGAATACAGCCACATATCATCTATGGCTACTTTCCTACTACAATGGCAATGTCAAGTAGGTACAACAGAGACCACATGGCCTGTAAGACTAAAATATTTACCATCTGGTTAAGACAAAGTTTGCTCATCCTTGCAATATAGTCTCCATACTCCCTTTTAATGGCTAAAATATTTCCTTTGTGTGGTTATATTACCATTGAGTAAACTGCCTGTATTATTAAGGATTTAGATTGCTTTTATTTTTTCCCTCTATTATAAATGTTGCTGCACTAAGTATCATCATATATAAAACCTTTTATTTTGCAAGTATTTTCTTAGGACTGTTGGTATAGTTTCACAGCTGAAGGCAGACAGTTTTCTATTTCTGTTTTCTCCCCGGTTTAAATTCTGTTGCTAGCAGTTGGAGAGTGGTATTCAGAGCTCTTTGCAAGGTTCTTTCCTCCCAACATGGGAAGTTTAGTGTAAAGCAAAGGGCACATAGAATTTTGAAGCTCTGTAAAGGAAATAATTAATAACTGTTCAGTGAGTAGAATAGTCTTAGAGATTGGTTAAAAAATATGAATTATTGGTTCAAGTAGATGAAGAATAAATATGTTTCCAAACTTCTCCATGGAAACCAAAGTCATAATAATAGCAATTAGTACCAACTGCATGACATTTAAATAAAAATAAACACAGAAGCTATATGTACATATATTCTCATTGTCATAAGTCAAGTAATAATGTGCAGAGGTGTATTTTAAAGAAATGATAAGATGCACACAAAAAAGTAAAATTCCTATTTCTTAATCCTTCTCCAAGGCCCTCACTCACCAAGGATAATCACTGTTAAGCATGAATGTGAGTTCCCCTTACCTTTATCTATATATCCTGATACATACTTTTTAAAAGCACAAATGGGATCTTACTATACATATTTTTCTGCAATTAGCCTATCAAAAATTTATTTATTTATTTATTTGTGGCTGGCCAGTACAAGGATCTGAACCCTTAACAGTGGTGTTATCAATTAGCTTATTTTTTTTTTTTTTAGCTTAACATCTTGTCAGCAAGTCAAAAAATACAGATCTACTTCATTCCTTTGCAGTGCTGAACATTAAAATATGGATGTTTCCTGTGTTTTTATCGTTTTCCTAACTGCTGGACATTTAGGTTCTTACCATTTTTTCACTGTGAAAAGCAATGCTGGAATAAACATTCTTTAAAAACTTCTTTGTATATGTGGGAAGATTCTTATAGGCTCGGTTTTAGAGGTGCTGTTGCTATGTCAAAGGGGATAGGTCTCTCCTTTCACTCCAGCTTCTGAAAGCTCCTGTTTCTCCTTACTATTGTCACTGTGCTGTCTTATTTTTTTTTTTTTTCTCTCTTCTTAGGTTAATTTGAGGAGCTCCTAGGTATTTGGACCTATGACATCTTGATTAGTTGAATAGGGACACATGATTAAAGGACTGGAATAGTGATGGCTAACCTAAACTGACTTATTAGCTTAACTCAATATTTATTGAGCACCTATGTTCTAGGCACTTTTGGGCTGCATCAGTGAATAAAACAAAGATACCTGCTCATACGAAGCTTGTATTCTAAGAAGGGGAGACAGGCAACAAGTATAGCATAGGAGCAGATTTTACAGTATGTTGAATGATGATAAGTGCTATGGAAAAAGGAAAGAGAGCAGGGAAACAGGGATGGGGACTGCAGGAGGATGGTTTGCACAAAACAAAATGGTTTTGTATGAAAAGCAGATTTTAAAATAAAAGCACATGAAATAGTAGGTAACATATCATCCCTTGGGAAAAGACAGTTATTTCTCTACCATAACTGTAAGGGAATACTGAATCTTGTCCTAGTCACCAAAGGATAATTAGGGCTTTGCACTGACTCAAACCATCACTGATCACTGGTATGAATCTCACTGGAGGACATACCCTAGCTGTGTATGACTAGGTAAAGCTGTTTCAGGTTTTCTAGACAAGCTATAATCAGTGTCTCTCAAGATTTCTGGTCTGCAAACCACTTTCTTCACTGAGGGTGCTTTTTATCTTTTTTTCAGAGCATCCTGAGCGAACATGCCCGGGTGGTGAATTTAAGTGTGACAGTGGGCGCTGCATCCCAAGTGCATGGCTCTGTGATGGTGATAATGACTGTGGGGACATGAGTGATGAGGACAACAGGCACCATTGTGGTAAGTGAAGCCAATGATTTCCTCTGCAGCATCACATACCAGGGAAACACAGTAGCATTGTTTTCCTGCATTTGGAGAGTCTTATTGTCAGGCAGACTGAATGATTCCTCTTTGATTGAATGCACAGATAGAATGTTACCTTTGTTTTGCCACTCTGGAATTATTTGATATCATTCAGTTAAACTCTTTAAAATAATGAAAAGTGATTTTATGTTGACTTTCCTTCTTTTGCATTTGTCTAGTGGAAATAATGTCCTACATTTCTAGGTTGGCCACTCTAAAACAGCCGCTTTAACAGTGTAACAATTAACTGTGGCTCCAGTTTCATCTATTACTTTAGAGCTGTTATTGGGTTGGGGGCAGGGGGAAGCTATTCCTCTTCAGTAGATTATGGAACACCATTTCAATTACCAACAGAGCATGGAATTCTTAGCTAAGGTGTCTTAGGAGAGTGTCTTTCCATGGTAGGACGATGAGATCAATGCCTCCCTCCCTGATATTTACATTTGATAATAACTACATATGTCAGTGATTTTGGTGGTGTCTGCAGCTCTCCATTATACTCTATACACTGAGATGGGGGGTTGGCGGCTGCGCATACATGGATTGTTGCATGTAGTTTTCTCCCACCTCCCTTTCCAAGAATCCTCTCCTTTTTTCTCCTATTCATCCACAGTGAGATTGTGGTGTTCTTTTATTCTGTGGGCATTGATGATTCAATATCAGCATCTCATCTCTTTCCTCATAGCATCTTGGTTTCTGACAACTATTGTTGACATATGCTTCTCCTACCTACCCTAATTCTACTTGAGATGGTAGCTATGATGTAGGTGAAAAAGCGCTAAATCTGTAGTAAAAAAGACCTAGGTTTGAAGGTCTAGCTCACTCTTCTTCAAGTTTTTTGACTTTGAGCCACTCACTTAACCATTTCGAGCTATTGTTTTGTCCTCTGTAGAACTGTTATAAAAATACCTATCTCACACTGTCCTTGTGTGATTACACTTTGTAAACTAAAAAAATGTTATCAAATGTAAGGCATTTAGTATCCAGTTAACAAAAGGGGAGTGGTTTTCTGAAGCCCTAAGGGAAAAAATATGATTTTACATTAATTTTGTGAAAAACTGAGATGTTTCACTTTGTTGATTTCTTCTGAAAAATCCAGGGTCCAAAGCAATTAAAATGGAACTTTTGGAGATATTTTTTATGGTCTTTTATTACCATAGCAATGTGATATGTCTTCCATCCCTCAGAATGTTCAGTAATTGACTGCTAGAATGAGCTCACATGTGGTTTTTGATTCTTGTGTCCTTTGGTTTCAGAGAGTCAAACCTGTTCCAGTTCTGAGTTTTTCTGTGTAAATAACAGACCTCCATCCAGGAGGTGCATTCCGCAAGCTTGGGTCTGCGATGGTGATGCAGACTGTACGGATGCCTATGACGAACGTCAGAATTGCACCAGGACACCTTGTTCTGAAAACGAATACACCTGTAGTAGCGGAATATGTATCCCACAATCATTCAGGTGAATTGGGAATTAAAAAGTTTCCCAGCAAACTTTAAACATCCATGTAGGTAGGGCTGACCTATGCATTAGGTGCAGTGTCCACAGTGACTTTTTTGGTGGCCTATGGAAATGTTTGGATTTCTTTTAAAATCCTAAAAAAAAGAGAAAAAAGAACATTTAGGTCAAAGAAAATATTTTACTATGTAATATTAATATATTTGCCTTCATACCAATGTGGTCATTACATATAATTTTTAACATTTTTATGGAGGAGTGGGGCCAAGAGAGCAAAACTGCCTGGGCTTATGAAGAACATAATGTGACCTTGCACAGAGGGGCAGGGAGATGGGTGAAGTGGAGTGGATGTATGAAAATTCTTTCTTGAAACTTGTGACCATCTTAGTTTTCCACTTGGTGTAGAGGCATGGGCACAAGAAATATTTTACTTTCCTCTCTCCGCTATAAGAAAAGTAGCAGTGCAAGCATGATGATAAATGGAGCTTGGTACTTAGGCTCAGGGTCAAGGAGATGAGGGGAGAGGCAGGTGGGGTGAGCTGGGACGAAGATGCAAACACTGTTCAGCATTTTGCAGGAGTGCCAGGAGGGCTAGACCTGACGCTGTTCTTCAAGAGAAGTTGAAAATCTGGATTTTCACATGAAATACTCTGATTTTAAATGCTGGAAACAAATTTTAAAATTATTTAAACACTGTATGGATCAAACAGATTCAGCTCACAGCCTGCCAGTTTGGAGGACTTCTCCTGTAATGTTCTGTCTCATCACTTTCTGTAAATGGGCCACTTCAAAGGGTTTACATTTTCTTAATGCCCCAACCTCTCACAACCGCATTTAGCAAATCTTTGGTACAGAGGTAATTGGAGAAGAAGAATGATGTATAAATTTCTATCCTGATGGAGTAGGAGAATAGTAAGAGCATTAACAAGTATAGGGGAGCCCAGAAAGAAGTTTGTTCAAGGTGGAAGATGACTTTGATATGGTAGGACTTCATGAGGTGAAAATATGTCTTAGGCATTTGGACTTACAGAACTGGAACTAAGAAGAGATATTGCACATGCCAAGGACTGCTAAAGGACACACAGGCATGCTAAGAGCAATAGGAACTATCAGCTTACAGTCTGTTAGGGAAGGAGATGGGAAAGATAGATGAAGCAGGGAGAAGGTCAGAGCAGCAGAGTGTCTGGGGCCATCAACCACTGGAGTAGAGTGGGATGTTCATGATGGTGGTCCTGAGGAAGGGAAAGAAGGTCAAGTCATGTTCTGCGAAGGCTGCAAAAGGACCAGGGACTCAGCATTACAAAGCATGGTAGTGATTAAAGAAGTAGGTAAACGTTATCTAGAAAATGTACCCTGTGGGGAGGACTTATCCCTTGATCAAGCCCAACTCGACTTTGCCAAAAGGTGGTAGTTTCTGCATTGAGAACATGAACAGAGAGGGAGGTGGAGCTGTCTCCTTTTTTATTTTTTGTAGTGAAAGTGAATAATCCTTTATCTAGATTTTTCTCCCTATCTGCTGAAGAGTTCTATTAGGTCATACTTCTGTTTGGTTCTTCTGAAGTCCGTAAAGAGTTAATACTATCAGTCTTAGTTATAAATACATTCTGAAAACATAGGCCTAGGATCTAGGGAATAGAATTGCAGCAGGTCTTAATTTTGATCCAACTCTAGGTTATCTCATGACTCCCTCTCTTGAGTTTTCTGAGCTCTGCCTTCGTTATTACTATGATCTCACAACTGATTTACCTCTGCCCTAGCAGACTTTTCTGATTTCATTCATCTTTTTTCTTTTTCTCTCTTTTCTTCCTCCCTTCCTTTCTCCTTTCCATCTTCCCTCCCTCCCTTCCTTCTCTTCTTCCTTTTCCCTGTCTCTCTCTCCCCACCTTTTTTTCCTTTTCTTTCTTTTTCCTCAGCTTCCTAAATTGCTTTTGCCAAGGGCTATCACAGAAGAGAAAAAAGGACTGTTTGTCCAGAAACCTGAGCTATTAGGTTTAAAATAACTCCAAATTCTGTGTGCCTGGAGTGCCACCAGCCCCCACTAGGTGCGCTGTTGTGTGCTTCCTCCTGCTTGCTTGGTAGAATGTGTGCTGCTTGATTTGGTACCTTGGTACAGTGGGACAGGAGATCATGTTTCCGAATGACTCTTTTTCTCTTGGCTCATTACTGATGCTCCTGAAGAACCTGGATAAGACTGAGTTGTGAGCAGCTTGCTGGGATACTGACATGCAATTGTGGCAAAAAATCTGGTGATTTGCTTGCCTAACTCCACCCACCCCCACCTTGTGTTGGGTCTAAACTAGAGAAAGGAAAGCACTGGTGTCTCAAATCATTTGGAAATGAGTTAAGTACTTCCCAGGAGACCAAGTGGGGCTCGGCCAGCTTTGACCACAGCATTCTTCCCAGTTACATGCACATATTTGGGTGTAGAATCACATGGCAGAGCCCTGGGTTTGTGGATAGCTGTGCTGGTTAGCCTACCTGGTAATGGGGCAGTTGTAAAATTGACCACATTCATCTTTGGTGCCTTAACATCTTCCAGTGCTCTGCCTCCAGCTCCTGTGCCTTCCATGGTAAATTGTCAAATGTTAGCTTTGTGCATCTTTATCCAAGATTCCTTTATTCTTATGATTAGTTTTGTTACTGTCAGTATGATCTTGAAATAATGTAGAAAAGAAAGACCAATTTGGTTCACAGAGTTTCAGGAAACTGTATTGTCCTCATGATGCCAGGGAATGTTAGGTCCCAAGATTAGGTCTAAGACTGTGACATGCCTTCTTCCTTTTTCAATATTCCATTCTAATCTACTTGTTTGCCCTCCTTCCCATCACCATAACAACTCACAAATGGCAGGAGTATTATAGTGAAAGATGGAAGGAAAGGGACTGCCAATGCAAACATTACCAGTTGCAACATATATATTTTTATAAGAGTATATGAAGATATATTCTTAGAGGACACATCAATAATTTTACCGTTTATACTATATAGCACTCACCCCATGAGTTTCCATTTGGGTATGGGCACTTCTCCATATGGCTACTCAGGATATTACCAGTGCCCATAAGCTGTCCCATTATCGGATGAATAGATCTGATGACACCAAAATTCAAAAAGTTGTATTTAATTAATTTATTAACTAGGGAAAAAATGAACACAATAATTTTTAATAGCTCTAGACCCACATTTCTAATGGTAGCAGCCAGCATCTGGGGAAATTTTGTGGAATGCCAAATGTTAGATTTCTAGAGTTGGACATGGATGGGGTGGATGAAGATTCTGGGGGAGAGGGGACCTAAGAGTGCTGGTGATCTTGTTACTGAAATTGTTGACCTGGCATTTGAGTAGATAGAGGAAGACGCAAACTCCAAGTGGGTGATAGCTAAGACTTGTCAACCTCTCCAAGTGTGGTACTGGGTCTCATACCACAGGTGTGACCGGCGCAACGACTGTGGTGACTACAGCGATGAGAGGGACTGCTCATACCCGACCTGCTACCAGCATCAGTTTACCTGTCAGAACGGGCTCTGCATTAATAAAGCATTCGTCTGTGATGGGGAAAATGACTGTGGAGATGAATCTGATGAGCAGGAGCACCTATGCCACACCCCAGAAGCCACGTGCCCCCCTCATCAGTTCAAGTGTGACAATGGGCACTGCATTGACATGGTGAAAATCTGTAACCACCTAGATGACTGTTCCGACAACAGTGATGAGAAAGGCTGTGGTGAGTGTAACAGAATATTTGGGAAAAGGAAAAAGGGAACACTGAGTATGGACATTCAACCTCCTATCACTCACCAGGACTTTCTAATCTGTCCTCTAAGTAGAAAATTACCAGAAAATTACTATTGCTTGCACATCAAAGGGCAGGGATCTCTTGGTATTTAAAGTAAGTACACAAACATTTTGGGACAGATTCTTTAGTTAGGCAGTCATTAGAGAGAATTGAAGATGAATGAATCAGGCCATCATATAACAGCATTGCTAAATGAGATGCCAAGCATGAAGAGAACAATGTTGATTCTCTTTGAACCCTTGGAGTGGCTTCTTACCTGAAGCATCCCTCTGCTAGGTCTCCTTTGCCTGTTCTTCACTTTCATCCTTAGGTGATTGAATGAGAGAGTTTTAATCTCCCCCTTACCCCAACCACCACAAATAAACCAATCAAGAATTTTGGGTTCTGTTTGCTTAGCACTATCTTGAACACCACGATATTGGCAATTCATACTGTTCCTGGTATTTAATCCTTGTAACCATTGGTCTGTGTATGTTGGCATTGTCTCTGTAATAAAAATTTAAATGGTTTGAGGGAGAGACCATATCTTTTCATTTATTTTGTTTTCTTTATTCCACTGGTTCATTGTCAGTACTCATTAAATGCATTTCCCTAATTGACCCAGCAGTATATAATGTGGTTTCTGTCCTTTTAGGAAAAATAAGACTTATACAAAGCAACATTAAAATCAAGTGCTAGACAGAGAAATAGACTGAAAATGCTATGGAAAATTAGAAAAGGGGATATCTATGTATAATATAAAAAAAATCATGCAAAAACTGATTATTTGCTCTAATATGAAAAAAACTTCCATAAGTTTCAAAAATCATTAAATAAATTAAGGAAAACAACATGTAATATGTTATTATATACTTATGCCAAAAACTATAGTAAGCTTTCCTGTATTTAGTCCTAATTCAGATAAATTCGCCTTAGGTTTTAATTAATTTTGCTTTGCCTAAACTATAGGAATTATGTCCTTAATTATAGATAATTAAAATTAAAATTTTGATTTTAAGAGGAACTGATCTCATTAGCTCTCTTTCAGGCCTACTAAATGTCTACTCTTATAACCAGAAGAAGTCCTAGTGATCTTGTAAATCCTCTTCTTTTTGCAAATAATAAAACTGTAACCCATAGATGTGAAATGAATTGCTTGGTAAACTAGTACAAGAACTAGGCCTAATATTTGTATCATGGATTTGGCAGTATATGAAGTTATTTTTAATCTTCTTCCCGAGTAGAGAATTAATTAGAACCTGTTCTCCTCTTTGTGTAGATAGTGAACTTGGCCTTATGTTGCAGGACTAGCTAGCTGTATGCCTAGGGCCGTGTTATCTAATGATCAGCTCATGCCATTTCGTGAGAGGCAAATGTGTGCATCTCTTCGCAGCTTCAATGTTTGGTGAGATCACACTGGTAGCTCGAGGTTGGCCACAGTGTGAGTAGTCACTATACTGTAATGGAAGGCGCTACAAATCAGAGCTTTTTTTTGGTCTTCTCTGAGGCCTATTTTACCAGCAACACTGGCCCAGATCTTTTTTTCCCCTCTTCTTTCCCTTCTCTTCTGCCAATTTGCTTTTAAAATGATTGGTTAAGAGAAGGTTGGCAGGCATAGAATTCAAAGTCAAACTTAAGCTTGTTAGTTGCAGTAGATGTTAAAACCACCAGTGAAAGATTAAGTTGGAGAGAAAGTTGAAAAATAGTGACTTTTGAATAAACCACGGCCTTTGGAAATCCCTATTGTCTGTCTTCTTTTAGCATGATTCATTAAGAATTGGCACTGTCCAGTAGAAATGTTGACTTTGGAACTGTTTATGGTGGGTCCGTTGCTGGTATTTTAGGTTATACAATAACCGTCCTTTACCTACAGGCATTAACGAGTGCAATGACCCTTCAATCAGTGGCTGCGATCACAACTGCACAGACACCCTAACCAGTTTCTATTGTTCCTGTCGTCCTGGTTACAAGCTTATGTCTGACAAGCGGACTTGTGTTGATATTGATGAATGCAAGGAGACACCCTCTGTCTGTAGCCAGAAGTGTGAAAATGTAGTAGGCTCCTACATCTGTAAGTGTGCCCCAGGCTACATCCGAGAACCAGATGGAAAGACCTGTCGGCAGAACAGCAACATCGAGCCCTATCTCATTTTTAGCAACCGCTACTATTTGAGAAATCTAACTACAGATGGCAATTATTACTCCCTCATTTTGCAAGGACTGGGCAATGTTGTGGCACTGGATTTTGACCGAGTAGAAAAGAGATTGTACTGGATTGACATAGAAAGGCAGGTCATCGAGAGAATGTTTCTGAATAAGACAAACAGGGAGACAGTCATAAGCCACAAACTACCAGCTGCAGAAAGTTTGGCTGTAGACTGGGTTACCAGGTAAGGAAACACTGATGAGCTTTTTAAAACTTAAAAAAAAATCTAACCATGTTTCATCTTGAAAGGAAGTAGATCTCTTCCACTTGAGTTAATATGTGGATACATTTAATACTTTTGGATTTTTTTCCTGATTTGTACCTCGTACTCAAATGGGATGCCACAGAACCTAAAATCTAGTGATTTTAAGAATTTAGGGTATCTTTTTTATGGGGAGGAGCATCACAAAGGAGGAAAGAGCTCTGCTATTGCGGGCCATTCATTTTACTGGGGATGATGTTAAGGGATGATTCATGCATTCATTGGTGCCTTCAGTCATTTAAAAATGCGTACTGAGTACCTACTACATACCAGGTGCAACGGCAGGTACTAGGGATCCAGAGGTGACCAAGACAGAGAGAGTGCCTTATCTCCTGGAATCCACAGGCTTGCTGACAGTGATAGTCAGTCCCAGTCTGGGCTAGTTGAAACAGAGGACTAATCCGAGATAGTCCTTCTAAAAACTGAGCGTCATTAAGGTAGGCCAGTGATATTTAACTAAAACTTCACCGGATCAATCATACTTCTTATCACCTCTACTGAATGTTGACTGTCAGATACTTGGCAGCATAAATTAGTTGGCTTTGTGGTTAACAGACATGAAGCTGCAAGCACTTGCTGTAAATATTCTTGTTGTAGTCAGCTCGGGCTTCCAGAGGGCTCTTCCCCACACCCACTTACCTGACCGTCTTAAGGGTAAAGATCATAAAACGGCAGGGGGGTGGAGTTTGCTCCTACTTCTCCTGAACAGTAGCTGACCTGCCATAGGTGCTCAATAAGTGCTTGCTGAATAATAAATAAGAAGCATTGATTACATGAATAAGAGTATTTTTTATTTTAAAGATGACCAGTAAGGGGATCTTAACCCTTGACTTGGTGTTGTCAGCACCACACTTTCACAAGTGAGCCACGGGCCGGCCCTGAATAAGAGTATTTTATATAGAGTGGTTCTACTATGTGTCAAAAAGCACAGCAACTAGAGATTTCCAGGAACAGAACTAAACACAGTACTGCTCCTGTCCCCATCCTTTGCTCCAGTGCAGGGAAAAAATATTTTAATTCTAAGATATTGTCATTCAGCCTGTCTCTCAAGAAAATGGTAGAGTGACATTTCCCCCTGATTTCAGCTACTTTCCTCTTCTCTGTCTATGCACATTCTCGATCAGAGGAGAGAATTACATGCATGTGTGGTAGTAAGAAGATGGCGTGAGAATGTCTGGGTGAGGGTAGGATAAAATGCCCATGTCTGAGATATTTTCTTGAGTCCAGGAAGAAGCACAACCAGGATAAACATTCCTTAAAACATAAAAATAGAACCCAGTTACCATTATGTTGGTAGGGGACATTTCTAAGATACTAACTGTAACCAAGGGTGCTTGGTTTCCAAAGTCCTTAAACTTGATATACTAATTTTTAAGTGCACCGTTATGTGTGTTAGAAGATAGTGCTGGCTCTCAGTCCTCCTAATTTTTCCAGTAGTGGAGCTGTAATGTCTTCTCTATGTTCTCATAGAATTAGTCTTTTGACTGTGGAAAGAAGAGCAATTAATGGGAAAGCAGTAAGCTCAACAGAGTAGGGTGCCCTAGGGTGTAGCCAGTCTACCAGGACTTGAATTTCTGCTCTACCACTTACTAATTATATAATCTCTGGCCTCAGCAGCTTGATTGGGAAAACAGGAACAATAATAGCAACTCTTTCTATGGCTGTTGTGATCTTAAATAATATTTTTAGAAGTCCTTGGTCTAGGGCCTGGCATTTAGTAAGTGTAAATAGCTACCGATATTATTGCCCTTCTTAGCTTCTTCAGTGAGGGAATCCAAGATTGTGGCCATCTCATTCATCGGATTTACCCAAGTGAATTAACTGGCAAGGCTTGTACATCTATGCTTACTCACTCCCTCAACCTCAAGCCTAAAGGGGTGCTACTGTCCTAATGGTGAAATATTCTGACATCCAGCATGGCTAGATCAGGGCTTCCCTCTTGCTAAGAGGCATTTAAGCCTTTTGGAAGAGAAATCATTCTCCTTCCGGTTGGAATTGATTATCAGATCCTAACTGACCCACCAATTCTAGGGGCATTTAATCCTTTGGAAAGTGACAGATCCCTTGCTGAATCACAGCACTTACACAATTACACTCGCACAGTTTTACGAGTGTAAAACTTTAGACTGTATGCAGAACTCCAAAGCACAGTTTTCCTGGATGCCAGGTTAAGAACCCCAGGTTAAGAACACCTGTTTTATAGAAAACAAATAGATTTTGTTGAATAGCAATATACTTAGAACTGAAATATTCCTGAGGTAGGAGTTTCTAACAGATTCTTATATGTTTCTAAAGCTTCTAAGTTTGAGTGAAAGGTGTCACAGGGTAGGAAACTCATTTTGACAGACTAGTCTGACAGGGTCAGAGATAGGTGAGGTTTCTTTTTTTCTTAAGGATGTCATAATTCATAGTTCCTTTGTGCAGATTCAGTGATATGCTTTGACAAACCTGTTTCCTTGGTACCACCATTTCAACTGTAGTTCATGACACTCACTTCCCTTCCCTGTTCCTCTGAGCCTTTGCATTGTCTGAAAAGATGCCTTTATGCTGCGCAAAGGAAGTAAAACCAGACTCCTGGTGTGAGGTGTGGCCCCAGAATTCCCGATGTGACACCACTTTAACATGGGAATTGTAGCACACACACTGGCATCTTCTGTCACCTCATTGCAGGAAGACCAACTCCCTGTCATCCCCTGCCCTCATTTGCCTAGGGAAAGGTGCCTTCTAACAGCTGTCTGTGTGATTCTCAGGTGTCTTGGATAGGAAATTAGGTGTCTAAATATGCACCATTCCACAAACAAATTGACTGTGTCAGTAACTCCCGGCTCTCCATTTCAGAAAGCTCTACTGGGTGGATGCTCACCTGAAGTGTCTCTCTGTCTCTGACCTCGATGGTGGATTCCGCCGCAATCTGGCCCAGCATTGTATTGATGCCAACAACACCTTCTGCTTTGATAGTCCCAGAGGAATTGCCCTTCACCCTCAATATGGGTATTGTCTCCCTGTAATCTTGGGCTTCTCTTTCATGCCCTTATTCCACCTCTGTCACCAAAAAGGCTGTTCACGTAGCTATCTCCAGGCCAATATCTTGCTGGGATTTGTCTTGTGCTTTTCCTGCCTGATAAATGGTTTAGTATAATGGGTAGAAGCATGGCTTGCTCAAATGCTCTTCGTCGGCTATTCTGTCTTCTTTTCCGTGACACACCTTTTCACTTTTCAAGTCATGTATTTTGGCTGCATGCAAAGAAAATTTTGGTTAAAGAAACACTTCTTTACTGGACTGTCCATGTCAAAGCCACTGAAATTCAGTTAATCATGTTCATTCTTAAGCATCTCCTGTACATCTAAAGTTCTCTTAGATTCTTTTCTGTTAGTTCTCTTTCCTTTCTGAGAGGCTCCGTAGAATATTAAGTCCATACCTCTAAATGAAGAAAAGCTATATCTTTTGGCTACTGACTTCTTCTGGCTTCAGGGACTGACCCTTTGTGTTTGTTCCCACAGGTATGTCTACTGGGCAGACTGGACTCACCGTGCGTACATTGGGAGAGTAGGCATGGATGGAAATGATAAGTCTGTCATTATCTCTACCAAGATAGAGTGGCCTAATGGCATCACCATTGATTACACCACTGATCTACTGTACTGGGCAGATGCTCACCTGGGTTACATTGAGTACGTACATAGAAAAGAATAAAACAACTGGGTTGCTGTTTATTCCAAACCCCAGGGCTTGTGCTTCTGTGTGTTAGTCCCATGCATCTTCTAAGTGGCCTGTGTATTGGAAGTCACTCTGAGGTCACATCTGAGTGAAACTGCTGAGCTCTATGGTATGGTGCGGTAGAAAGAGAGTGAACTTTGAAATCATACTGATCAGGGTTTCTGCTTTCATAAGCCTGGTGCTTTCACTTCTTATTGTTTTTTTCATCTAGAAAATGGAGCTAGGAATCTCTCCTTTCAGTAGTCAGCTTAGTGTGTAACTCTTCTGAATTTCCATATCTGTCTACTTTGCTCTCCCTTCCCAAATATATGATTAACAGACTTTTCATATTTGAAAAAAGGAAAAGAGCAAAAGTGTTGGAAAGGCTTTCCCTAAAATACTTTGGCACATTTATTGGTAAGTACAATGAAGTGTTTTATATAGCATTAAAGTCTGTTAACATTTACTCAATGTGATAATGCATTCAAATCTTTTTGGCAATAGGATAGTTTTTTAGTGTGTTAAACTTACACTGTTCAATGAAAAATACTCATTGTAAAATGGATAATACACATTATTAAACAACCAGTACATGTTTATTTAGGGGGCATTGCTAGTTATGGCCTGATTGGACCATAGTAATGTCTTCGGGGTAAACATTTATGAACAAGTATCCAGATACAGCCTATTTCATTCACAAGCACGGGAGTGTCATTATTCAGCAGAGCTATTTCAAAGGCCTTTAGAACGTCTCTCATTCTGTTAACTTTATTTTGCTGCCAAAGTCAGTGTAGAAATTTTGAAGTTCTCTAATGCCATGCCACTGAGAGGGGAGGAATACCTGGCCTGTACTCTATCCTCCTGTGCTATGGCAGACATAGTTAATCAATCCCAGAACTCTCTTTTGTTAAATTGGGACGTTTCCCCAGAATCATCCCCTGTTGGCACATGTGATGAATACTCTTTGCCACCTTGGCCTGGAAAGCAGAGGATACTGGATTCTTTTTCCAGGTTGTGTCATCAGCCTCTGCTACTCCTCAATGTCTCTTGAGCTCAGCCCCCTTGGAGTTACCTCATGCGTGATCATGAGTGATCTTAGTTTTAAAATATGTTTAGGGTAAGCAGGAAAGGAGACTTTGGAAAACTGAAGATTATAAGAATTTTGACATGTAATGCTTTTGGAATACATTCTTATGCCTGGTTCATCTGATATATTAAGGTAGTCCTTAGCATTCCCATTGCAGAATTTACCATAGCAGATACTAAGTTACTCTTAGGGTAAAGACTACCTTTGGTCAGAATCAGTAGAATATTACTTCTAGTTTATTTGTTTCATTTTAAGGTGATATACTGATGGTGGAACCCTGGGTCCTTCCCACAGTGCGTGTATGCTCTCTTGAAAGGAACATCAGAGAACTGAGTTAGCTTTTCATACAATCCCATATTGAATTAGTAGAGGCATCAAGCTGCTCACAGAAGCTTTGCAACTTTATTATTGGATTTTTGTTGTCCTTTGTCAGATAGATTGTTCTTGGTCTTGAAAGCTTGGTAGTTTTAACTGAAAGGGACATAAAGACAGTGTTTTCAGGAGGATTAGAGATTTTAAAAAGGAATTTTCTAGCTGCTTAACATTCTGTTTATAGATAAAGATTATTTGCGTAGCTGGATTCTAAAACTCAGGCAGTAGGTTTCAGTTTAAAAGTCAGATCATAATATCAGGCACAGTGATCTGGGAAGGAATAAACCTTTGATATTCATGTAGCCATGCTGACTTGGTCACATCTTGGAGGGGATATCAATGCTAGTGTTCAGAGATGTATTTCATAGACCATATAAAGCAACACATTTTTATAGAGCAGCCAATCGATTCCTTGTACATCTTGGGATGCACCAACAAATTACTGGAACTGGGCCTGTAGTTCCATTCCACACTTGACAAAAAATGCTCATAGAGGTGTCTGAGATCCCTATACAGAGGTCATGCAAGAACTGAAAGGGAAGGTCTCAAAACTGCTTTCTGGTCTATGGTTTTTTAAAAACAGATGATGGCTAAGTGTTGGTCTTTTACCTGTATTTACCTGTATTTTTATCAACAGAGGCCAAGCGGGTCTTCAAGTTTTCCTGTGACTTCAATAAGTTTCTATAATTTGTGAAATTTTCGGAAATATTTTTAATAGCACATGGCTAACATTATCAGGTGTATTAGTTGCTAGCTCATTCTACCTCCTGTTTGAATTTTAGTATCTGTTCCAAAATTTTAAAATATTAAAATATTAGTATTTTAGAAATGACTTCTGACAGAGACTCATAGTAATGAATGAGACAATGGAACTAAGAGGACTTGGAAATCTGGCTGTGCATGCTCTGTGATATCTTGAAATCAGATACCCTCTCCTGGAAGTTTATTCATGTGGAAAACCATGCATTAATAGTGCTTACAGCATTATTAATAATAAGTGTGTTGCTGGTGTATGCACAGTTAACCCTACAGGCCTATTTTATAGGTTATATTCCCCCCCGTGTTATATCGAGAAACTGACTGTCTCTTAAAACAGCTTCTCTCCCAAAATATTCATGAGAAGGTGGAATTCTAACTTAATATTGCTATCCTCTGATTTCTTCCCATGATTTAGGAAAACAGAATCGTACATCCTGGGATATCAAAAAAGATGCTTAATGCAGAAACATCAGCATAAGAGCTTATAAACCTACAGTAGTCGTACCAGCTGCATCTGCAGGAAAGCAGCTGTGGTTAGGAATTAGTGATTGTTTAAACTCCTGTGGCTTAATCCTATTTTTTAAGCATTGCTTTTTCAACTTTATGTCTTTTGTTCAGTCAAAATAAACCCTGTGAATTTAGTTTTTGTTTTAAAGACTATGAGTTTGGGGGAGGATCTGAAGTTCCATTATCTCTAGGAGGTAGAATTTTATTAACTGACTTGTTAGTTCATTTATCCTGAGAGGTGTTAAGAGGAGAGGGGTGATCTTCACTGAGTGACTGTTTCTTCCTCCTGACCCAGGTACTCAGATTTGGAGGGCCACAATCGGCACACTGTGTATGATGGAACGCTGCCTCACCCCTTTGCGATCACCATTTTTGAAGACACTATTTATTGGACAGATTGGAATACAAGGACAGTTGAAAAAGGAAACAAATATAATGGATCCGATAGGAAGATGCTGGTGAACACAACACACAGACCATTTGACATCCACGTGTATCACCCATACAGGCAGCCATTTGGTGAGTAGGTGGTTGCAGAGTTTGGCACAGTTGCTTTAGGTCATGTCCCCAACATTCTTGTCTCTTTTAAGCATGAATATCACGATTTACAAATGGTTTGCCATTACTTATTAATGATTTTTTCAAAACATATGCTGAGGGCCGGCCCGGTGGCGCATTCGGTAGAGTGAGGCGCTTGGGAGCGCGGCGGCGCTCCTGCCGAGGGTTTGGATCCCATATAGAGACTGGTCCGCTCACTGGCTGAGCGGGGTGCGGGCGCGACACTGAGGGTTGCGATCCCGTTACTGGTCACGAAAAAAAGACAAAAAGGAAAAAAAAAACTGCTGAGAGTTGAGAGTATGGAAATATCTTTTGGATTTTTTTCCCCTACCCCTGGGAAAAGCTACTTATAACTCTTCTTTTTCTTAAAACTCGTCCCATCCTTAAAGATCAATCTGGGTTTTTGTCTTGTTTTGTTTTGATATGATGGCCATATTTACTTCATCTGTTTGGGTAGGAAGACCAAAGTATTCTCAAGTGAGTTAAAAGTATCATGGCATTTAAGCCCTAAATACTTAAAGAAAGCACCTTTGAACGCTCGGATAGCAAGGCGGAGACTTACAGATCTCACACACCCTGTTGGGCCAGCAGGACAGGATCCAGCTGCCAGGGCCAGAACTCAAGGATCAGGGAGAACTCCCAGAGCTGACCAGAGAGGAAACTTCTCGGTAAGGCCCAAGTCCCGAGGCAAACACACATATAGAACACTAAGGGCCATCTGAGCAGTCACAGAGTAGGCAAACCAAATTGACAAACACAG